TGTAAGACCTCAAAGCATAATTTCTAAGAATTTTCAAACGAGAATCTTTGAATTTTAAATGAGAATTAAAATTTTTTTTCTATGAGTCCTCAAAGTTTTTGAATTAGAATCTTTAAAATTTTGGATGAAACCCTAAACTTTTTTAAGGAGAACCTTTGAAATATTGAATGTAAAACACTAAAGTTTTTTGAATGAGAATCTTTAAAATTTTGGTTGTGAATCCCTAGACGTTTTTCAAATGCAAATCTTTGAATTTTGTGAATCTTCAATTCTTGTGAATAAAAAAATTTTACAAATATAAGTTTTTACGAATATTTAATTCTTGCAAATTTTTGAGTTTTTGCAAATTTTAATTCTAGTGAATTTTCAAAATCTTGCATATTTTAAATTTTTGTGAATCTAAAAAATTTTGAAAATCTGAAGTCTTACGAACCTGAAATTTTTATGAATCTAAAAGGATAAAAATCTGAAAATTTTGAGAATCTGAAAATCATGCGAACCTTTGAAATATTGCAAACCTTCTATTATTGCGAATCTGAGTTTTTGCGAATGTTTAAGTTTTACAAAACTTAAATTCTTGCGAATCTGAAAATTCTTGCAAAGTTGAAAATTTTATAAATTTGAAATTTTTGTGAATCTTTAATTCTTGTGAATCTTCAATTATTACAAATCTGTGTTCTTGCGAATATGAAATTTTTGTGAATCTTTGAATTGTGAACATTTGAATTTTAAATTTGTGATTTTTTAAACTCAAATTGTGAATCTTTGAGTTTCAACTTGTATTGTGAATTTTCGATTATAAAATTTTTGAACGCTTCAAATCATGAACCTTTAAAGTTTCAAAATTTCATAATTGTTGGAAGTCAGAGTTGGACATTTTTTATGTCTATATTTTTACATAATTTTTGTTTCATAGAAAATATGTAAAAAAGGGTAATTATAGACACCTTATTTCATCTCAAATTATTATTGAATCTTGAGTTAGTTTAAATTGAACTTTGGACTTTACCTTTTTGGATTTGGCTTTATCATTTGAGTATTAGGTTCAAATTATATTTTGGACTCAATGCAAGTCCATTTGGTTTATTGTTTTACTTGTTTATTTTTACTTTTATCATTATTCTGAAAATAAATAAAAAAGAATAAAAAGGGATAAATCAAGTGATAACGTTATTTGTTTGAAATTTGGAGTATTGGATTAAATTTTTGAAATCTAATGTTTTTGAACTCAAAATTCAGAGTATAGGAGATAACATGTTTAATTTTTTTATTTTTTTTGAATTGAAATCCTATCTTCATCATATTATTTAAACGGTTGTTTAGAATACCGAAAGGAAAAAAAAGTGAAAAAATACATAGAAAATACAAAAAAAAAAACCCAAAGAAATTATAGTAAAAAAATACAAAGAAAATCTCAACAATTACTAGTAGCTCTATCACCATTTTCATTCTTTTTCCACCATACTGCCATCATTATCACAAGCATCACATGAGTTTTTAATCTATCACAGCACCGCTAAATAGTTCATCTTTAGCCACAGCAACTAAGCTTTCCACCATGCATGGTTGTCATTCCCAGTCACAACCTTTAATAGTCACAATCTACAACCCACATTCTCTAACAATCAAACAGAAAAAAAATTACAAAAAAGAATCTAGCAAAAAACATAAGGAAAAAGAAAGCCACTGGCTAAAAATCCATCATTACCAAACTACCTAATCCTACGACCTACCAAACTACCTAATCCTACAACCACTGAAGTTGTCATGATCGATAGCCTAATCACCCACTACCAAAAATAATCAGCTAAGACCCAAAACTCGGAATACTCGAAAACTTAATAGACAACCCACCATCAACCTAAGATCAGTCATAATAAGTAGCAAAAAAGGTAATGGTGGTCGTAACTCTTATGATAGAGCGATGGTGATCAAAAAGTAGGGTTTCAGATGCAAGATTTTGTTGTGACTCATATTGGCAGAACGACGACAATGAAAGAGTAAGATTTCAAGTGCAAATTCTTGATTGAAATTTTGAGGTTAAAAAAAAAGCAAAAAATAAAAAAGAGGATGGTAGTGGCAACCTACGACGGTGACAATATCGGTGATGTGCCAAAATCTCGAAAAATCTATCGGTCTTTTTAAAGCTTGAGTCTTTTGGTTAATTTGTCGAAAGAAAGAGATAAAAAGTAAATTGTCGAAGAAAATAAATAAAAAAAGCTTTAAGGGTTAATGTTTTCCCAAACGCAACATTTTGGATTACCAGAAAAAGATAAAGTCACTAGTTGTTCTAATCTTGCCCCAAGTTGAGCCGAATTTTTAATTAAATTGAGTCGATCCATTCTTTTGGGTATTTTTTTCTTTCTATTATTTTGCTCATTTATTTAATATCTATATATTTTTGAATGAATTTTCTTTAAGAATAAACATAATTTCAAAAATAAAGAAAAGTTAAATTATTAAAAACAAAAAATAACTTCAATAATAAAAAAATAATGGTTTTAAGAAAAAGTTGAAAAGTATCAATTTTTCTTAGAAAATAAATTTTTTTATTTTTTTTAAAAATGTATTTAGTAAGAAACGTTTTTAAGGAAAAGTTAAAAGTATTAATTTTTCTTAGAAAATAAATTTTTTTTTCAAAAATGTATTTACCAAGAAATATTTTTAAGAAAAAGTTGAAAGTATCAATTTTTTTTAGAAAATAATTTTTTTTCAAAAAATATTTTTAACAAGATGCGTTTTTAAAGAAAAGTTAAAAATATCAATTTTCTTAAATAAAAAAATAGGGTTTTAAAGAAAAGTTGTAAGTATTAATTTTTTTAAAATAAAAATCCTCTTAATTTTAAAAATTGTATTTGAAGAAAAAGTTGAAAGTATAATTTTTCCTTAAATAAAGGCATTAATTTTTTTTTTAAAAAAGGAAAGAAATCTTAAGAAAAAGTTAAAGTATTAATTTTTTCGTAAAATTTTTTTAAATATTAAATAATCTGACGATGGAGTCTTTACAAAAAAAACAATAATTTTCTTATATACTCTTGAGGTGAGAGAATTTTTTTATTTTTTTACCAAAAATATTGGAGTAAATTAAGAATAATTTTCAATAATTAATGATCTGGTAAGATTTTTAAGGCGTAATGAATAACATAAATTAAACTGGTACCATCATTTGATGGACGTTATGGGTGTACTATAACTTTTTTCAAATTTAACCATACTTCTGGATCTAATTCTAGTTTGTAGATATTGAATCTACCTTTTAAAGATACTTAAGTCAAACTTATGATTTTTTTAAAAAATGAAACAGATTCAATTAGATACCCAATCGTACCTAAATAAAAAAATTGGTGATGACTCTATAAGTTAATGTCTAGCGATAAATCCACGAATCTAAACATTGTGAAAGTCCAAACAACTATATAAATCCAACAAATATTTTTCTTGAAAAAATTATTTCTTATTTTTATTTATTTTGGATTGGGATCATGTCGTTAATAATTTTTTATTTATAATAAAATATTTAATAGAATATCTAAATTTTAAAAATCTATAATATATAATTTGAACTATAAATCATTAATTAATATAGTATTTAAAAATTTTTTTATTAGTCACATGTTATTATTTAGAACTAACCACCTTAGAGGAAGACCGTATTAATTAACAAATTTATAATTTAGATATTACATTAAAAATTTTTAAAATTTAAATATTACATTGAATAATTTACTATAATTCAAGGACTAAGATGATATTAATTCTTTTTGATTAGTTGATGATTTTTTAACAGGAAAAGGAATTCCAAATAGATCACATTTAATGCTATACACATCCTAAATTCAAAATTTATTTTTCTATTTTTACTAAATATATCCTACTCTTCACTTCTATTTTTCATTCTTATCCTTTTTTTTCTTTTTTTTCTTCACTTTCTAAACTTGAGTTTCTTAAAAATGAATATCTGAAAAGTTTTGAGTTTTCTTAAAAATGGATATTCGAGAAAATATAAGGCTTCTCAGATCTCTATATCCGATAAGCTTAAAGTTCTTGGTTTTTTTGACGAGACCAATCAGTCAATAGGGATCTCTAATCTTTCGACAACTAAGCATTATTCATTCAATAATGTTTATAACATTTTTGTAATTCTGATAGATGTGCATTTGAGAAGAATTGCAAATGTGAAAAGGCATTTGTGTAAATTGGCTGCCGCACCATATGTAATGGAGGTGACTACCTCATTGCATATGGTGTAATAGCCACTTGCACCGCTTTTCACAATTAGTGATTTTTTTCAAATGCATATTTGTTAAAATTGATAAAATGTTTCAAATGTTATTCATCAGATAGTATCTGATCGAAAAATTAAAGGTTTCTACTATCATATTTACACATCCCATACATTAGAGTTTGAACACCCTACGCTAACAATGTCAACAACAAATTAACAAATTCAACAATATCCAATCTTTCGACCACCAATTCTTATTGTCGAATTTGCTAATTTATTGACATTATTTTTCAATGATCTAAAGATTAAAGATCTTGATTATCTTGTTATCAAGAGTTTATAATTAAATATATATTTTAAAAAATTTTATGTATTTTTGGAATCAAATTTTTGAGAGTTATATTGTGTTTTTAGAATTTTTGAAAAAGTAACATAAGTTTCGAAAATAGATTTTTGAGATGTGTGTTTTATTCTTAATAATCTATTTTTGAGAATGATATTATTTTTTTTAAAATGAATTTTTAAAAATATAATATAATACTTAAAAATATATTTTTAAAAAATACGAATTGATTTTTGGGTGCATAAACTATTAAGTGTATTTTGGTTATTTGTTAAAAGTTAAAATTGACATTTGGTATATAGATATTTTTAAAAGAAAATTTTGAGGGTGTGTAAAAAAATTTTGGTAATGTATTTAGAATGGCCTACGGAAACTGTTGCTGTCTCAATTTTTCAGTACAAATTTACCAACAAACCCTTCTGATACAAACTGTATTACCATCAATATCATGTCTCTAACGGCTACTTACAGAACCTCCAACAAATTTAGAACAATCGGCTCAGGGTACGGCTTCCAAGAACATCTACTGCTCTCACCCTTTGACTCTCTACCGGCTAGTTTCCTTCACCAGGCCCCTCTCCATCCTCTCCCAGATCTACGACGACGACGACAAAAATGGACGAAATTCAGATCAACGGCGCCGGAGAAGAAGTAATCGGCGATGACTTCTACGAGAAGATTGAGGCTCCTAAGTTCGTGGAACTCACCGCACCCGATCGCTGCCGCACTGAGAGTGATGACCGTTACTGGTTCTGCCTCCGTGTCGGTGAGTTTCCTTGTTCTTCTTTTGACTTGTTTTACTTCAGTTTAATGTTTAACTGAATTAAGCTTCAAATTTGTGTTTTGGTTTTTGTTAATTTTGGTAAATCAAACAAATGTTCATTGAGTTATGTCCCAATGTTTTGGTTTTTCTTGTTCCTCAGGATGTGATCAAAACCATGATGAAGAAATGGACTCTGAAGCCATTTATAAAAATTTTGTTCTTCGGGTTAGTTTCAGAATTTTCCCTTTTTTTCCTTCCATTTTCTCATAATCTTATAAGTGATTGATCAACTGAAACACTTGAATCTTTCAGGTTATGGCAGCTAGGAGTCCAAGTGTTCGACTTCGACAAGCTCTTTCCAGAAAAGATTCAAGGTATGTATATGAAAATGTTCTTGTTTCTTTTCTTATTTTAGCAGGACAGATTGCATTGACATTACATTTTTGTTTGTAATTGTTTATGTTAGTTCAAATTTGCAATGCCCAAGAACCGTTCCTGCTAAATCTTCAAAATCTAGAGTGTCAAGATTGGCTATGATTTCATCCATTTCTCAGAAGATGGGTGAAGTCAAAGTGAAAGTTAGATGTGTTCCTAAGCAGAGTGCAACTACCCCAAATGTGAAGGCAGCAAAGCAACCATCTACTAAGGCCTTGACTACTCCAAGGAACAAAAAGGGCCTCTCAAATCCAGGTGCTTTTCGAAGTGTTAGGAACCCGAAACCGACTACAATTGAGGTACCAAAGAATAGAGTAGTGGCAAAGGCTCTGGTATTTCACTCTCCAAAGAAGGCAGTGATGTTGAAGAAGTCTGTAGAATTGAGTAGTTCGTTAAGAAAGATATGTGCAGGGATGAAGAAGCGTGAGATCACTGAGAAGAATACATTGGGGTGTAATAAACCTTTAGATGCTTCAAGGAAACAGTTAAGAGGGAGAGAGGTTAAAAGCCGGGTATATGATTCATTGCATTCTCATAATCAGAAGAAGCCGGAAGCTAAATCTTTAACATGTTTGAAGAAAAAGAAGGGAAAAGACTTGCAGTTGTCCAAGGGCTCTATGTGTCATAAACCGAATGAAAAGGACTCAACTGATATGGAGATTGAGGCAAAATCAAAGGATGGATCTTTGGAAGTTTGCTCTACATCAGGTATTTCTAAGAATCCTTCAGAGAGCTCAGAGCAAGCAATAGACGAGAAAGTCAGATTTTCAACTGATGCCTCAAGGAATAACGTGGCCTCCCTTTCCAACTCTGAAGGGATTAATTCTGGAGACGATGATGATGTTCCCAAATCCCAAAATGGTGGGCACAATGAAATTAATGAAAGGATCAGCCATGAAGAGAACATTTCTGAGGATAAGGAAATCCCCGAAGCCACGGAGAGTGACGACAAAGAAAATGCTTTGGCATCTCACATTAAAGCAAGTGAAAGCAAAGTCATGGAAATTGACGACGAGGAAAATGCATCAGCTTCTGATGAAAACAGGTATGTAATAGATGACATGTTTTTTTATACTTTTGTTTATTATTGACAAAATTATTCTCATTTGCCATTGAATTTGCATGACAATTAATTGCAGAAAATTGAATTGTACCACGGTCAAGGTGGTGAAAAATGATGTTCTTGGGAAGCATGAGGCTTCTAAAGGCATTAAAAAGGTATCTTATTCATAGGAATCGTATTCTTTGTTTAATATCTGTGTCTTGATCGTTTGCCACCATGTCATTTTCTGACATCTGTTCATGATGATGCAGGTTACTAAAGTAATGAGTAACACATTGAAAGAAAACCCCACATCTACAATCAATGGTACTCAAGGGATGAAGTACAGAAAACCTAAGCTCACATATCCCAAGCCCTTTCGGCTTAGAACTGATGTAAGCAAATTGTTTATTGAGTAGATAATATTATTAAAGGTAGAAAATTTTTCCATGTTATCTGATTATCTACTGGCTGTTTAGGAAAGAGGCATTTTAAAGGAAGCAAACTTGGAGAAGAAGCATCTTCAAGCACCATTGAAAGAAACAACAACTTTTCCAGGATTCCAAGATGGAAACTCAAGAAGAAAAAGTCAGAATGTACAAGTAAGTGCTTTGAGGTTAGGCCTGTTATATACCATGGAATAAATAAAGCCCTGGACTAATGGTTTTCTTTCCCTGATTACAGAGAAAAGAAAAGTGCCTTGGACAAACTGAAACGGTTTGTTGTACACATGAAGGCAGTGACAATGAATCAGATACAAGAAAACTAAAGGATCGACCGGTAAGTTAACATGCTAAGAACTGGGGAAAGAAAAAAGGAAGGAAAGAGAAAGTCCTGTTTGCTTTCCATTGCCGTTATAGAAATATAGGGATTTTGTTGAAATGATCCTATGATACCATACTTTGTAGAAAACTATCAAATCCTGTCGCTCGAGGATTTCAAGAGGAACTATGGAAAGAAAGCTTTCTACCGCTCCACAGAAACGTGCTGTTCCTATGCATCAGAAAACCAAATTTCCATCACTGCTGGAAAAAGGCCAAGACAAGGCAGCTCAAAAATCCGAGGGCACATTGGAGAAGACAAAATTATCATCCATCAAGCAACTAGCAACACCAGGAGGGTAAGTAATTAGAAAATATCCTTTCATTTATCAATGAAACTTTGTATATGTTCTGTAAAGGATGGAAATTTGTGTAACAAATACCCAATTCTTGCAGGGTGGCATCAAGTGGGACGAAATTGGTTTCTCTCATGAAACCTGGTCAACTTGGTGTAATGAAGGAAATGTCACCTACAATGTCCAGATCGAAACAACCATCATATCCTAACGAGAGTGAAACTTCCTTAGCGACGAAAGCTTCTGCTTCTAATGCTTCAAGCAAGAAGGCATACAACCATTCCAAAGGAGCCACACTTTCATAGCATTCATGTGCCAAAAAGCTAGCACAAGGAGTTACTATAGTGCACGTGTATCATAGTCACCTTGGTCACAAGCCAACCACTTTTTTTTTGTCGAATTAGATTTGCTTACTGGCATTTTTTAGCAGGTGTGTTTTCATCTATATTATTATGATCTTAAGGGAATTTTAAGTTCCTTTTAAGTATTTGTTTGTAAGCTGTAAAATTTGTGATACAAGAATGATCTGTATTAATTCATTTACAAGATATAAATATTTGTTACTGTTCCTTGTTCTGTCGACTAGTTTTCTTAATCTCAAGTTTCAAATGTCTTTTCTAGGCAGTCAAAAGTTTCATATGATGTAATCGCCTGTTTAGGAGCTAATATCAGAAGGATACAAATGGAGATTTGAAGGAGCTTCTTGACTACATTACTCATCATTTGAAATCAGATAGTCCAACATCTTACCGAACATCCCTCATCATAGTACTAGATCTGAAATTCAAAAAAAAAAAAAAATGGCAGTGCATGACAGTTGTAGTTGCTTCCTTTAGTTCAATTCGTTCTGTAAAAATAATTTCTCAAAATTTCTACTCACTCTAGCCAGAGAAAAAACCTGACCCGAGTGCATTATGGAAGGATCCTATATAGAAGTGAATCCTCACAGTATCAACATGAAAATCGCAAATCCGTTCATCAAATTTCTGTATACCAATTTCCATCTTCAAGAGTATACATCCATCTGATTTATTGCTCTCTTGTGTCATACATTTCTTTTTTAAAAGCAAAAATAGTTAATATATAAAACAAAGTTTAAGGAAACAGCCAACACAAATGAAAGACCTCAACAGATGAAGCACATATACTGAAAGTTTTACTATTAAATAGTATTCTGTTCAACGCTCTTCAAATGACTCTCAAACTACTTCTCTTTATGAGGCATTTCGACATGTATGCCTTTGCAACTTAGGAATGTAAGTCCGGCACTCATGCTGGCTCTAGTTTTCAAGGTTCATTCTTCTTGGCGAGGTTTTTCAGCTTCTCATTTGCAGCCACAAGTTCAGCAGAAATTCCTGGTTCGTTAGCTGAATGCCCAGCATTTGAAACAACCTGACCAGAACAATAAAATGATTTGTCCATTACGCATAACGATGGAGAATAGAGATACCCTAATTAAGAGATTAAGTTATTTAGGAGTAATCTTTATAATTTTCCAGCCTATTTTAGATTATTTAGGTTATTTAATATTAATTAGTATTTTACTTCTTTTCTACATAATAGGATTTTAGGGTTATAACTGGTACTTTATGTTTTATTAGGGTTTAGGTTTAGTTATAAATACCTAAGTTGCATTAGTTTCTAGAAGCTTTGATGAATGATATTATTGATATTTTCTGGATATTTGAGTTTGGATTACTTGTCCTACATCAAATAGTCTCCAAAGTTGGGTGATTGCATGCAAAATGCAGACTGAACAAGAAACACTAAAAACAACAAATATATGAGATTATAGCCTGTTGCAAGCAGGAATCCAGTGCAAGCTTTGATTCCTTCTGGCAAACATGTAAAATCACATCTTCAAGAGCAATACTGTAGTTCTTACATTAAAATCTGCCTCTGGAAATGCTTTGTGGAGATCCCAAGCTGACATCATGGGGCAGCAAACATCATATCTTCCCTGTTCAAGTGGTTCAAGGGTATCATAATACGATCATAAACCTTTCAAAACAATTCCTCAAGCTACACATTCACAAATTTTTAGAATGCAATAAAAGAAATTTCGGTCTTATTCACGTCAAATATGTCACATAGCAGCAAAAATTTAAGGGTAAAATAGCAGCATGGGACCCCTTTTGGTATTATCAGGAAGCAGCTAGGGTTCTTAATTTTCCGCCACAATGTTACTACTTAAAGAATTTTTGCTTATGTGTACAATACAACAAAGTGAGATGCAATTGTCACTTCCAAGTAAACTATTTCAGCACACAGAATCGAAATTGATCTGTTGGTAACGATGCTGAGTTAAAGTGTCTTACTAACAAGCATAAACGTTGTCTGCAATGTTTGGATAGTAAAGGTTATACATACCTGTACAATTGTAGTGTTAATATGCCTTATTTTGTCAACATTGTCCAACAAGAACGAATCTGAAGGAAAGAACCCTTTATTCACAAAGTAATGGTTCTCAATCCTTGCAAAAGCCTAACAGAACGATGAAGAGAAAAATGCATCAGATTTGCAGCAAAACCTTACCATCTTGTTTACAGTATTGCATAATTTTCAGTTCTATGTCAAATCTTGGGAATTCAACTTACCAGTGAAAAATTATCATCATCCCCTTTCTTGATGTTTTCTTCATTTGGTAGAAGATAAGCAGTCATCATTTCCCATTTGGTCCATGCCCTAGCGGCTGCATACTGAGAGGTTAACCAGAGAGTTAACAAAAAACATTTAACCATTGTTGACATAACAAACACTGCAAGCTCACAAGTGTTTAGTAATCTCTACTAAGAATCCAACCTTGCTTAAGAGTATTATATAATTTCCAACATGAAGTAGCAAATTTCTTTGAATGATGCTTTCCAGCATTAATCTTCCTCAAAATAATGTGAACAGTAAAATCACAGAGACAAAAACAAAAGGAGCAAAGATCCTTTTGTCTTAAGTTATCTATCTTGTTTTTTGTCATCATCAATGACAAAGATCCTTATATTTACTGGTGGAGATAAAGCTCATATATATCTTCTTCAAAATCTATGCAAGTTTAAATATATAAAGATCCAATTGGTTCTCAACTGAAGAACCAAAATTCTAAAAGTTCATATATTTTCTCTATATATTGCGAATGGAGTTCTACAAAAACTCTCATTTTCCCTTCTCTTTTATTTGGACAAGTTTTCTAAATCTAACCTAAGACAAGACCTCTAGCCATAACAGCAACTGCTGGATCAATAAGGTAAACCTATACAAGGATTAGACCTCTTGCCACAATAGGACTTTATGGAATTGTAAGGGGTATGTATAATTACAAATATGGAATAGATATTAAGGACAGTGTACCTTGAAAGAAAATTTTGAGTAAGATGTAAGAACAAATATCAAGATTGTCATACAGTGCGTGAATGAATCAATCTAAGAATATCGTGACATATTTGACTCCAACAAAATAAGTTAAAACGCTGCATTAGCCTAAACATTTAAGGAAGGAACATCATCAAACTACCTAAAAATTACAAGCAAAACAAAGTTGAGAATCTTGATAGAAAAAAAGAATCCAGAAAATAGATATAGTTTCCACACAAGACACAGTCACCAATTATATATAGATTTGACTTGACCAACCAAGTGCAAGACATGTCTCATTCAATTAGCAGGACCTGCTGTCTCTTTTATAATATTGGGCATGATTTCTGATATTCACTCTTGACATTTTAAAGCAAGCAGCATCAGAAAAAAGATTATAACTGGTTCAATAATTAAGAAGGGTACAGGAAGGAAAGCAATGTATCCAAAACCAGATGACTTCTCTTACTTGTGTTTCCAAATCATCAGAATTCAGTCTCTTGTGGTAAGCAGTAACAAAACTCTCCCTCTCATTTTCTGGAATAAGATCCCTAAACGGCTCCCAAGCTGCATATTTAGAAGAAATGCATAACCATACAGTGATTATCTTTGCATGTTTTAATCAGCATTCCTAACGAAAAATTTAAAACAAAATAGTCTCAAGACAATGCACAAATCATTGAGTAGCTCCTAAGCAGTTTGAATTTTTTTGGTTTTTCTAAACAGTTTGAATTACTTCTTTGTACATTGGTTGACTTTCACTGCCTCCGTATCTAACTTGAAATTCATAAAAATGTTACAAATCAACCTTCTTTCCATGTATCTTGAAATTAAAAGATCATGGAAAAAATAACAACTTATCTTACAACACTAGAAAAACTGTCCTTTGCAATTAGACTAGCAAAGAATGCACATGGAACATACCATCAGGGTAAATAGCAGCAGCACCACCTTCATAAAACCAATCAATCTCTTTCTTCCGTAAAAGGAATATCCCTCTTAGGACCAAGCCAGTAACCTTAAAATAAAGGAGAGAGACACTATCAATTTAATCTAAAGGATAGGAATTAAAAGAACTGCTGGTTACAAGATTGCATTTATCAAGAGTTCTAACCAACAAAATAACAACCAATCAAGCAGGTTATGCACCTTGTCAGGATGTGATTCACTATAAGCAAGAGCAAGGGTACTTCCCCATGAGCCACCAAAGACCTGAATAATCAGCAAATAGGAAAAAACAATGTAGTTAACGCACCAAGAACTGCTAACCCAAAGGTGACATTAATTAAGCAATGAAAACCACGTATCAATACCTGCCATTCTGGAATTTCCAAGTGTTCTCTTAACTTTTCAATGTCATCAATTAGATCCCATGTAGTGTTCTCTTCCAAGCAAGCATGGGGAGTACTCTTTCCTGCACCACGCTACAACAGGACATATACTTATTAGAGGTTAAAAAAAAAAGCACTGTTAAGAATTTAACATAAAGGCACAAAAACTCACCTGATCAAATAAAATGATCCTATAAAATTGAGGATCAAAGAATCTTCGATTACTTGGCGATGTTCCTCCTCCAGGTCCCCCATGAAGAAACACAAATGGCTATAAAATATGAACAGAATTGATAATGAAACCAAGGAAAAAGTGTCGCACATCATTCCTAATTGATGGATAAAGGCAATGGATACTCACATAGCCATTTGGGTTTCCCGATTGCTCCCAGTAGATTGTATGAACATCAGAAACCTTGAGAAAGCCTGTGCTATATGGCTCTATATCTGGATAAAGATTCCCGTTAAGTTCTTGAAATTCCTTCCCTGACTCCATTATATCACTTAACTGAGTCTCAGTCTTATAACCAACCCTTTGCACCACAAAGTTAACTTCCTTTTCCCTGCAGCGAGTCAAAGCAAACAAATTTCAGCCAATCCATATCTACAAATAAATAAAAAATAGAACTTGAAAATCTTCAGTAAAGATTTAAAAAAAAAAAAAAGGCATGATGGAAGCACCTGAGAAAGTGAAATTGTTGGAAACTGAAGGGAGGGACCGAGGAAAGTGGGAAAGGGAAGAAGGAATTGTAGGAAGTGAAGAGTGTGTCTGATTTTGAGGCAAATTTATAACCTAACCTCAGTCTTACTTTATGGAAGTTGTCACATGAGTTCGATGCTTAGCCTAACCGATAAGGATTGCATTGGGGCATCGAATTAGAATCCTAGCTTTCACCCAAAAAAAAAAAAAAGAATTAGATTCCTAGCCAAATAAAATTAACCTACTTGGAATTGTCTTTTCCTGATTTATATATTTGGTTTACTTTAAAATTATCGTGTTGAGATTGTGATGATCCAATAATAAAAAGACAAGCCAAGGACTTGAGCTGGTCCGATAGTTTGATTTATCTGTAGTTTTTTCCTTTAATGTAGCAAAGATGGATTACATTTAAAGGTAAAAGGGAAATTTTGAATTGCTCAAGTTGTGTGCTATCCCTTGTGAATGTACAAGGAACCCTTCAACACTCCAACTGACATTTTGATTCAAAGAACATGAGAGGTATGTTCATTATTCATGACTGAGTTTCGGAGTTTCAAGCCAGTCTAAGGCAACATGTGACCAACTTCACGAGCTTTGGTCCCCCTCCATTACTTACTCTTTTGATGTCCAATGCTTTTGGACCAAACCTTAATATATTTATCTGTGCCCTTTCTTATTGGCAATTTTGTTGGCCTGTCATACAAACATTCAATGTTCAAACTTCAGTCACCAGAAAATATAACTACCAACATTCTTGCATTGAATTAAGTTTGAGAGAAATATCAACTTATATGGTAAAAGGCTAACATTTCTCATCTGATATTCTTTAGGAATCGATTGCCCTCATTTGTGTTAATGATCAACCAGGCTTCATTTTTACACCAGCTGGAATAGTTTTAAAAATAGAAAATTAGGAGATTCTTAGGCATTAGGCCTGGGGAATCCAGACTAAAATTATCACTAATAGCATTTAGTCCCAGAGGATAGCAATTGTTTTTTACATCTGCCGCTGAACAGAAAGAAAACTGGTGCAACTATAATACAAAGGAAGAAACGACACCTGCATAATTATATTTATCATCTGCTATTGCTAGCTAGAGATCTGCTGCAGCTACAGTTGAAAGTAACTTTGCTCTCTTTTATGAGCTAAGAAAAAAAAATCTTCCTGGTTCTTAGTGCTTGCTTAGTGTTTCAAATTCCTTCCTTTTATTAAACTCCATGGAAGATCAGTCTTTGATCATTACTGGATGATGAAGTCAATGGCTTAGATTAACTTGCCTCTGTTCTTCCATTCCCCAGTTGGGCTACTTTCACCTTTTTTATGAACAATAATATCAGTAAGCGTACAAGGTTCAGCCTCCTCCAGCATTTGAACCACCGTTCTCATATTAGGTCTGAGAGCTGGAATCTTTGCTGTGCATTGAACTGCAATTCGCAACACCTTGATGGCATCTTGCTTTAATGCCTCTGAGATGTTCAAGTCCACCACCTCAACCAAATTTTCTTTGTTCTTCACGTTACTATAGATCCAGAACACTATGTCCTTGTTCTCTCCAAATTCTGGCTCTACTGGCCTTTTTCCTGTGATCAACTCCATCAAGACAACTCCGAAGCTGTAAACATCACTCTTCTCATTTATCTTGCAGGTGTATGCGTACTCTGCCACCAAAATAAAAATAAAAACAATCAAATTTTTGCTGCAATTCAAACTAGATCATAAAACTCTCCAATGCAACTTATGCTTATTGTAGTGTTGGGTAGTAGGCACTTGAATTAACCAACATAAATCAATAACACTGAAGAAACAAAAGAATAAGAAACTTACCAGGAGCCATGTAGCCATGAGTTCCAGCTATAGCATGAGTCCAATCCCCTCCGCCACCATTCTGCATAATCTTTGCAAGTCCAAAATCAGCAATCCTTGGCTTCCACTCTTCATCTAACAAAATATTGCTTGACTTCACATCGCGGTGTATAACAGGTCTCTCACATCCATGATGCAAATGCTCTAAGCCTCTGGCAGCCCCTAATGCAATGGTATATCTCACCTCCCAATTCATCTCCATCTTGTGACATGAGTGCAGCCTGTCCCACAAGCTCCCATTAGGTAGGTACTCATAAACCAGCAGATTGCAATCCTCACTTGTGATGCTACAGTAAAGCTTCACTACATTCACATGCCTAATGGCACTCAATGCAGCCACCTCAGCGTCATATTCTAGTGACCGGAAGTTCCTTTTTGTTAACATAGCTGCACTGCTCTGGTAGCTCTTACAGTTGCCAGAATCTGAGGTCCAAATATGCTTCACAGCCAGTTCTTTGCCATCTTCCAATTCAACTTTATAGACATTTCCAGATCGCCCTCTACCTATCAAATTCTCTGATTTGATGGCATCGATGATATCCTTTTCAGTGAAACTTAGCATGTGATATGATTTCATGTCCCACGAATCCCGCTTCAATGAATGGTCAAGATTACTCTGTCTTACCCTCACAAACAGGTAACATCCTAGTGATAAAAGCAGGGCTAATGTTCCAGCTAGGAAGCAGGATAAAAATGTTCGAAGATGACTAGATGTACCAGGATTTGATGAACATGGCTGAAAGTCCTCAAGATTTGAGCTACATAGGTCCGGATTCCCCTTAAAACTATCTTTGAATACCTGAATAGATAAATATTTGGGTATGGGACCAACCAACCGGTTGTTGGACAAGTCTAGAAGGCTTAATCTTAAAGATGACAAAGTTGCTGGAATTTCACCGGAGAGTTTGTTTTCAGATAAATTCAAGGAGTTCAGGCTACGTAAATATCCAATACTATCAGGGATTTCCCCAGAAAGTGAGTTACCAGCAAGGTTTACATCATTCAGAGAAACACAAAAGCCTAATGAATCCGGTATAGTACCTGAAAACATATTACCATCCAAATAAAGGCTGCCTAGGCTTTTTAATTCTCCAATGGTTGCCGGAATTTGGCCAGAAAATTTATTTGAAGTAAGCTGAATTGAGACTAAAGAAGAAGCTTGAGAGATTGAAGTGGGCAGTTCACCTGAAAATTGATTATTGGCCAAGAATAGTTGTGCAAGAGACTTAGCATTACCAATATCACCTGTCACTGGTCCTTCAAATTGATTCTTGCTAAGATCAATTATGGAGAGGTTTGGCAAACTCCAGATACCAGCAGGGACAGTACCAGAGAGCAAATTGTTATTTACTCGTAAACGAACCAGGGACTTGCAGTTTCCGTAGCTTTCTGGGAGAGTGCCAGTGAAGTTGTTCTGTAGCAGAAGAAGTTTAACCATTTTGCCATTCTTGCACATGTTTGGTGGTATTGGACCTGTCAAAAAATTCTCCGAAACATCTATGAAAACGAGATCTGACCACGAGCCAATTTTGGGGGGAAGCTGACCGGTAAGCTTGTTCCTGTAAAGTGATAATTCTTCAAGGTTCTTGAATTCACCAAACTCCTCAGGAATCTCACCTGAGAAATGGTTTTCAAGAAGCTGCAAAGAAACAAGATTTTTCAAGGATCGCAACTCTGATAGGTCCCCTTCAAGCGTATTCATTGACGCATCAAAGTTCACAAGACTTGTCAGATTTCCAAATCCAACAGGAAATTTTCCTGACAATGAATTATTGTAAAGCTCGAGCTGCCAAAGTTGGTTGAGTTTGACTATTCCTGCTGGGATTGGACCTGACAATCTGTTATCAGAGAGTTCAAGATTTTGTAGCTGAGTGAGGTTCTGAATTCCCTCAGGAATCTGTCCTGTGATGCTGCAATTTGTGAGATAAAGCCAATACAACTTCTCAAGGTTTAGGACCTCCAGAGGAAATGGACTTGAAGCAAAGGGATTGTCACCAAGGCTTAAGAAATTCAATTTTGTGAGATTTTCCAGTGATTTCCATGGAAAAAGTCCGGAAAATCCGCTACCGTTCAAATTCAAGAACTTCAATCCACTTAAAGAAGACAAGTCTGGCACTTCTCCAGAAAAAGCATTCTGTCCCAAATCCAGGAACTGCAGGCGTGAACATTTCTTCAGGTCATCAGTAATCTTGCCATGCAAAGAATTGTTTCCAAGATCAATCTTCTCCAATGATTGTAGCTCGCAGATGGAATCAAAAGGAAGATAACCAACCAACTGCTGTTGAGGAAGATTGATTTCCGTGACGAATCCATTCGAATTGCAAACAACTCCGCTGAAGTTACATGCAGATTTTCCCTGTGTCCATGAACTGAAAATATTAGTATTTGACCCTTCTAGAGCGGACTTGAAGTTTAGCAATATCTGCAGCTCGTCAGACTCTGCACAAGAAATCAGGATGAATAAAAGAAAAAGGAGAAACATTGGAGGAGGCCATCGCCGGACAGACATGGCAGCAGTGAAGGCTAATTGAGGCTGCAGGTTGAGTTTTTGAGTAAGAGAGGTGTGGAAATGCATTAGACTATTGCATATAACACGAGGGCGGCTTTAGGTGTTCGAAAATTTGAGCTCAGTTCACATGTAGAACACGCAAAATTGTTATATCTACTGCCAGTGTTCCTTTTTGTTTTCAACATTTTGCGAGATTTTCACCAGTTTTGGTAGGAGAAAACTGGGTTTAATCTCAGGATTAAAAATAATAATCCTCATATTCAGTTCTTGGTCAACGTTTCATGCATGCTCAACGAATATTTTAAGGGGACCGCCAGATCGGGGCCATGATCCACTGTCTTGCGTGTAGTGGCCAGTCCATTTCCATCTACAGTTGATCTTTTTACACCTGTATCTTTGTTTTCTTTCAGGGCCTCAGCGAAAGGGTATTAACAAATGGCAAACGAGGAGAATTTGTAATGATCTGACAAAATGATGGTCGGCAAATGTGAACCTGATCTGATTGCATCAGAGTTGCAAACCATTTATTGTAACGACAAAGATTGACTTATCACAGTAATGCTCAGAATCTCATTGAAAGTATATTAGTATTTTTGTCAAGTACTGCCGTGCAGGTTCAAAATTGACATACTTTCTTCTCTCATTATGGTGATTTTTTTTTCTCTTTTGTCTACGTCATTTCCAGTCAAAAAGATAGGGCTTTGTACACTAGCTATATTTTGAGAATCAAAAGTCTCAGATTCTTAAGCTTAAAGTCATGGAAATGTTATGTCATGTAAGGAGAGTGGAAATCCAATGGCCGCCGCATTTGACTGAGGTCTCTATGGCCTCCATGTGGAGGAAAGCCGGTGACAAAACGCGCACACTTCCTCCCTTTGATTAAGACATTTTCCAAATTTATATCTTCGGACGTAAGGTAAAAAAAAAAAAAAAATTAGATCTTTGTACATAAGGTAAAAAAACAAAATTTATATTGGGTAGATTGTAGATGTATAAATTTTATATGATATTAATAAATTAAATACTGATAATTTATTAATAAATAAATATTAATTTTTAAAATAAATATATAAAATTTATTTTGTTTAAAAAAATTTATTCATTAATAATATATTATTATTTGATTTATTTCATTAATAAAAAATATCATTTAATTCATTAATAATATATAAAATATATACTATAGTTATTAAATATAAATAAAAAAATAATTTGACATGGTAATTTTTGTTTTTTTATCAAATTAAATTAAATTTAAGTATTAAATATATATTAAATTCAAATTAAATTTTGAATAAAAATAAAAAATTAATCAAATTAAATTATATATTTTTATTAATTTTTATATATTTTAAAATTTGATAAAATAAATAAAATTATTTTATATTTAAATTTATTTAAATATTTAAAAATTTTATTAAAATAATATATAAAAATTTAAGTTTAAAAATCAATAAATTAAACCAAACTAATAAAATTCTATACATTAGATCAATTTTAAAAAATTTATTCAAATTTAAATCAAATTTTAAAAATTTATATATTATTTTAAAAATTAAATTAAATATAATTCGGACAAAAAGTTCCCAAAGACCGAAAAAAATAATAATCTGACCCAAGAAAAATATACAGGTAAGTTCTTGGACTAGTTTGTTGAAGCAACGTACTGCTAACTGGTTTTGTCGAGTTCTTGAGTCCATTGCTGACTCAAACTTACGATTTTTTTCTCTTTTTGTATGGATGATTAAATCATTGTCCCATCTAATAACCCCACCCTAGAATGGGAGAAACTCAAATCCTACGTGTTTTTTCATGATTTTTTTTATTAAAAATTTTTTAATAGATAAATTATTTACTTTTTTTATATCATAATAAAATATGTTATATTCGATAATTTAAAATAAAATAATTATTCAAATTGACCCTACAAAAAATGATGAGTTGAATTCAAACTCAAAATTTTTATGTAAAAAAAAAGATTATTACAAATTATATCAATCACTTATTAATTTTTATAAATATTTTACTTACGTAATATGATTGAATTTTTAATATATCAGAAAATAAAAATATTATAATATTTTTTATTTATTTTATTAATTATTTTAAATGTATCCTAATAAGTTAAAAAAACATTTTTTTTACTTTGAAGAATGAACTTTAAAAAGTACTATCTATAACATATAAAATTATTTTCTTTAAATTAAATTTAAATTTAAAGCAACAGAGAGGCCCAATGGTTAAGGCCCGGACTGATATCTGGGACGAAGCCCAATTATGAGGCTTCTTTTTTGAATATTTGACCCAAGAATCTCAAACCGGCAAAGCCCATTAGCTGTGGGTCCAAAAGAACTGTATATCCGGGGTAGGAATAACGCAACCTGGAAAACAAGCAGTCCCGGAATCTAGGGTTTTCGGGTTTTTTTTAAGGTTGTCCGGTGAGAGTAGCTTTTAACTTGACTTGTTCGCTGGGAGATGATAAGAGGAAAACATGTTGGACATCAACTTGTTCAGGGAAGAAAAGGGTCACGACCCTGAGAAAATTCGTGAATCCCAAAGGCGTCGTTTCGCCAACGTTGAAGATGTCGACGTCATCATCGACCTTGACAAAGTCTATCGTCAACGTAGTTACCCACAACACCTCCTTTGATTTTTCACGTTTCGATTTGCTTTTTCTTTTCCTTTATTCTTTTTTTTTTTCTAATAATAAATTTCTGGTGCAGTGTTATATGAACTTGAAAACCTGCGAAAAGAGTTCAACAAGATTAACAAACAAGTCGCTCAACTTAAAATTGTGAGTCTCTCTCTCTGTTTTGCTTTTCTATTAGTGCTGGGATTTTTTTGAAACTACATTTTTTTGGTGTGGAAAAGGCTAAGCAAGATGCATCAGAGACGATTGCAAAGACAGAGGAGGTTAAACAGGGAATAGCCGAGAAAGAAACTGAGGTTAAGGATGCTTGGGCTGTTCTGATATCTAAATTGGAGAAAATTGGGAACCTTGTGCATGATACGGTTCCCATCAGTGACGATGAGGTGAGCTACCCTGCAAATTGTATTCATTTCCTTGGTTTTTAGTTTATTTTATTTTTTATTGTGAATGCCTTAGAGTCCCTCATTCCGCTGGGTGGAATTCGACAATGGGTTTGAGTCAATGTTTGGAAAACTTCCTTTTTTCGATCTTTCAGGTTAGGAACTATGGTCCTAGTTGAACCGGTGAGACCAAATTCATACCGGTGTTATACAACATAGAATTTTTGAGCTTAGATACCATATGATTGGGTATCATATGATCAACAGTGGTTTGAATATATATATACAGCGAATTTTTTTTTTACACTTTTTACTATTAGATAATGTTCATAAATCTCATGATAGGTACCCAAAGATTCATAGTGAACTTCGGTTTTTTTTTTTTTTATTATTATTATTGTGAATGCTTTAGAGTCAGTTAAGAGAGGAACTTAAGTGCGGTGGAGAACCGTTCTCCCTGCACTGGACCCCCTCAAACTGAGCAAAGTCTTAATTAGAGTAATGACTTAGCTGACCAAAATGATGCAGGCAAATAATGAAGTGAGTAGAACATGGGGTGAGAAGCGATTGGAGCCTAAGCTAAAAAACCATGTTGAGCTTGTTGAGCTTCTTGGGATTGCAGATACAAAAAAGGGTAATTACATTTTTCAGGGTTAACACTCTATGTCATATGTAAAGTGGATACATTGCTTATTGGTTTTTAAGATGTGTAAATTCTCTACTTAAGCTAATGTGGATCCATTTTTGATAAACAGTAGGAAAATCTTTAGGAGTTAAGAAAACAAGACATGAGTTTATAGAACCCTTGGCTGTACTTCTCATGATGGATTTTTATGTTGTTTTATGCATGAATTGAGCTAGCAAATTGGCTTGGTTTTTTTTCACTGTTAAATCATTTTAACTGATTTTCCCCCATCTTGTACTATAGGTGCTGATGTAGCAGGAGGTAGAGGTTTCTACCTAAAAGGAGATGGGGTGCGTCTGAACCAAGCTTTGATCAATTTTGGGCTTGATTTTTTGGAGAAAAGGGGTTATACAGCATTGCAAACACCTTTTTTCATGAGAAAAGATGTTATGGCCAAGTGTGCCCAATTGGCTCAATTTGATGAGGAACTTTACAAGGTAACATTTGGAAATTGCTTTGGAGATCTCTTCTTTCAATATACTGAGACGGTCTTGATATCTTTACAAGTTCAAATTTTGAACTATTTTACAAAATGTGATGATTTAATTCTTGATTTGGCTTTACTTCCTAGCAAGGAAGTATTCCTCTTATATATTAGGAAAAGGAAACAAAAGAAAATGGTTGTTGTTCTTTATGGTTAGGAATGTTTCTTTCATTAGGTAACATATTCCTTTCACCAACATATATATATATATATATATATATATTGTATGGTAGGAAAGCATGACTGTTTTGGTTGATGTTGAATAGGTGACTGGCGAGGGTGATGACAAATATCTTATTGCAACAGCTGAACAGCCACTCTGTGCTTACCACTTGGATGATTCGATCCATCCTTCAGAGCTACCTCTAAGGTTCTAATCATGAAAAAGAAACAATGACTCTATTTCTTCTAAAGAATTTATTTGTTGCTTTTTGTTTATGAAACTATTTTTTCCAGATATGCTGGATATTCATCTTGCTTCCGCAAAGAAGCTGGTTCACATGGCCGTGATACTCTTGGAATTTTCCGGGTTCATCAATTTGAGAAAGTGGAGCAGTTCTGCATCACCAGCCCAAATGGCAATGATTCTTGGGACATGCATGAGGAAATGATTAAAAACTCTGAGGATTTTTATCAGATGGTATAACTTTTTATGAATTTACTGAACATGAATAATTTCCTGTTTTTTCTCAAAATTTCATTTGTACCTATTATTAGAACTCTTTGGATGTTTTTATCTGGACCAATGAACCCAGTCAGGCTAGCTTCATATCTATTTCACATGTCAGATGGGGAGTTATCAGTTGATAATCTTTCCATTTTCCTTGTGAAAGAAAAATACTTTTAGATAAAAAAAGGTGGAGTCTTTTCCTTTGAACTTAAATAGTAAAAGTTGGCTATGCATACTAAGTCTTTCTCTTTTTATAAAGTATAGAAAATATAGTACTATTTTATGGTTAAAATTTATTTATTTTCTTTTAAGTTTTGAGGCTGAAGAACCTTTACATGGATTTGTGTAAATCCTGTTTTGCAGCTAAAGCTTCCTTACCAAGTTGTGGTGATTGTTTCTGGTGCTCTTAATGATGCTGCTGCCAAGAAGTATGACTTAGAAGCGTGGTTTCCAGCATCTCAGACTTACAGAGAGTTGGTATCCTGCTCAAATTGTACAGATTATCAATCAAGGAGATTAGAAATTAGATATGGGCAGAAAAAGGTGGGTTCTGTTGGCTTGTCTTTTTATATATGAGGAAAATTTTAGACCACAATACCAGCAGAGGAGTGAAATTTTGTAGCAGATATAAATGGATTCATACTCTTTTTTTTTGTTTTCCCTTTAATAAGAGTACAAATCAGTTTAGCATTAATTTGAACTGCTTTTATAGCTTATTCTATATCTTCTAAAGTCTTGAGTTTACTGGTTAAAACATTGGTTCATTCTTTGTGATTATTCTCCTTTGTTATTCACTTGCAGAACAATGAGCAGACAAAACAGTATGTTCACCTGTTGAACTCCACTCTCACAGCAACAGAAAGGACCATGTGCTGCATCCTTGAGAATTACCAGAAGGAAGATGGTGTTGAAATACCAGAAGTTTTACAGCCGTACATGGGTGGGAAGGCCTTCCTGCCATTCAAGGCCAAACCTGCTGCTGAAGCTAAAGGGAAGAAATCAAAGGCCTAGTTTTATACGTCTTACTAAACCTTTACTTTAGTTACCATTTAAGGAACAAGTGTTCAGTTTGGCCGAAAACTAATTTCGTTACTCTGAAATTGTTGTCTACAGCTTTTTATCACGATACCAATATACCATTCAATTGTTTTGTAGTATTTTGCAAAAGAAAATCCAGCCCTGGTACTGTGATGCATGCTACATGACGTGGTACTGTGATGCATGTTACATGACGTTTGAAGCCGTTGGGATTTTTACAAATTTCTCAATCTGTAACCAATTGCCATAAATTTGGTTAGTTACAATGTCCCATTTCGAACAAGGAGGATGCCCTTTGAGGATTTGCATCACCATTTTTAGTTTGCCCTCACTTGAATGTTTTCTCTCTGATGTACAATAAAGGACGAATTTAGTTGCTGATAAATTTCTGAGTTTAAACATCATTATTATTTGTCCACAATCCATGCTTTTTCTTCCTTCTCTTTCCCTTGTATGGGAAAGTGTGATTAGACGACTAGCAGCTGGTGATGAAATATAATATATGATGATATCACTGTAACAAGTAATAACGTTCAAATTAAAAGTGAAATTGATTGAATTTAAGTTAAGGTCGAATTTGAATTTGATTTAAAATTTAAATTTGATCAAATTTTATTTTTTTAGTTTAAATTTAAATAAAAATTGAATTATTTAAATTCGTTAGATTAAATTCGATTAACATATAAAATTAAATTAAATTTTTATATTCGATAAAAATTTGATTATTTATGTTAAAGTTCGAATTCGAAATATTTTATTAATTAATATAATAAAAATATATTTAAATATAAAAATTTGATTAAACTTGCGAGCTATTCGAATTTGATATAAAAATATTCGAACTCGATTTGATCGATGAATTGAACTATTCAAATTCGAGTTCGACTTGATAATAATCGAATTAAATTTAAATTTAATTTAAATTAAACTCAAATAACTTATGAATACTAATATATCATTTACGTATTTAATTCAAACGTTATAAATTTTTTTTTTTTAGAGACATCTCAAAGTTTTTTATCACCCGGAAAATAAACCGAACCAAATGTACTGCGGTTGTGAAGCAGGAGTTTTTAGGCCCACATTTCTTTTGCGAGCGGAGATAGGATAAGAACTTGAAAAACTAGTTTCCACAAGCAAAATTTCCAAGAAAATATATCAGCATTTATGTCCACGTCACCTTTATCTCTTCCCTTGGTTTTTTTGTTTAAATCCGTTGATGCTTTGCACGAAGAACCGTAATATTAGCCCGCCGCCCTACCTACCTTTTAACCGGCACTATCTCTCAGAAGAGAAAGGAAATGGAGTTTAGTTCGGAGGCTAACCAGCGCATTGCCAGGATCTGAGCCCACCTTCAGCCTCCAAATCCCCAGGTTCTCTTCTATGTTGTCTCCTTACAGGTACAATTTTCAATGAGTAACGTAGCTGTTCTTGTTGTTTAATGTATTGTGTGGATTGCATATGACAGATGGTGGAAAGTTCGGTTTTAAGGCGAGCTGATTGTAGAGCAAAAGGAGGGGCTCCAGGATTCAAAGTTGCTATCTTAGGTGCAGCTGGAGGAATTGGCCAGCCTCTTGCCATGTTAATGAAAATGAATCCACTTGTCTCGGTTCTTCATCTTTATGATGTTGTGAACTCCCCTGGTGTCACAGCTGATCTAAGTCACATGGACACTGGTGCAGTGGTAATATTTCTTCTCCTGTTGTTCAACACCAGTTTTCTAGGATATGATAGGCTATATTTTCTTTGAATGATGAGGGAATTATTATGTTGATTCAGAAACATTTAGGTATTTAAAAATTGATAATCATTAAAGTTAAAACTTCTTTTTGGGTTCTAGGTACGTGGTTTCCTGGGGCAGCGGCAGCTTGAGAATGCTTTAACAGGTATGAACGTCGTGATCATACCTGCTGGTGTTCCAAGGAAACCTGGAATGACAAGGGATGATCTTTTTAAAATCAATGCTGGAATTGTCAGGACACTTTGTGAAGGAGTTGCAAAGTGCTGCCCAAATGCAATAGTTAATCTGATCTGCAACCCAGCCAATTCTACAGTTCCAATTGCAGCAGAGGTTTTTAAGAAGGCTGGTACTTATGATCCAAATCAACTTTTGGGAGTTACAACTCTTAATGTTGTGAGAGCAAACACTTTTGTGGTATGTACGACCATATAATTTAATGATTATGGGAGAATCAATGTTTTTATTCACCGTTTTATTTGCATTCCTCATTTTCTTCTCCAGCTCAAACCATATTATGTTATTACTGGCTCATAGAGCACCAAGAAATCACATAGCAACATTGCTGCATTTCTAGTTTCCACTTCTTACAGAACCATTTTTTTTTTTATGTTTTCGTATAGGCGGAAGTCCTGGGACTTAATCCTAGAGAAGTTAATGTCCCAGTTGTTGGAGGTCATGCAGGAGTGACAATTTTGCCTCTCGTCACAGGTTTTTCAAGAATACCTATAAATTTCACTTGTTTTCAATTCTGATAATCTATCATCAGTTGAATTTACTTGATGTCAATCTTTGCAGGTTAAACCTCCATGCAACATCACCCCTGAAGAAACTGAATACCTTACAAATCGTATTCAAAATGGTGGGACAGAAGTTGTTGAGGTATAAATATATATTAGAAGTTAGAACATCCTTAAATTAGACATTTCCTAATCCTGTCTCCCATCCCATGTCCCCCTCTCCCCCTCTTTTCCTTTATAGTTTCTGAGGAAGAGAAAAAAATGTCATCAAGTTCAAACTTCAGTCTAACTCCTTGCTGTCATACCTGAATACTTCACTCATCTAGTATTTAGATTTGCGTGGGCCTATCTATATTTTTAAGTTGTCTCAGTATCACAACCCAGCCATTGATATAAGAAAGATGGCATGGAACCCTATTTTGGAAGCTATAGTTAAACTGGATTAAGTCATGAAGAAACTTGCTTTAATTTTTTTTACTTTTCCCATGGGTGAATGAATTAATGAAGACACATATTGATTTTACCGCTTTTATTTTTAAGTATGTTTCGTAATCCGAATTGACAGATTCAAAAATTAAAGTTTCTTCTTTTGACTTATGCAGGCAAAAGCTGGAGCTGGATCTGCTACACCATCAATGGTTGGCCATTCTATCCTCACATCAATGTGTACCATAATTTTAAGGGATAAATTCAAGCAACTAAAGGGAAGTCTTTACTTGTACTGGCATATGCAGCAGTCAAGTTCGCAGATGCATGCCTACGACGCTTGAGAGGAGATTCAGGAATCGTGGAAGTTGCCTTTGTAGCCTCCCAGGTACCCTCTTTAAACGTTTATTTCATGCCAAAACATCATCTTGGTTTTGCATTTTCACTTTCTTTGTAATCAAGAATACTCTCAATCACAGGTTACAGAACTCCCTTTCTTTGCAACCAGGGTATGACTTGGTCGTACTGGAGCTGAGGAAATCTATCAACCGAGGCCTCTAATCGAGTATGAGAGCTATATATTGAATTATATTTTATGTTAGATATATAATCACTTTTACTATTCTTAGTACAGATAGCAGATTGCTTAACTAATTCCTGTTTGATGTTTAACAATGTTGGTTTGGAGAAAGCAAAGAAAGAGTTAGAAGGAAGCATTCACAAGGGTATTGCCTTTATCAAGAAATGAATGGGTGATAAGCGGGTCTTTATGATATAAGCTGCTTAAATCTGTTACAGCCTTATAGGGCTTTGTATATGTTTTGGTACTTGGATGAATCTGTTAGTAATATTTAACAACACGACTGCTCCATCAATTGAGATCGGCTAAACAATGATATATTCATTTTCTGGTTAATCTAGAAGTCAAATGAGAAGCTAGCATATGATATCATCCTTTAGACTACTTGTACCACAAATTATCCCAGAAACCATCCAAAATTTTGAACTACTTGAGAGAATTATATATTCAATGAGCCGATGGGTAGTGACAAAGCCACAAATTTATATTTACAGCTCTTCTTACTCATCAGATATTCCAAGAAAAAACAAGGACAATTGATAAACCTCAACTTTACAGTTTCTTTAACTAGACAAAATCTTAATCCATTTCCCTCTTCAACAATTTACAAGGTGAAGGGATTGGAAGGAGGGTGAACAACAGGAGATGTTGACATGGTTATGTTTACCGTCAGCACATTTGGTGCCATTGTATCCTCCACAACAACAGGGTTAACCTGCACCACTCTCTCTGGTATAACTTTATCGCCATCAACCTTAGCCAGTACCTCAAAATGCATTCTTATTGTCTCAGGCTTTGTCTTCCACTCAGGAAAACCCTCGAAATCAAACCCATCTCCTTCTTTCAACTTCTTTTCAATCCCGAAACCAATCTTCACAAATGTCTGGGCTGACACATCAGCCTTCAGTAACTTAAAGTAACCTTTCCTGTTTGCCTTTGGACCCAGCACAGATGATAGCAGTGTCTCAAAACCAAGCAAATTGGCATTCGAACCATTGATGGAAGCAAGAGGCCACATCGTGGCAAAATGATTTGGGGTTAGAACTGTAGCAGCTTCTTCCCGTAGATCAATAGTGGAAAGGGCATCCATGGCTGTAGTTTTAGAAATGGAGGATAGTTCCACAAGGCCAGGTGCAAGTCGCTTAAGCTTCAACTTGTTATTTGAAGATGCCGACGATGGAACAGTAAGGGAAGTTGGGCCAACAATGCGGAGGGAGAGGATTGGAGCATCTTGACTGCGAGAAGCATGACGAAGATGCTCAGCCAGGGCCATAAGGCCAGATGCAAATCCATTATGAGTTCGGTTGAGAGGTAATGGAAGATCAATTGGGTGGCGCAGGCTAACTGATCTCGCACCCTTAACAGTTACCACAGCACCATCTGCTAAAATTACCTTTTTCAAGACACCAGCATCCACATCGTGCTGCAGAATTGAACCAACAGCAAGATTAATGAATAGACTTCAAAAAATTACAGAAAAGACGTCACATCTAAACGAGAAACAACCCAAAAAGGAGAACATCTAAATTCCCAAGGCAAAAGCCAAAAAAACTACACTTTTTTAACTATTTGATTGATTTTTACACCTTAGAAAATCCTAAAAAGTTCTTTCTTTTTCCAAAATTTCAACTTATTTATGAAGACTAGGATTGTAAATTACTAAATTCCCATGATCAAAACCTCAAAGAACCAACCTTTTGTTATAAAAATAAAGGGAAAAAAATAAGACTCACCGGCAAGGAGATGCGCATATCCTTGGCGTCTTGAATCCAGAGCTCCATGGGTCCAGCCAGCTGAAAAGGGGCCAAAACGGGTAACCCATTATCCGATGCACTGTTCTGCTCCACCAACCCATTTTGGTCTCCGGGTCTAGCTGGCTCTTTCACCCTAAAAATGGGCAAATCAACGTACTCCCATCGATTTACATCCTCCAAAAGCTTAAAAGAAATCGCCTTGTTATCGATTTCAACGTCGAATTCATATGCCACTGAATGGCCTACAAGGGCATCCCTCAGATCGAACCCTGAAATTTTAAAATCATCGGCTTGGAATCCCAATCCCTTCACAATTGCCTCTTTCAAATCCTAAAAGAAACCCATCAAATGAAAATCTAAATAAAAAAATCTCAAAAAAGAAAAAGACAAGCTTACGGAGATGGCTTTAGGATAGGGGGTGAAAACCAAGGCGTTAGAAGAGGATAGAATCGTAAATAAAAGGAAAATCAATGGCAGGGTAAAAGATGAAGATTTGGCAACCATCGTCGCCATCCGTCCACCGACGACGACACCGTAGAGAGAATCGAATTGCGGGGCAAACTTAAAAGATTCTGATTTCTCTTTTTGGATAAATTCAGTATTATATATCTTAAACAAAATTATTTAAGTGGGGTTAATTATAGGAGGTTTCTGGATGAGTGGTGAAGGATCTAGGGAAGGTGACGTGGCGTTAAAGAAACAATCAGAAGAGAGGAAGTAATCCGAAACACATGCTACATTTGTTTCTATATAGCGTCTTCGGTCCCATCTCCAAAACGACGCCGTTGCCTCCGTCCACAAAGCCTTCCGCCTCGGCATCAACTTCTTCGACACCTACCCGTAATTCTTAATATCTTAACTTTAACAAATTGGGTTTTAAAAGTTCCTTTTTTAAAAATTTTTGATGATTTTTTTTTTTATAAATTTGAAGTTATTATGCAGGGACATTGTCAGAGAAGATGCTTGGTAAGGGATACCGTGAAGGTTTTGATTTCAGTGCTGTGGATGAGACAATTCCAGCTCTTCAGGAACTGACGGAAGCAGTGAAGATTCGTTTCATTGGTATTACAGGATTGCCATTGGAAACTTTTACTTATGGGCTTGATAGGGTTCCACCAGGGACAATTGATGTGATTTTGTCATATTGCTATTATAGCATTAATGATTCATCATTGGAGGATTTATTGCCTTACTTGAAGAACGAAGGTCAGTGCATCTCCACTTGCTATGGGGCTTCTTATTCAGCTTGGTCCACCGGAGGGGCATCCAGCATCACCTGAACTCAAGGTGAGACTTTTAGGCCTCAGATAAGATAGAGCGTTTGTACTCCTGCAAAATGCAAAGCCATTTATGCAACCTGGTTGGTCTTGTTAAGACTCCATCTTAGGCTCTTTGCTCTTAGACCCAGATCTTCCTCGGATCAGAAGACTGCACAGTGCAACCCACTTCAGTGCAGAGACCTTCACCTCCAAGGGTGGTGATGGTGGAGGAGGAAGAGCTGGTGAAGTTGTTTTACCCTGATGGGAATGGATCAACATTGCTCTGTAGGCGCCATAATCAGAGATGAACGCTAATAAATTGGGAACCAAATGGGTATTTGATAAATCGATAGTCAGCTCAGCTGTTTTGTTCATATACATGGAGAGCGGCAAGACGTTAGCTTAGGAGGAAGGTAAACAATCTGCAGGGCTTCAGTCGGTTTTGTCGGAATTTGAACATATATCACATGGGTTGCTCTACTTTTGACTGTATCCAATCATGACCAATGAGCGTAAGTCAAGCTTATGGCAATAGGTAATTCGATTTATTATTGGTTCCCATGGACGCCATTGTTTTTATGATACTGTTCTTTCCAACCTAGACGTAATAATCAAAATTTCAGTTTTCCATCAGCTCATTTTCCTTTGCAGCTGCTCACTTTTTCTTGCCTCCTTTTCTGGATAAATGAAATCTCAATTATGCCAAAAAAAAAAAAAAAACAAAGGGTACTTTTAATTCGCGTAGCCATTGGAATCATAACCATGCATGGGAAAATGTTACAAAGGAGTAGTAAAAGACGCTTCATTCAACTGTGATGGAGATTGGGAATTATTATCACTAGAACATATATATATATATATATATATATCATAACCATGCATGGGAAAATGTTACAAAGGAGTAGTAAAAGACGCTTCATTCAACTGTGATGGAGATTGGGAATTATTATCACTAGAACATATATATATATATATATATATATGTTTGAGAAGTAGCTGGCGAGCTGAAAATGATATAAAGTCTCATTCAAAGTGCAGCAAGAGCAGGCTTGGGTGGATCAACCAGAAAAATGTCGAGAAGTTGATCAATGGTGGTGTACTTATGATCCGGATATAGACTGGAAGCTTCAAGGTCATTCTCCCCAAGCTTATAGTTGAGAAGACCACCCTTTGCAAATATGCTGTGAAGGATCGACGCTCGTACATTATCTGGAAATGGTAAGGATGCATTTATAAAAAAATTTTTGATTAATGACAGGCATCAAATATCAATGAAGTAAGCCAAGCAAAGAAGCAAAAGCTTTTAAACTTACTCTCTGACAGTTTCACAAGTTCTTCCTCTGATACATGAGTCTTCCTGAAACTCCTCCCTGTTTTCGTCTCCTACAAAGAAATCAACTCAATCTGGGACAAAATATTTTTTAGCATTCGATAAATTACGACTCGGTTGCATGTTCTTGGGTCATTTGCCACTTTGATTGTGTATTCTGCAATATCTTCTTCATAATTGAACGGTATTGAACGTGACAACAAAAATCAATTTAAAACTCATGTACATGGACTGTAATAATTTAAAGCAATCAAAGATTCAAATGAATGTTAATTATGTACCCTTGGCTTCACCGGATCCATAGACAATTATATCATGATGTTCTTCATGTGGACGAAACAAGTAATTCAGAAAGTACGCAGCAAAACAATTTGCAGATGCGTTAAGTGTAAGGGATCCCAGCTACTTCCACTGTCCTTCCAATATTTCGCTTTGTGTCTAAACAAGCTTCAAAAGGTGGCAGAAAATTCATTCTGTCCTCTTCAACCCCGAAATCCGATGGAAGGAACCTCTATATACATAGCAAATGCATAAAACTAACTGCATCAGTTTCTTCATTCTTTTATGAACGGGAAAACAAATATTTTATTAAAACGACAATGTTTTCACTTGCCTTTATGTTACCAGCAACTTTAATGGCTTCAATTATATGAATCTGATCAGGAACCTGGGGGAATGGTAGCAATGAGATGACCACATCTACTTGACGAAGTATTGCCACAATCTTATCATGTTCGTCCAACTCTCCCTGTTTCGTACATCAACATTAGCTATTACTAATTTGTATCAAGGAGGATTTATCTACTTACACGCTTACGGGTACGCACACATACATATATATAATAGTTTGATTGTGATCATATAGGATTAATTAATACCTGGACGATGGTAGTGCCGATACAGTCAAACTCTTTGAGCAAGTTTATATTGTCTGGATTGGATTGTGGAGTGATAGGGCGGGCATAAACGAAAGTTTTATGTCCTAACTTGAAGCTTGCCTTGACCATATATTTTCCTATGTAACTGGTTCCTCCAAATATGAGGATTTTACTTGCTTCAGCACCAGCACTGGCTTCCATATCCATTCCTACCTCTTCTCTTGCCTGTATCGCACCCTCTTGCTTGGTGATACATGCTGTGCACAACCATTGCTATATTTATAGTGTTTTCAATAAGACTCGTAGAAAATGTAGGTTTTTTTAAAATGGAAGATAAAAAAAGAAAAATCTCATTCAAGCCTTGGGGGCAGTGGGTGATTCTGTACTGTGTGGCCCATAATTTAGGTCACGGGTGGCACTGGCAGGCAAAGCGAAAGCAGGCAGTTAGGCAGGCTGAAGTCCAAAGATTTGTCACTCCGACCTCTTTCATCGTACTATCGTTGGCGGGCTGTCTTGTTGTTTTAGACACGAGGGGAAATTTGGATATTGGGATGCCAAACCCAAAGTCAACATTAAGTTAACCTCTTTCCTCTGTTACGTACCGACTGGACCCAAAGCTGAAGAACCATGTGAAAAAAATGCAACAATCTTGTTCTGTTTCCAAGCGTCCCACACCAACAGGAAGGCCAGGCCTAGACTCTTTGATTGCAGCATCCCACTCAAATTAGTCTCTATTCGACTTGTCCTTGGATTGATCTTATTGACCCACTATCGTAATTTTTGTGGTGTTAAAAACTTGTAGAAACAAGAAAACTTATCGTTTATCTATTGGTTCTAACCGTGGGCTTCGACCTAATGGTTCGAACCAAGCCCAAGGGCAAAGGGTTTGGCTAACCTAACATGACTCCATGAGCAACATTCAATGCCATCAGGTTCAGCCCACCTAAGGGCTTCCTGCCTTGATCCAAATACAAACTGCCACCAAAAAAAGAAAAGGAAAGAGAAAGGATTGACCATAAACCAACCTGGCAATGAAGAATGATGCACAATATAATCGTTTAAAACTTGTGATTTCAAGGAATAAAAGTATAATTATAGCATTTATAAAATGCTAAACTCTTTTGTTAACCTGCAAAAATATCAAACCATTCAACTCTATCTACATAAGATATAGTAAAGAATTATAAATGAGAAGTGGGGACTCAGGGTTGATCAGGAGAAGAGTTTCTTGTTTCTGCAACTTTGGGTTCAAGCAAGGGTGTCGTATTTGATATGTCAACTTCAGTGACTTCTCCTTCTTTACCTTCATTGAATCTATCCACACTATGCAGAAATATTCCTGCCATTGCCATATGGTACTTATTCAGCCATGCAATTGTTTGTTTCTGTAAGAAGAATTAAAAAAAAAAAAAAAAGAGAAAAAAACACAGCACACACAACACATGAGAAATGGGAAGTGACGATACCTATAAACCATATCCCAGCTGTTGGAAACAGAATTGATGTTAGAATAAGAGCAGTTTCTCTCCAATTATTTATACGGTCCTGCAAAATCTCCCTCAAGTTAAGTCTTCAATATCAAAAGCTAAACAAGTATGTAAAATCATAGTAGCAGCAAAGAACTGGGGTCTACACAAATTCCAGAATTTATAGAAAAGAAAAAGACAGTAGCAAATAATGTGTTATCGGTTATTTGTTGTAGAAAAAGAGAAACCAAATAATTTTATTAAGATAAAAAGCACCTGGTCATTAATTAAACATGCAAGACCTTTCAATTGCAGGTCTTAACTTTTTCACTTTTTAAACAATTTTAAAATGGGCTTCTATGATGCATCATGAATGTGAAGTAGCTATAAACCATAGAAGTCATTTTTCAGTTATTCTTTTCTTGTAGTCTTTGGATGGTAGACAGGAGGATCTATTTGGAAATTCCTAAGGCAAGAAAAAGTTTTAGTATTTGCCTTTTTCAACCTTGTCCTTGTTTTTTGAAAAAAAATATTTATAAATTTGACGATGTATTTAACCTCATCCAATGCTTCGAAAGTTTGGTTTAAATTTTCATAATTAGTTTATTACTGCCTAAACTTCCTAGCTCTTCCATTGACCAACCAAACGTTTTTGAGTGCCAAGAAAGTTGTACAGGAAGAAACACAAAAGTGCTTATCTGACAGTATTCTGTGGTATAAATTAATTGCAGATGCAGAATTTGTTGACAGACAAACCTGAAGGAACCCCACAAGTGGTGAAGAAGGCGCATCACCAAATATGTGAATTGAAATAGTAGAGATAGCCATAGATAATGGCCTCAAACTTGGCTTAACACAATGGAGGAATATGTAATTTGCAGGACCCTGAAAAGGAAAAGCTTAGGAACTTCATATTGTGGAAGTAGTCCTTAGTTCTGGCTCCCTAACATGCCATTTTATGGTAATAACATAAGTGGCAAAACTGTTTAATTTCTCTGTAAACAAGATTTTTTCAGTTACTTTGCAAGTGGGATACACCAGAAAGTCCATATATCTTCCATAATCATTAACTTTATGTGAGTAAAAATCTCAGTTAACTAGTACCAAGCACAAAAACTAAAACTAGATAAAATGAAGACAAGAAAAAAAACGTAGTACACCGTCAACTGTATGATCTGGCCTCTGTCACCCTAGGTGGCTCACATAGGGAGCGCCGGGTATAGCCTCAGTTAAGCAGTTTCTATCTCTCAAATCAAGACCTCAACTTGGTAGACAGAAATTGAATCTACCGGGAGCACCAACTAAACTATTGGCTGGATAACTGTCTACCTACTAATGCATTGAATTTCAGTTCATCCAAATGAGAAAGTAATACTGCAATAGCTAATAATTAGTGAGGGTTCTATTTTGCTACAGAAAGGAGATACCTGAGTCGCCAAGATCAGTAATTCACCAATTGAGAAAAGCGCTAGGAAAGCATACATGCTCTTAAAACAGAAGGCAGTGAAACAAAAAATTGCCCCAACAAATGTTGTTACTGAGAGAAGCTGCAAAAAGAGTCCAAGGAATTTGGTGATGCAGAGCAAGTGCGTTAGCGGCATCAGGGCAAAAGCATATAATGTATTACTATACATGCTTGAAGCAATTGATATATAAACGTATCAAGAAAATTCATCTTAGAGCATTTCCTTTAAAATGAAAGAGCACCTACCTTGAAAGCATTGGAGACTGTGGAAGTCATGCAATCCAGAACGTAGCCTCCTGCTAGAGTGCCCAATATTCCAGAGATGATAGTCATTCCTCCAGATATCATGTCTGCATCACTCTGCAAGAAGACCCTAACTTGCATAAAATATTACTAGGTTATTTTATTCATTTATTTTTTTTATGCTGCTTCATCTCTTTAGCAATTTCTTTGTCCAAAAGGACACAAATCTTAAACAATAAAGTATATTTTAGACATTAATTTTTAAGTAGACACTACGGTCATATTGACTCTTAAAGCTTACCGTATTATAAATATTGTAAACAGCCTTCGGCCACCAATAAGAGTAAGCACCCAAAACAAAGTTATATGCACAATAACCTGAAAATGGCTCCTTTCAAGTCAGCTTAAAAATGAGTATTGTCAAAACATGATACAACACACAATTTACACGTCCCAAAATAAAGTTCATCAAGGAATAAGTAATTTAACTAGTAAGACACCTCATTGAAAAGTAATTTAACTAGTAAGACACCGCATTGAACTTGAGAAAACAGCAATTTCATAAAAAATTATGAGAACAACAAATTTAACATAGAAATTCTCCATAATTGTTTTTCAGAGATACATTAGCATAACAGAAACTGATCTGTATCTGTGAAGCAGGGTAAAAGAACATACCTAAAAGATTGACAACATAGACCTTATCAACCAAAAGTACTTCTATGTCTTCAATAAATCTTGAAAACTGGCTTAAATTAATTGATGCACATTGCATTCTGGCCAGAAAAAATTTCAAACAAGATGTGAAAATTATTCAGATACATTTTCAAATGGAAAACTCTGCGATAGACTTCATATATGAATAAGATGTGCTGATAATCATAGTATTAGCAGGGGAAAGAACAGAAGAAAAGAATGCTATGCATGCAGAAAAAGATATAATGAAGCAGATATATTAACCCAAGGAAGCTCGAGCTGTTTATAGTTTGCGTAAAGTTCTGTTCTCGCTGTGGATCCTGAATGTGTACTAGCCTATAAAGAGTTTGAAATACAGCATAAAGTTATGTTTGTCCAGTTTCTGTGTGTAATAAGAAGTTTCTACAATACAACAAGTAGCATAAAGGCCTCTAAAGTTAAGCAGTTGTATAGAACATATATTATGAACTTCAAGAAAATGTCTCTCACTTGGAAAACACATGGCTGGATTCTTCCTCCATGGATCTTGCACTAACTTTAACATTTAAGGCCTCTGTATCTTCATCAAGCATCAAAACCGTTACGTACATACAACAACTAAGAGAACTTACACAGAAGAAACTAAGTCGGGGGGCAGATAATGCAATGAGGTTTCATGTAATAATTAACTTCTGAAAATAGAAGCAGAGGATAACTCATCCAACTATATTGCACCAAAGATGAATTATTTGGGCAACAATTTAACTTTGAACCTAATTCATGTTAGATTGATTACAGTGCACACAAGTTAGGGTAAGCAAAATATTAATGCCTCAATCAAATTTATAAACTTCAATAAAAATCCTATTTCCTTCGAGAGGGGGAGGTGGGTACAAGGGGAAACATTAATTCTCAAGGATATCTTTGACAAAGCATTAAATTTTAATAAGTGGATAGTTCAAGACCAGCTAAAGTAATTGGAATATAAAATCAAAGTATTCTAAAGTAATTTATCTGTGAGAAATCATGATATGTTCTTCCCTGGTCAATAAAGCAACAGAGTTTCAAGTAAGGAAATGCAAATTGTGCAGTGGATATGTCAACTATGCAGCACCTTCAACTTCTGGTACAGCTGTGTCTATGGAGATCAATGCTTTTTTAGACTCAGCAGGAGCAAAACCTGTATCAAGGAATCATCAGAAAGTAACTGGAAAAGTCTAGAGGACCAATCCATGTTGCTAGGTCTGCAATATGCACCTTTCAACTGCGAAGGCTTCATAATAAAACCCAGAATAGCAAATGGAAGCATCACAATGGCTTCCACCCAGAATGCAAAACGCCAATTTAAATGGGTGCCGGCCTGTTAGGAAGGAAAATTACTTTAGCTAGTTATCTCAGATTAATGTATGGGCAGAGCATAGAGCATCATAAAATATGGACAGTACCAAAACTTGGCATACTTGAAATAAGGATGGTTCTTTTATTCCTAAACTAGGAAGGAATTAAGAAGATAATTTTAACAAATACATATAAAAGAGCTAGGAAAAAAAAAAACTTACCAGTCCACCATAAACACATCCAAGTGCATATCCGACTGGCATACACATGTAAAATATTGCTAGCCATGCTGCTTTCTGACACAAAGGCAGGAAAAGAATACGATTCAAGGGGATGACATAAACAAAAAGGTTTCTGGTTGAAGGTGATATAAACACAATGGGCATGTTGCATGTAACTCCCAAACTCAATAGTCAATAGCAAGATGACTGTGATCTATACGTATGACAAAATAATAAGATTGAACCCTGAAACTAACTTTTTATAATGGGTCATACCAAAACAATGAACTTAATTTCATGTTTTGACATTAAAAGCTTGAAGCCTAAACATCCTTCTTTTACGTTTTTCAATCATACCAATTTGTGGAGAAGGCCCAAATTCCTTAACTTTTGGGATAAAATAAGTATCCCTTTGGCCACATTTAGATCTTCATTCAAATAAAGCAGACTATCTTAATACACATCAACTTTGGGATACATTAAATAAAGGAAATTCTTCTATAGATCAGTTATCAACACTGCAAGCCCAAACTTTAAAGAAATTGGTTTGAAACAAATGAAAATAGTGAACAACCCCAATGAGGTAATGAACTTAATATGAAAATTCTAAGAGCTTTAATACATAAGCATCAGCTGAAAGTATCGAGAATTTTGTGACAATGAGATGAAAATAAAAAGACAACATATGCACACATACATATAATTGAAATGGAACATATCTCAAAAGCAGTTTATAGGGCACGTGTGTCCCCCACTTGCCTCTATATTTTATACCAGAAACCTTTTGGCTTTTGTATTAGTACATCAGGCACCAAAGTTCAGACAAGCTTAATATCCCTACAGTTATCAGAGATTAAGGAAAAACAACCTGACCAACAGGTGCATTGTCATCAATGAAAGGAGCTGCAAGACTGATAAATGAAGCTTCACCAACACCAACTAGCCTAGAAAGAATAATATTAGAACAATGATATTATTACTTATTATCTTAGTGCTAAAATAATCAAAGATTAAAATATAAATGAAGAAAGAAAGGAAATAAGTAACTCACATGCGACAGATTGTGATGGACCAGAAATTGAATGAAAAACCACAACCAATCATAGCCAAAGTACATACTGACGATCCAACTCCAATAAGTCTAAAAGGATTAACACTGCAAAACTTTTATAAATACATAAGGACTCACATAAAAGACAAACTTACATCTGAAGCTTTTCTTAATTATAATCTTAAGTAGCTTATATGGAAAATTGTGGCTCATTGAACACAAACGCAATATTCATCTTGATCATACGAGATCAGGCTACAAGAATATGAGCACAAAACAATTAAACATACCCCAGAAGCAACATTTATCTGACACATGCATGTGCACATGCATGCACAATTAGTTCTGTTGAGTAATTGGGAAACAAAGTAATTAATTCCAGCTTTTACCCAGAAATATTTAAGTAATTCTCATAGGGCACAAACACATATACATATTGAAAAGACATTATATCAAGAATGAGGCTTCTATTCGACATAAAAGCTATACATGAAAAGTATAGCCAAACCAAATGGTTGAAACTTAAATATAGATGATACTTTCAAGTAAATGTTTGGCCCATACTTCGACAATTAACATATATATTTTTATTTAATGAATTGACTGAAAGTTCTTACCTCTTTGCTAATGATGCAAATATGGGAGAAGTCACAAGAAGTCCAACCAAAAATGCAGATGACATAACTCCATCTTCAAAATTGGTCAAGTTAAATTCACCTCTATACAGAACAATGAACTCAAAATAAGCCCCAGAGTTTAGAGGTCCAGAAAAAGTAACTATCAAGTTATTTATGGCTCAATCAAGCAGTTAGAAGTTCAAGGATGTTTAGGTTCTAAAAAAAGTTAATTATGTCAAAGGTGGTGCGTCAAACAATGGATAATAAGCTATCAAACATATATGAGTTGGGTATTGTAGGTCTTTTCCATCAATAAATATCTACATTGAACCAACATAAATTCAGTCTTGCAGGATAATGTTCAAAAAAAGATAAGAAACAAAGCCAAATACTATAAATTCCTCAATTTTCCTTTGTCAGAAACTAATCTCTCGAAAGACACCCATGTCTCCCAACTTAGGGAGATATGAAACAAATTGATGAGATACAAACAGGTAGTTACAACCGTTGTCCTGTCCATCAATGGAATCTAATAAGGAACAATATCCACCATCAAATGCCTCAGCAGCAAGAAAAAAAATGAGGGTCTCCTCTTACTGTATTCCACTACCAGAAGTGCAAGTACCACTCAATGTGTAAGTTCCAAGACTCCCATTGACACCATTGCTTGCTATTACTCCTCGATCCACATACGTTAACAAGTTGATAACACAAAAGATAACCAACAACCTGCAAAAATGAACCATAATGTCCAAAGCACCGCTATAATTTTCATGCATCACTTGCAAAATCTGCAAATTCTTAGGTGTTACTGCCAATCAATCCTAACTTTTGCCTAAATAAATTTAATCTACAACCCAAAACAACGTTACATAACTATTAAAGAAGCTCAATATCACTCAACTTGGGTGCTCAACCTTACCAACATGACATATTACAATTTCACTAGTCTTTGGACAAGCAAAAAAGAGCATTCCTTCCTTCCCCACTCGTAACAAAAATTGTATATTTGCATGAAGTTATCTCCTAAACATGTGAAAACATTAAACATATGTCTTAAAAGTGAACACCTTAACCATTAAAAGAAAAAAAGCCATAAATTGCAGAACGTGGTTACTCAGGTAGGGGATTTGAGCTAAAATCTGGACCTTCAAACAAATCCCAGAAAACCCAATTGACAAAAAGAAAATGGAAAAAAAAAATCGCAATTTCTTTCCCCAAGAAAAAATTATAAGAAAAGAAATTCATCTAAGTGTTGGGGAGATAAACCAAATTTTAAGCCCACGAGAGCACACCAAAAAGTAGCCATACATGTTGGATTTTTGGATTTTCATGTATAAATATATAACCTTTACATCCTATTTTTATCCCATATTTTAGGTGAAGCTCTTCCAACAACTACAAGTTTCATTTACCAAATTAATCTTCGACATTCAAAAAGCTTATGAATACAAGGGTGTTCTTTTTTAAAAAGAAGATACCATTTGGGTGTGAACCAGGAAGGCTCTGGAACTGGTAATAAGACTGATTTCCTCGCCATATCTCTGGTTCTGCAGAAGAAGCTTTTGGTTCCCCGTGTTGTTGTTGTTGTTGTTGACGTTGTTGTTTCATTAACTTATTATATCCACGTACTCCGCTATTGATGTTTTTGTTTCAAGTGAACTGATTTCTGAGTTCTAACTTGGCTTTTGCATGGTAGTTAATAACAAAACGAAGGACCACGCTGTTTTTTTGGGATAAGAATCTTGCGACTATTGGTTACTTCGCTTTCAGTTGGCTTTTCTTCAACGTTAGATTGATAGTCAAGTGGTCAGTGAGGACGACCGACAGGCCTCTCTAAACTGTTTGGGCCTTTATAAAACAAAAGAGAATGACCCGTGGATCAGTTCGTTAAGGCATTTCGCGAGTTTAAGCCTCACCGGAGTAATTTCTGTTTCTTCAACACAGTCTACATCTTACTCGTTATGGTATGTTATGGTGTCTGGCACGATGTTATAACGTGTCAGATTGGCTCAAAACGAGTTATAGCTTGATAAAAAAGATACAACGAAATGCAAATGGAAAATTTGTTAAACTAATAATTAAAATTCATAATTACTTTTTTATTTTACAATTTATAATTCTCTTTTGTTTTCATCTTTCTTATCAAGCAAAGCCTAAAAATTGGATACAGTGCGGTCTAACGAAATGGGCCACTATTGGACTGGAAAACAAATGGTTAATTACCATTTTGAATACTGATGAGAGCTAACGATCATAGTGACTAATTGCTTGCCTGCAGTCACTTCATTGCCTTAAAAACTAGCTTTTAGTAAATCATGGTACCAAGATGGATTGAAAAATAGCTCTTCCTGTCCTCCAAAATGAAGATCAGCATGAAGAATGCAAAAGAATAAAAAGAATCATTACGGCTTTGCATTATATTCAATAAAATGTATACGGTGATGTGGTTTTGACAAACAGAAACCTAGTATGAAACATTTAGCAACCAAAAGGATTAGGAAGATAACCTCAAATGAAGCTTGATCGTTTCTGGCCTAAGATCAGCAATAGTTTCAACAAAAGTACCTTGTTACTCAGCAATAATGTTTATGAGCATCTGACACCTTCAAATATGGAAGATCTGGCCAATGCTTTGATGGAGAAGAAACTGTAGACGAGAAAGAAACTTCAAAGCTTTGATGCTTCTAATGTTCCTCAGTAGTGGTTAATGTATTTCTCTCTTCCTCACCATCTGTTGGTTTCATTGGAAAGCCATTATCTGTATCTAGTTCACAATATAATACACCTCGGGACTCTGGATTCTCAGACTGATGATGTATACTGTCGCGCTTTCCTTGATCTACTTCCTGTTGAGGATGGGAGACTAGAGTTCTATCTGACAGGTTTTTTCTTGATGATTCATCTTTAGATGTGGTTGACAATTTGTTTGTCTGATCTATACCCCCTTGAATCCTGGAGACTTGAGCTCCATCTGTTTGGCTTTCCCTTGGTAAATTGTCTTCAGATGAGGTCGATGATATTGATGCTTCAGCCTTGGCCATTCTTGCCTAATCAAGCAAAGGTGTAAGGTAAAATCAATTACTAAGCATGGTAATTCATGGTGTTCAAGTATAGAACAGTTGCTAAATAATGCATAAAGAAAATGTAGGTTTGCAACCTAGGAGTATTGGCATCAAAAGTATAAGAAAAATACCAAAAACAAAGTGAATTTTTTAAGACAAAATATATAGATTCATAAAAGTAGCACTTTGCCCATCTTTGTATTTTTTTTCCATCATTTAATGTTAAAATTCTAAAAAAACGGTCAACCAAAAGTTGGGACTTGGAAGGCAAATGGAAGCTATACAATTTTCTTTCACAGTTTTACAGTATGTACTGCAAGCTCTCAAGTGCTAACCAAGTGAAGTCTTATACTATTTGACCTGTCACATTCTCCCTGAAAGGTCATTTAACAATCAGGTTATCCAAAAAATCCAGGACTCTAAGAGGTTTAACTTGCAGAAGCTTACATATCATACCATACCATGAAAGTTTGAATCACATTGGTAGATTCCATATAATATATACATCCACATACCTGCAGTGGCTTCATAATGTCAAATTCCTGATCGTCAGTTTTGCTGAGTTCTTCTTCTTGAGCTTGCAACTCCATGGAATCTCGAAAAAGCTGACGGAGAAATGTCACGTCATCAGACATGACACCAAATCCTTTCAAAAGCTTGGATCCAAGTTGTAAACTTGTCTGCATGAATAAATAGGATATCCATAGTCAGGGAGTTGAAGCATGATTGTTGAACCTTGTAATAACAAAATGCAATGTAAAAATTTGTCAATACCTCCGTATTCTCCAAGATAGCATCTGTTGCTCCGGCTTTCTTTAAATCTAAGAGATGTTTGAGGTCTTGAGCCCTTGCATAGATTGGGACCTTCTCAATCGCATGTTTTAGCAGAAAATTAGCAGTCCAGCCAGGAAAAAAAGTTTATCTTTTTTGAAACAAGAAAACTAGAAAAATAGAGAAAAAACAAAAAAAAGAAAAACTAATAGCAACTAATAGTTTTCTAGTCCCCTTAATAGCAATTTTCTTATGCTAACTCTATCACTTTATCATCAAAACTTGATTTTGTGTCTTATTTACATACAACAAATTAAAGCCACCCGGACTAGGAGAGAAAGAGAGAGGCATTACTGCAGGGAACGCAAGCCGAAGCCTTTGAGCAGCTTCAATTGTCCTCTTCTTTCCTCTGTACATAATCATGACAGCTTTAGGAGAAGAGATACCAGCAGATTGCAGAACAGCTGGACGTGACCCATCCCCATAGAGAATTGGGAAACCAAGTTTTCTAGATGCCTGCAAATGCAGTAACAAATATTTCCAATACTATCACTTGCAATTTCCTAGAAATATTATAACTTTAAAACACTAAAAGACTATTTTACAGCAAGAAACTTATTCTGATAACTTAAGATCCATTTTACGATACTTCATTTTAGTTAAGTCTTGAAAGGCCACAGTCCAACTTCTGAACCATAAACTGCAAATGAAATGAGTGTTACCTTGAACGGCCAAGACATGCACATATGTAATTGGAATCAACGTAAGATCTTAAACATTCATCAAAATTATATATGCACACAAATATCTTATACAAAATAGATTGGATACCTTCACCACAGAAGGATTGAGGTCAAAAGCAACATAATGCAATCCCATAATGTCACCATCTCCTCCAGAAGCGAGTGGGGTTGACAAAAAATTAGCAAGTACCTGCAAGTAAAAGCATTAGAAGACTAGAATACAGTTACAGCCAAGCCATAATTATTGATGTTAGCATATCATAATTGATGTACCTGGCCCATTTGCCCAAAGCCAATGATAACAACAGGTTCGCTTGCATCAAAGTTCACTGTCTCAGCATCTTTCTGTGAAAAACTCTTCTTTAATTTCACACAGATAAAATCATTTTCAAAAGCAAGATGTTGAATACAAAATTGTCCTGCTACCAGAACTAGCTAGTCACATAAAAATAATAAACTAAAATACTAAAAAGAAGAAAATATTGGGTAATGAAAACTTAATCCAACCACATTATTGCAGCTCAATGTGGTTGCTTTCAAACATTTACCATATCGAGACCAAAAAGAAATACTACTAGTATTAACATACATCTGTTTCAAATTTGTCATCAATGAAATTGGTGGCCCTTCTTCCAACTTCATTAAGCAGTGGGGTTAATGCCATTGACAGTACCACAACAATAATAAGCAGCTTATTAAGCTCAAGCGGTAGCACTCCTAGCCTGCTCGAGGATGGCAGAAAATATTATAAGCATAAAGTAAACAAGAATGCTTACTTAGAGACTAGTTACACCATTGATTTAAGCCATGACTAACCTGTTAGCTAGAGAAAAAACTACAAAGGCAAACTCGCCTCCTTGCGATAGAAGAAATCCTACTCTTACACTTTCCTGCAAGGTTAGTCCCACACGAGGACCTATTGCTGTAATGATCAATGTCTTGATGACAATCAAACCAGCCAAGAGTGCAAGCACATTTGGCCACTCTCGGTAAAGAAGCTGCAAAAGAAACCAATATAACTTGCATTATATCAAATACTGGGAAGCATTGTTACTGGTTGCATTACTTATGATGATGGCTACATTTTACACACTTCTAGAGAACATAGATTCATGTCATCAAACCTTTCTAGAGAACATAGATGCTTAATTCCTTTTTCAGCCAATTCAGGACCGAAATTTCAATAGTGCTTATTACACGCACAAAAAAAGTAAAACCTTAGGATGAAGGATACAAACACAGAAATATCACAAAATTGACACAATTTTCAGTTTTTTAAGCAACAGGTATTTACTTGCTAATATTCAAATGCACAAAGAACACAGAAATATCACAAAATTGACACAATTTTCAGTTTTTTAAGCAACAGGTATTTACTTGCTAATATTCAAATGCACAAAGACCAATCATACAAGAAAACAGAGGGTAATCAAGGACAATTACTATACCTGCATGTCAATCGAAGTTCCAGTAGTCACAAAAAATAAACCAAGAAGTAAGCCTCTAAATGGCCGTATATCAGCTTCAATCTGTGTCCGGAAATTTGTTTCTGCCAATAATGCTCCAGCCAGAAATGCTCCAAGCTAGACAATGAAATTAAACTTAGTTATTACATGGCCTGAAATTTATCAATCTTAAATGTTATCTGCTATTGAGAATACATATCAAACCGTATCACTGAAGCCCAACTGTTGGGTAAGAAGGGAAGTCCCTGCAACTGTTAGCAAGCAGAGAGCAACAAAGGCCTCTGAGCTCCTTGTTTCAGCAACAACCTGAAAGTTTAAGAAACCTAAGTTAGCGACAGCAAATCAAATGTATTGGAGTCTTTTTTTTTTCCTTTTTTTTCTATCTTTAATAATAAAACTCAACACACCTCAAAAACTCGCCTAAGAATGTATTTTCCTCCAAGAGAAAGCAGACCAAGCCCACCTAGTGCCTTCAAACTCTCTTGAGCTAGCATTGGCCAAATACTTTCCTCTATTGGATTCTGCAAAATTTAAAAAAGAGATTAAAAATGGTTGAAGAATGACAGTACAACCCAGATATATCTGATAAGCACATACAGTATATCATAATCCATATGAGACAAGAAAAATAAGCGTGAAAAGGGAGAGGACCGACCATTACGAAAGTGGCAAGGTTTCTCCTATTGAAACATTATTCTAAAAGTGAGATGACTGGACTCCTTCCTCATCTAAGTATGTCATAATATTTGTATAAGAGGTCTTCATAATCTTAATTTCTTAAGTAAATGAACAAGAGATGAGAAGTAGGTACTCAACTAAATGCTTGTAATCTAAAAATGATGCCACTCAGATAAATTAAACAAACAAATAGAAGTTGGGAACACATGGAAGTAGCAATTACACAACATGGTAAAAGATGCGCACAGCGATTGAATATTATTCTCAGAACATACAATTTTGATAGGGTAGCAAAAAAAACACATTAATATACTTTAATATTGAAAAAAAGAAGAAGAAACAAGCAGCAGCTGTTAGGAAAAGGGAAGGATACAAAGAATATTATAGGTTGCTCTCCATTCAGAGAGACAAATGAAGAGTTCATACCTCACTAACTGAAGACGAGAAGAAAAAAGATTAAGACAAAATGGATTTCTTGTATTTAAAATGCATATTCTAAAATTAATCCACAAAGCAGGGAGAGAAGAGAGAGACTCCTCTATACCTGGCTCTCGAGCACTGGAAGTATGACTAAGAGAGGGACAACGGCTATGTCCTGCAAATATCAAGCATTAGGGCCCAAAAAGGTTATTGATATCATAGTTGTGATGTCTACTTCACAATGAACCTAGAAAAATCCACAAATGGAAGTAATAGCAAATCTAGTAACTCCCTTGGTATGTCAAATTAACTAGAATAAAAAAGACAAGCAAGTCGAGTTTAAGTAAGAACCTGTAAAAGAAGTATCCCCAGAGTTGCAGAGCCAAATCTTGTTGGCAGCTCACCCTTCTCTGCAAGAAGCTATATCTTATACTTGTAAGCTTTACAATGCTATACCAGGAAGGTACATCTCATATTTCAAAGAACAGGAAACACTTGGCATGTAAAAGCACCATAAAGCAAAGAACTTTACCTCTTTTGTTTTGTAATAAGTATGAATTTGTTATGCAAAAAACTTGTTACACAGAAAAAGTAGCAAATCCAGATTTCCATTATAAAGAGGAGAAAGGGAAGAAAAAGAATACAAATAAGAGATACAAATGAGAGAGTCCTCTTTTTCAAAACAAATATTCACTTGAAAAGCCAAAATCTTGAAACTACCAAATCTACAAGTAGAGAGCACATCGCGAGTTTAGCCTGACTGCCAGGATGTGTACCTACCTACTCAATGTGACAACGGCAGCAAAATGAAACAACCATTCTGAGGATATCTATCATTAGAATACCTGTAGAACAAAAGCTGAAGAAGATAGTGATAATGCAGCACCAATCACTATGGCTTCATCAATGCTTCTGATATTAACCTACAATTGTACCAAAAAGAAGAATCATGATAAAAAGGTTTAAACAAAAATGTTGATAATTCAGTCAGATGGCTTTCAATAGGTAAAATGTTGTTAGAAACATCCAAATTACAGACAATTACTAATTCTGAATTATTTAATGAAATCAAGCTATCAATTTCTCAACCAAAAAAAAAAATAGAGAAGAAAAAAAAGGAAGGGCTATCAAACATCAAATTCCTAATTCCTAATGAAACTGAAACCAGAATCCAAGCCTATCTCTTCATCATTTGTTCACCAAATTCTTAACTCATAATTTAGTGTTGAATCTTCTAAATATTAAAGTGAGAAATCATCCCAAATGTACTCAAATTTGAGTCAAATTCATGGATACAGAATAAAACATATATGCAGGTTGATTGCAATAAGTAGCACTAGAGGTTTGCACTATGACAAACACATTGAAACACCAACCCAAATAAGTAGCAGGAACGATTAAAGCATTAAAGAAAGAAATGCAGGGTGAACAAATACAAGAATGCTTGAAGATGTTTGGATAAAGTGTTCTCACCAGGTCAGGCCTAGAGTGAAATAGGAACTCTAGAATTCTGGTTCCAATAGCCCCATTAGGTGGAAGTTCAAATGCTGAGAAAGCAAGGGTGGACAAGAAAACCTTAAAAATAGCAAGAGGAAAAAGACAATATCAATCACCTAGCATTCAAAGGGGGAAAAATTCTTCCATAACCAACTAATATAACAAATATAAGCTATACAGATGAAATTATAAGTGAAGAGACAATAAAAAGGGAAGCTAAACAAGTTAAAGATGCCAAAGTCGACGGATCCTTTGACTTTCTTGACAATGGTTTATGAACTTCCTGACCTTGTCTTACACTATGTTTATCATGGCATAGTGGAATAGAAAGAGTACAACGTTCTTCGCTATAAGTTTAGAGTAACTGAATTATTAAATCACCAAGCCAGTCAAAATGGGCTCAGAACTGAGCACATCTTACTGATAAACCCTAAAATATAGTCAAACTAAATGAGTAGTGATGGAATAGTAACTCGAAGGAACTTGTTAGAAGCATCTACAAATAATGGGAAAATGAAAATAGAAATAGAGACTCTACCACATAAAGCAGATGGCTCCTCTAAGTGTTATTGCCTAAGAGGTAAAACCTCACCCAAATTAGTTCGGTGATGTACTTCACTTTTTCCATTTTCACTTGAAAGTAGACAATAGAATTTCCCACTCATGATCCTAGCTAACCACCATAGCGAGGAAATAGTGAAATCTAGTCAAATGTAGACATAGTATTAAACTCAAAGAAAATTTCCCAGAGCAATCCAGCAATTCTATATCATGCATGTTTCAACAACTTAACACATTTCAGTCTAGTTTTCAATATAATATTACCCAGTAGTTTTACAAATATACGAGTGATAAGACATACAAAAATTTCAACCCCAACACACAACCGGATTAAAATAACAAATCCCATTAACATCATACCTGAGTCAATCCCATGCCAAAGGCAAATTTTGCAAGAGCTTTTAGGCGTGCAAGTGAAAGTTCTAAACCCATTTCAAACAGCTGAAAAGGAACAGATATTAGCCCAAATGACTATGCATAATTTTTAAAAGGTATTCTACATGAAATTTGCAGCATAAAATATAACCATATGTTGCCTTCTCAAACTATCCTTCTTTATTTAAAGAGTTAAAAATAACTAACTAACAGAAAACATCTATAGAAAATGCCAAGAAGATTGCTATAAATCTAAGAAATATGACCAGATATCTCATACTATTTATCTAAGTGCACATGAGCAGGATAGTTAAAAGGAAAGCTGTAAGCAACAGCTGATCGAAAGATGCATGATTAGCAACCAATACATTTAAGTCAAATGACAGACTAGCTGTCTTTGCTAATCCTTAATGTCAATAATTACCTTCTTTCTTATAACACTGATGGGATCTAAACAGGAAAAAAAAAGTGGCATCTTACCTAATTGAGAAATTAGCTTACCAGAAAAAGTATCCCCCATTCAGACAGGATTTTGACATCTGTAAGATTTCTAATCAATGCAAATTGATTCAGTACAACCCCAGCAAAGAAGAAGCCAAGTATCTGGAAGCAATTAGCATTATTTTTTTGTTACTATTAGGAATGGAAGACTATCAATCAATAAGAATAGCATCCATAGTTTCTTCCACATTGTATAAATATTTCAAGATTCCTCAAGTAACTAACAAAAATCTGCTTTTCAAGTATGCCTGCCCTGGTTTGTAGAGATAATACTTACAAGCCTATGTACAGATCTTCATATGTATAGATGAGTGATAACCTCTAATTAAAATGCATTGCCAGTAAATGAAAACGCAATGAAAAAAAAAAGTAATTTATGAGAATTATGCTACTTGAATTGTTTATCCTTACAGGGCTTGCTCTAATGATCTTGAATACAGGAACAACCATGACAGTCACAGCCAAGAATGTCAAAGTATCCAATCCTAAGTCATTGATGACATCAACAGCACTAGCAACATCAACTGCTGCATAAATCCGTGACGTTCCCCAGTGAACCAGTCTCTTGTTGGACAAATGGACTCCTCTCTTATTAGATGGTGGTGAATGTAGAAAAGGTGTGCCACCAAATGTGTTCTTTAAAACAAGAGTACAATTATTCATTCTGACTTTTACTAATAGTGGTCGAGAATAGAAGAGCATGTTATTGACATATGGCAAATTGGAAGAATGCCCAGAAAACCATGATATAGCTTGAGAGTAAGCGCCACCCAAGCTCTTTTTTTTAACAAAATCACAACCCTGCAAGATAACAAATAAATCGACTAGATAGCGATTAAACCATTTAATAACGTAAACCTTCAAACAAACTCAATGTTCATCATTCGTGGGGTCAAACGTTTTTAGGAATTTTTAGCCAATTCAGTCCTCAACAATGGTTGGTGGGATGAACCACATGAACAATCAAATACTTCAGACAGTTTATCCCAAAAGAAAAAATTTTAGAAAAATGAAAGTTATATGCCAATCAAATCCTCAATAATATCAGGACAAACCATAACCATGATACAATACTCACTAATTAGAAGCCACTATACTCAAATATTTTCAATTAGAGTGTATCTAGAATAAGTTCTCACAAATTTGGTGGTGGAAACTGGAAAGTGATGTTGTTTCCCAACAACTAAAACCACTTTGGGGAAAAGAATTAGAACAGACCAATTTAATATTTCCTTGAAATATCAGTGGAATATGGGGAAGCCAAGTCAAATTAAAAGGGTTTTTAACTATCATAATCTGTAAAATATCCAGAACTTGCTTCTCTTTTCCATTATTGTGGCCTCTGAAATTCAACAAAGATATTTGCCAAAAGGTTCAAAAGTAAGAGCACAACATACATGTAAAACACAAAGACAGTTCAAACCCTTTCTTCCTTTGTTAGTAAAGAAAGAAACCCAAGGATGTAAAATCTGGAAAAAAAATTTAAAAAAGAACAACCATTGCTTTGCACTTTTGTAGTCCAAGAAAACACAAAGAAAATGTCAACGTTTAAAGATTGCATACCTTGGAACTATGGCAACGAGATATTGACTCCAACATAGTGTTGAAAGGCTTAAAGACTCAAGACCAAGAAACCAACTGAAACAGAAAAGTTAAAAGGCATTTTCCTGGTACTTTGATGAACCCTAAATCTTTAAAGGAAAAGGAGATATAATCTTGGGTTTTTTTTTTTTTTTGCTTTCCGTCTACTACGTTTCTTGTGGGTATTTTAAGGGCTAAAGCAGAGGAGGGGAAGCGACCACGACATTATAGAGCCTGTAAGACTTCTTGGAAAGAATTGAGACACATCCAGGCAAGGCAAGAAGTTATGTGGCTTGAGGATTAAGGTCGGTTTAAGACAAACACAGGGCAAGGCAACGGTAAGTACACGTGGCAGTTGCTGATAATATCGGAATATAACTGCATGATTATCGGGGAAAAAAAACGCGACGTAGGTATGGCCTAGATTTTGTGAAACTGAAAAAGATATGGTTAGATTTTTATTATTTAAAAAAAAAAAACAAATGTAAATATTTCACAATGAAAGATTTTGATAATGTGACTGTGTCTGACAATAACTAAAACAGAAAAGATATTTTCAATTAAACTGGGAGTTTTTTACAATTTACAAGTACTTTTGCAATCTTAAACTTACAATCTAAGTGTCTTATAAAAACCCAACATTCTCTTCAACCAGGAAACCAGAAATTTTCACTTCACCTTCAGTTCAGTGCGTTGGACATTTTCGGCCTAATCACACTTGATATCCATCATCAGATTGGGCTTGATTATCCAGGCCTAGGTTTGGTCTCACTTAGTCACTTTTTGTTTTTATGATTCAATTTGTCTCATTTTGAATCTTCATCTAGTAGAGGGCAGAGGCTGATTCGCGGCCCCTCGGGCCTTTTTTCTTTTATGGCTGTAAAGCAAATGAGGTTATATTTGCTTGTCTAATGCCTTCATGTTTTGATGATTGAATGAAGTTATTGGCAAAAGACCTCAGGATTGAGTTAGTTCATTCATGTTTCTAGTATGCCACATGTTGTAATAACTCTAGACAGAACCTTTGATTTATATTCTTAAAGCAATTTAGTGAAATACTGTAACAATGAATGTAAAGAAAGAAACATAGAATCACACTAAACATAAAGCCAAATCATAACAAGTATCAAACAACATTCATATCAGATGACTCTACATGATGGTCCATTTGACTTTTGCTGCATACAAGCAATATTCATAACTAGGCAAGTACATTCAAGCAGGCAAAGGCACCCACACTAGGTTATCTGGAGGGAAGAAATGGCACACTGGGGAGGATCCGGGCTTGATTTTTAGCAAACGAAAAGATACATGATCAGGGTCCCATTGAGAGGTATCCATGTGGCAAGCAGCTGAAGCTTGCACTCTGTCTCCGTTCTCAGCACCTAGAGAAACCTGAAATAGCCTGGTTTCAGTACTCTTCTGGCTGTGGCAGTAGAATACTGCATAAGGATATGGCAAAGTATGACATGCAATAATTCTACGAGTAGGGATCTGTTTAGGCACGCCCAAAATGGTATAGTTTTGTAGAAAGACAGTTGGCTTTTTGAGAAAGGTAGTGGTTAAAACTTTAAGGTGGGCATCCAAGCCAAAGACAGAACAAGCAAAGTCAAGCATTGATTCCAGGGAAGTGGCACAAAACCTTATCTCACCTTTAGGGGGTTCAAGTTCACATTGCCTAAGCGTATATTCCATGGCTTTGGCTTGGCGAGAGTCTTTAGAGAATGAGAAGAACTCAATAAGTTGTGTGAGTTGTGTTGATGAGAAAGGAATAGAATTGGCTTCCTCTCTAGAGAGTAGATGAGGAAAGGCCGAAAGGTCTTTACTGGGAAGGTAGATGACCATTGTTTTGCCAACCTTAAAGTCATCAATCTTGAAGAAAATATTTTGTGAAGGGTCCATGTGGCCATCCATGGTACCTGAAGGTTGCTGCAAATAATTTGTGCTCACACCTTCTCCCATATGTTGTCTGTTAGTTATCTCCCGAGCATTACTCGCTTGTGCACACTGTAATTAAAATTGATAAAAGAAAATGTTTCAAAGCTGAAACTAAAAGAGAAGTGAGAATTTGCAGTAGAAAAGAATTCTAACGAGTATAATTAATCAAGCAAGCTTATGTTGATTCTTACCATCAAAGCAAGAAAAACTGAAAGGGAAATGCACCAAGAAGCAAAATCAGAACCCATGTCTCTGCTATGGAACTCTATTTTTTTTTTTTTTTCTTTTGCTTCTGAATTAAAGAAACAGACAGTACTCAACTAAATTAATTGGAGACTTTGGCTACGAAGATAGTATTTTAATGCAATGAATTATATATTGTGAAATAATGTAGTAGTAACCAATATAAAATGTCCCTTAGTAGCATCCTAGAAATCAAATTTGAGAAATTAATAAACTGTTAGGCAACTGGTTTGGCTGATAGACTAGAGCCCGTTTCAATGGACAGGTGAGGCGTTATTGTCGGTTTTGGTCAAATTGTTATGTCATCCGGCTTTTTTTGGCGTAATTGGCTCTATGCTGGACCTATCACAGAGCAGAGAATGGTCAAAGGCGCCGGAGTTGTGACTCTAAGATATACTCCGACGTTCAAGTCAGCTATGTATTCATGGTGCAGAGGATAAGAGCAATAACACCCTGGTCACATGCTTATTAAATTATAATAAACTCAATCATGTTCCTTGACTCATTTCATCTTGGCAAGAATCACAATTAATAGTAAATGAACTAGACAAAGAATATAGCATAGATTTTCCAGAAGAAGGGTGGATTGTGAACTGAAAAAGGAAAAAGAGAGAAACAATGACGTTTGTAGTGGTAGTGGGATAGAAATTCTGCAGAAGAGTTGACTATGACCCTTAGTTGACTCTCAGATACTCAATGAATATATGCATGTTTCAAAGAGATTGCAGTATCATATAGCACTGAAATCTTGTTGATTTCTTCATTGCAATCAGTTGCCAAGGTGGCATATGTTAGCTATCATGAAATATCCAACTAGCAGACCAGAAGGATAAATCTTTCTTTGATCTTTAACAATACAATAATTCTCCACGAGCATCACAATTTCATAAGTTTCTACCCTCTTTGCATTTGTCCTATTCCGTCCCACATAAGAAAATTGCTGCCGTTTTGTTTTATACAGCTGCAAATTCCAATTGTTTATGATGAACTGATTACTTATTCTATATTCTTTGTCTTGCTTTTATTTGTTTTTTCTTTCTCATGACTCTTAACGGAAGAATATAGCAAACTTCGAGAAATCTTTTCACTAATTGTCAACAAAGTTGAAACATATCTATTCAGAAAGAGATTACATAATTACAAAATGCTTCCTACCTCCACCAGGTACCTAAACCTTGCAACTATTCGTTGAACCTTAGCACATAGTTTTGAACATTGCATAATATATCATCATCAATATAACGTGGTGAATGGACCTTTTCTTTCTTTGCCTACAGTTGATCAATGTGAATGATTGACCTTTTAAGGAACAAATTTTTTTATAAAGGAAGATGTAACCTGAGAATATAAAAAGGATTGCGAGTATTAAAGACTGAAGTCCTAAATCTGCTGAATGTATGACTGCATGAACCAATTAAGCTAACCTCCGGGTTAATTCTTTAGTTAATTCTTTCCTTGATAGTGAAGTAATGAAAAAAAGAAAATTGTTGCTTTAACTGTTAAGAACTAACTTGCTGTATCTCCTTCCATGAAGATGATCAAGGGTATCAGGTTCAAAGTTTAGGCACTAAATAAAAATGGGTTATTTTCCATCAATTAATCAAAATAAAGAAAGAAAGAAAGAAAGAAAATATGAAATTGAAATGCTACAACTAAGCTTACATGTTTGATATGAAAATGAAGTTGACTATGGCATATCAGGCCAAAGGACTGATCATGTGCTCTGCCAATCACTGCATAAGAGCCCATATAAAAATGTAAGATTAGACCAAAACTACATGAGAAAAAGAAAGATTCTATGCATGAACCAAATAGAAACAAAAAAGTACAACTAGACAATTTCTTTGATAAGCACAAAACAGACAATTGTATTAAGTTGACTTTAGGCCTGGAAAGAGCCAACCTATAGTTGTTGTGGGGGTCTCCAAGTCTATCTAACCTCTTTCATTTTTGTCCATTTTCAATCTTTTCCTCACAGTCTCAGCCACTTCTCACTGCACTCAACTTTATTGTTTAGTCTTTGTTGTTAGTCAGCTGATAATCAACAATAGTATCATGCAAAAGTATATGAATATATATATTTATGTATATAGGCCCGTATTCAAGATTAAAATGATAAAAAAAATCACTAATAAAGGTATGCATATCTTTGAATTTCAACACTTTCGTATTATCTCTTACCAAACTAATGAATATATATAACGTAAGGGTAGGCTATGTTTGACATATTGATTGGTATTAATGAATAAAAGTTGTTTTTTCTTAATTTTATGAGGAATTAATTTTGCAATCAAACATTTCTTTTATAATGAAAGGTCAACTTCCAACAGAAAATTTTTTAGGTTTGAACTTTTTCATGGTATGTAAGCATAACTCAGTATTGCATCAACCCAAAATGATTTCTTCTCACTCTCCCCAAACCTTGTTTTTAAACTTTTTTTTTTTTTTTTAAGGTTATTGCACTGGAACCTGTAGATCATTAACTGGCATTATTGTGTTAAATTAATCTTCAATTCTTCATGTTTTTGCTCTTTTTCCTTGCTTAATCTTTTTCAGCTAAGTATCTTCCTTTGAGAATCAACTCAAGACTAAATGGTGCTGACTTTGTTCTACAGATTGATCAATATATGCTGTGCTGTTCTCTTGTCTTTCTCACAACAAACAACAGATAATGATGAAGATGACTTAAGCTGTAGCTAGATAATGTGTGCATGATAAGGACCTTACACCAACTGTTCATCGGAAACCAAACCTGAGCATTGGCCATAAGATGTTGAAGGAATGATAAATTTCTTTAAGTCATAGCCATTTATTAAGTCAACGAAACACTAAAAGATATTTGCGCTCCTTAATAACTTCCCTAAATTAGTGTTTGGTACATCACCACTCTAAATGTAGCACCAGAAAGAAAGTGATTGAAGCATGATAGGATAATGTTCCACTGAGAAAACCATTTCTAATTAAATTCTATCCTGCCATAAAGTGAGCAAGCTTGTTTGTTGTTATGGCATATGTTCAGTACTTGCAAGTAGTACAGACTACAGATTACACAATTGGTGACAAATGAGACACTAATTCTAATATTAGTTTTTTTCTGCCTTCTGATAATGGTGGGGGAGATTTACTAAAAAAAATTAGTAGGATTGAGGAAAAGAGAGTTTTGAATCTCATCAGTCTGTCTGTGTTTCATATCTCCAAAAAGTTATAGTACATAAAGGCTAAGCATTCTATAAACAAATCTCCATGATAATATTGTTTAAAAAAATTTTCAACTATGCTGCCATTAAAACGTGTGGGAATATTGCCTACCACCAAAAGTGACTGAAAGTGGAAAACATTTGATTATCTCCTCCTAATGAGGTCAAAGCTGATTCAATCTCATGGTTTTTTGTCATCCCAAGCACCAGTGCTGAAGTCATGAAAATGTTGCCAAATTGGACTCTGAAACTTGAGGCTACATAGTATCTAAAGACCCTTATCAAAGAAGGAACACGGACACTACAGATGATAGCAAATAATATTATATTATGCAGAACTTAATTTAAGTCAAGCACACTATTTTTTTATTTGTTTATTCAATAAAACAGCGAAGTCAAATATAATAATCACTTTCTTGTCCTTTGCAAATGGCCTATAAATGGTTGATCAGTCTTGAGACAAAATAGCAATACCTAACTGTGTTTCAACAGGCTACCAAAGACATGAAGACTTTCTTTGCCTTCTTCATTTTCTGCTTTCTTCTACTGGTAAGCATTATTTCACATGTAATCTTAGAGCATCAAATCTAGTGAAAACCAGTTTCTGTATGGTTATATTCAATCAAAGTTTCGAGAAAAATCAATAATTCATCAGTTAAACTCAATCTTAATCAATTTTCATTTAATTATATGCTTATACGCATTGCTTTTTTTTCTTGGATAGTTTGCCAACCTCAGCCATGCAAGAAAAGAACCAGGGGACTATTGGAAAAGTGTAATGAAGGATCAACCCATGCCAGAAGCAATCAAAGGCCTTGTACATCAAGATCCAGCTTCAGCTTTGGATTCTGAGAAGAAAATGAAGCACTTTGTCAAGGATTTCGACAGCAGCCATAGCTTTATAATATACCACAGCAATCCATAGTACAAAGAAGAGGATAAGCCTTATGTTAAGCACTTGAAGGATCAGAAACAACATAAATCTTATAAGAAAAACTAGACAGCAAGCTTGAATTAATGGAGGTTTTCATATTTGTATGATGTATGCAGCTAGTACTGTTATTGGTTGTGATTAGTATTTACAAAGTCAGAATCAGCTCTGCTGTTGGGATTAAACTTATTAGTTAATCATTTTTCAATCTTGGTCTTGAGCTCTTTTGATTGTTAAAGAGAATTTGCATAAAGGGAAGCTGCAGCAACCAAGGCTATATGGTGAGATTAATTCTTGTGAGATTAAAAATGATGAAATTAAAATTATTTATTATAACGATGAAATTAAAATTAATGATAAAAATATACATACGCAGCGATAACGATGAAATGAATTTTAACGACAAAAAATAAACATCAAAGACATTAGTTTAAATTTTATATATAATAAAAATTTAAATTATTTAACTTATAAAAATTCATAAATAATAAAAAAAAATTTAAAATATTTTTATGATAAATAATAATTTTGTTAATAAAATAAACAATAAAAAATAAAAAAGTAACAATAATATATTAAATAGTATTTTTATTATATTAAATTAGAATTATTTTATAAATTTTTTTTAAAAAATTTAAAATAAAAAAGAAAGAGAATAAAACAAATTAAAAGGATAAAAAGGTAACAAAAAAAAAAAAATCAATTGTGCGTTTCTTTGCTGGACCTAAAACTTTCAGTAAAAAAAAATTAATTTTCGTGTATCAGATTATACACCCAAACAGATGTTCGGTGCATTAAGCACGGTTTTTCAAAGCAAACGCAATCCCTTAAGGGGTATGTTTGAATCCAAATGCAGCCTAAGTAAAACTTGCTGCTTAATTCTATATAAAGCTAATTCAAGCAAATTAATCCAGTTTTTGTTAAACAAATGCAATTGCTTGGGACATTCATATGAATCCTTGAACATAATTAGGTGAAGATTTTTTCACATTTCATCCTCCCAACTATAGGCTTTAGCTCTTTTTTTTTTTTTTTTAAATAATTACTCCTTTTTCTAATAGTAATATATTTTTTGGGATAATAATCAAATAAGTTCTTAGACTTTACTCAAAAATGAATTTTTATTTTATCATAATTAAAATCTTGACGATATAAAATATTTAATTTTTTGTTAAAATTTTTTGATTGGATGATTTAATTTGTAAAAAAATATTTACTTAAATTTATTTGAAAAAGTTAAATGATAAATATTTAAGGAAATTATATTTTAAAAATTTTATCAATGAGATGTCATTCATTCATTTTTAATGGATATAATTACAATAAAAAAGTTTATAACCTTAATTTCATTAAATAAAAGATGAAAAACTTATTTGCATTTTTAGTAAAATCTAAGGGTTTATTCGGATATTAAACCTTTTTTTTTATTACTTCACATTTTTACTTCCAACCCAAATATTGACTTATCAATATCATAATTCTTTTTGTTTTCTTGTTATATCATTAAAGTAAAGCCCTAATATGCGTAGAGAGAAAAAAATAAGATGTGTGGTTCGAAATTAGATTTTTGATATTTTTTTAAATATTTTTAATTATTAAACTAAAAGTTTAGAGATAAAGTGATATTATATTCAAAAATTAAAAAAAATTAATTGATAAATCACATTTTTAAACCACCCTTTCAAAAAAAAAAAAAAAAATTATTCATATTCAAAGATAAAATCAAAGTCTTAGAATAGAAACCCGCGTTAATAAATTATAATAAAACCAAAAAAAAAAAAAAAACCCTCTTAAAGACTGGATCAAGACGTTAGAAACCTGCGTCGATAATTAGTTATGGAAATTTGGGCTAAATAGGCCTTCCATTATACAATAATAAAATCCAATAAAATTGGGCCACATCTGAAGCTACTTAAAATATAAATCTAATAATTTAAAATATGTTTTGATGATATAAAAAATATCATATTTAAAATTTTAATAATTATTATTTATAAATTTAATAAAATAAAAATATATATTTTATATTTTTTTATTGAAATGAATTATAATATATTTTTTTATATAAAATATAATATAAATACATGAATTTTAATATTTATAAACTAGTGAGAAATTGGGGGGATTAAAACATTGAATTTCCAAATAATCCCCAAGAGTATTCACAATTAGAAGAAGAAAGAGAGAAGCAAAACCAGATACTGATAATGGAGATTCAGGAAACACTTTCTACAGCTGGAGGTCATCGGAGTTAGGGTAAAGGGAGATAAACGGCATCGATGGCTCTTTATTATTTAAAGTGAGAATATCATAAATAATTTTTAAATTATTTTAAAATTTTAATATAATATTTAAATTTTAAAAATTTTTGATATGATATTTAAATTATAAATTTATAATTAATATAATATTTATTTTTAATGTGATTAATTTTAAATAATGATACATAATAGATAAATAATTTTTTAAATATTATATTAATTAATATATTAATATTCAAATATTACATTATATATTTTATTATAATTTAAAAATCATTCGATCTATCAACATTTCTTTAAAAACTTTATGAAAAAAATCCAAATTATTCAAAAAAAATATGATTACGAAAAAAAAAAAAAGAAAGCACGTGCACCACATGATTGGAATATACGAAATAACTATAAAACGAAAAAAATTATGATCTTAAATAGTACCTAGGCAGGCTAGATGTATGTTGTTGACTCCACAATTTGATATGAATAACTTGTAGAATATATTCACAATTTAAGCAAATAAAGCAACTTTCTTTTATATATATATATATATATAAATATTTGAGTGAGTAAAATGAAGAAATTATTCGCATGCTTTTAGAATGTGCTTCCCAATACATAAATTATATTACATCTTATTCTAAGCTCCCATCCTAACGTTATTGATTTAATGCATAAATCATTAAAAAAAAATGATGTAATTTTGAGTAAAATTAATTGTTTTAAGTTTTTTTTATTCATCACATTTTCAATTGTTTTTCTTAATTCATTGTTTCATTAGATCGGCGAGATGGGGATTTCAATTTGGTCATATACATTTGGATTTAAATATAAATACTTAGCTTTGTTTAAAAAAAAAATGAAAGGGTTTAAATTCACCTCTTTGCTCAAATAGTGATATCAGATAAAAAAATCAAATTAAAATAAATTTTTATTTGTCTCAATTTTGATTCGATTTTATAAAATATATATTTAAAATTAAATTTATATTTAATTTTGATTAAAAAATAAATTTATAAGATTTTATCATATCTTCGAATATATTTAATATTTTTATATCTAAGTGATAAAAAATTTATTAAAGAATTTTAAAAAATAATTTTATATAAATTTATTAGTATCAACATATATAAATTTATTTGATAGATAAAAAAATAATGTATCGGATGAACTTAAAAACCTCGTTAAAAAAATAGCAATCTGAGCTGTTCTTTGTGCAAAGAAGAAAAAACAACCACTGCCTCTTTCTCCGCAGTTTATGCCTTCCGTGGCGAACTCACTTTAAAGGGTGTCCGAAAAGATCATCTACAACTCAGGTACACCCTTTTTCACTTCCTTTACAAAACAATCACCGACACATGTCACATGGGACCCACTTGATCATCTGGGTTCAAATTAGAAGACAAACTTAGACTTCAGTTAAGAATAAACAAAGGGAACCCAATAAGTTGTCCTAAACGACACGTGGCTAATTAAGTTCCCTTTGTCCGCGTAACTTATCAGTTCACAACACAGAAGAACAAAAAAAAGAAAACAAAAAAGCTTTGAAAAGAACTCTGATGATTCCCACACTCTGAATTTATAAGCATTTGTAAATGAAAAAGAGATGCCCATAATTTAAAAAATAAATAAATAAATAAAGAGAATAAAGTTTGGAATAGAGAGAGAGAGAGAGAGGTGAAATGTCAATTCAAGAAGAGTTTTTAGGGCATAGTCGGCTGCTGGAAAATTTTGACGAGAATCATTCAAGTTCTTTTTTTTTTTTTTGCCCTTTATTTTTTATGGTGTATAAATTATAGGGTTATTGTTATTCTTATTTTCATTTTTTTTTGTTGGAGTTAGAATCAAACTGAACTGTTCAGTTCAGAAGGAGAAGGAGCTGAGTTTAATAATCTATCCTAGGTGAGTTTATTATTATTATTAATATTATTATTCTTTGCTTAAATTAAATTTCAGTTATGTAATAGCAAAATTTGAGTTTCAGTAATGAATTTCTTAGGCTGTGGCAAAAGAGAAATAGTGGAAGAAGAGGCAATGATCATAGGTTTTATTTGAAATAGAACAGTATTGATTGAATACTCAGTCGTGATAAAAATTTGAGTGTGAATCTTTGTTTTTTTGGCTTATTTTTATTTCAATTCGTGATTATTAATTCGGGAGTTTCTGCCTAAACTTTATGATTTTGATAACTGGTTGGTTATGTTCTTAACTGCTATTTGAACATAGAGCATGGAAGATGAGTGATAGAAGCTGCAAACAAGTAAAAGTTTCCTATTTTTGTGTTATCATGGAGAAAGTGGGCGAAAAAGAAAAGTTACTGCTTTACTTGCCATTGCTTATCATTATGGAATAAGACTGTTACGACTTTAACTGAGGTAAATGAGCTGCATTTTCAGATTCAAAATTTAAAAGTAAGGTGCCAAGAGAATTTCCTATCCGAGTGCTTGAATGACTCGCTTAAAGACTCTATTCGATGAGGATTCTGAAACCAAAGCTGAACAGCTGGGTCCTGTATCAGGCATCAATGTAGAGAATGTTGAAAGGTATATTATATACTCCTAAGCACCACCTCTCATGTATCGGAATATGTTTTTTTATGGTTACAGTAAATTTCTGTTCTTGCAGGCTTACTGAGAAGGCCTTCTCGAATGGAGATTTCTATGTTGGTGGTTTTAAGGAAATTCTTCCCAACGGCAAGGGAAAGTATACATGGTCAGATGGAACAGTATACGAGGGTGATTGGGAAGCAGGGAAAATGACAGGCAAAGGACTGTTACTTTGGCCGTCAGGAGCAAAATATTATGGTGATATCTCAGGGGGTTATCTTCATGGTTCTGGCACGTTTACAGCATCTGATGGATCCATTTACGAAGGGCAATGGAGGATGAATATACAGCATGGATTTGGAAGAAAGAAGTATTCCAATTCAGATGTTTATGAAGGCGATTGGAAGGAAGGAGTACATGAAGGTAATGGTAGATATTTTTGGAATAATGGAAACAAATATGCTGGGAATTGGAAATATGGGAAAATGCATGGTAGAGGTGTTATGGAATGGGTAAATGGTGATCAATACGATGGCTGTTGGTTTAATGGCTTCAGACATGGCTATGGAATTTATCAGTACGCAGATGGGGGATATTATTCTGGAACATGGACCAGGGGCCTTAAGGATGGAAAAGGAATATTCTATCCTGCTGTAAGCAAGTGTCCTTTAAAGAAGAGTTGTATCTATGTGGGATATGATAATGGTCATAAAAGTGTGTTATCTCAATGTTCGTCGTTAAATTTGGAGGAATGCATGGACAAGAAACCAAGTGTTAAACGTAGCCTCTCTGAGATAATATCAGTAAATGGAGTTTTAAGAAGTTCACGTCGAATGTCGCACAAGACCGCTGAAAATTCTAGACTTTCTGATTCTAGTACAGAATTCATAATACGCAATAATTCCTCAGGCACATTCTCCCTTGATTCTGATGCTGGTCAAAGCGAGATGCAAGAAAACACCGCTGTAGTTTACGAGAGGGAATACATGCAAGGAGTTATGATTAAAGAGAGAATAAGAGATTACACTGAATTATCACTGCAAGCTGAAGGGCAAACAAAATGTCATGCCAAAGAAACAAAAAAGAGTACATGTATTGGCATTATCAAAAGCAAAAACAGCTATCATTTGATGCTTGATTTGCAACTTGGTATAAGGTAAACTGATTGAGATTAAATTTTCTTCCTTTTCTGACGTAGTCCTAACTCATCAACTCAGCTTAATGGGATATTAATCTACTTTTACCTATATTGGGGCTTGCCTTCACCAAATTTCTTTCTGCATGTCTTTTACTTAATCTTTTGTGAGAGTTATTTTTCTTATATATATATATATATTATCTTTGGCTTTATTACATGTTATAAAATGCTTGATTTGAAGTTCACAGGTATACTGTCGGCAAGATAACACCAGTGCCTAAGCGAGAGGTTCGAACGGCTGATTTTGGAGATCGAGCTAGAATTACTATGTTCTTCCCTAAAAGGGGTTCACAGTTTACCCCTTCACACAAATCTATTGATTTCTACTGGATGGATTATTGTCCTATGGTTTTCAGGTATTAAAATCTTATGCACATAGTTCTAGTTAGACTTTGAACAAGGATTGTCACCATGGCTTTGATGATTGAATCTTATTGTTGGAGATATGTCTTAGGAGCAATCTGAATTGTCTAGATTCTAGTCATCTGCAAAAAGAATGGAATTATGATCTTATAATTTTTGCATATTTGTTGTGCTCTGTTAAGGAATCTGAGGGAGATGTTCAAGCTAGATGCAGCAGAGTACATGATGTCCATTTGTGGTGATGATGGTCTGACACAGATTTCTTCTCCAGGGAAAAGTGGCAGTATCTTCTATCTATCTCTTGACGATAAGTTTGTGATTAAGACATTGAAAAGATCTGAACTGAAGGTTTGAACCTATATAGCTTTTCATGCATATTATCTACTCATTGTTATATTTATGTTTTCAATTTTCAAGCATGTTTTATCCAATTATCTATCAATTAAAACAGTGATGGCGAAGGAAACTTTAGCAGTTTTCTGATTTCAAACAGGATCTACCATTTTTTATGACTAAAGCTTAAAAATTAAAACCATTATCTTTTTCACTTTTATTCTTTTGTATTTGGATTATGTAATTTGTGTTTGCTCATGATTATAATCATGAGATGACTGCATTAAAGAGTTTACTACTCTTAGGTTGGACACTGTCTCAGTCATAAACTTAGTTCCAATATAATTTCCTGAGCTTGGACTAGGACATTATTTTTTCCCTAAACTTGCAAAACTCAACTCAGTTCTGATATTTAAGAAAACTGTAAGAAGGTTTTTTTTTTTGGGCAAAACTAATGAACTTTTAATGCACTCTTTCAATACACACAAACAGCTGCACTTGGTCATATTTGCTCAGTACCCATATTTCATTGTGTAATTTGCTTCAGATTTAGTTCATTTGTGAATTTATTAATTTAACCTTGCTTTTTGAAATATTAATGTGTATATATCGGAAGATTTCAAGACAACTTTTCTCACTGTATTTCTATGCCCTTAGACAATGATGTATGTCCTTTATGTTACATAAGTAATTTTCTTCTTTTGTGTAGGTTTTACTTAAGATGCTGCCCAAATACTACAATCATGTAAAAGAGCATGAAAATACTCTCATAACAAAATTTTTTGGGCTCCACCGGATAACTTTACCAGGCCGAAGAAAGGTATCTGTTAATCCATTTGGCTTAGCTTATATGCAACAATGTGCCTGGCTTATGATTAGTGTTCTGCTTCTAGGTGCGCTTTGTGGTTATGGGGAATATGTTTTGCACAGAACTTCAAATTCATCGTCGTTATGATCTAAAGGGATCAACACATGGAAGATGCACAGATAAGAATAAAATTAAAGAAAATACTACGTTGAAGGATTGTGATCTGTCATATGAATTTCATATGGACAAATCATTGCGGAAATTCCTTTTTCAGTAAGTTCCTCATCTTCATCATCAATAACATCACTTCTGCATCTGTACTATAATTTTTCTCATAATTGGAAAAAAAACAAACAAGCTTTAAGAGAAGGATGTTATGGGCCTGCCATTGCCCAATCTAGTAAACTCGTATGCTAATTTGTCCCTAATTGCAAGGCTGAAAGCTAACAGTAGGTGGCTGCGGTTCGGCATGTATTTTCACATGCAGTGCTTCGTGCATGTATCAGTGTTATCTATATTTGAAAATAAATTCAAATCAATGTTTAACTTTTGGGCTGGATTTATTTCCTTCTCTGTTGGTTATATAAAAGTTAAAACATAAAGCTAGCTGTTGGAATCTGTCTTATTTAGTATAGCTTGTGGCATCTAAATCATCGTGCTTGTACACTCATCTTGTCCTGTGAAGTGAAGTGGTGGACAAAAATGGTCCTAGTTGCGATCAGAAACCTGCAGTTGGCCTCTCCATAGTTAAATAAATCACTTTTTGACACTTTATTTTTGCACATTTGATGAGTATAAGCTTCCACATGGCATTATTCCTTAAAACCCATGGGTGAAGTGCCCTGTTCCAATTTGAGGATGCAGCTGGAGTTAGCAGTCAAACCTTCTGACTGCATGTGGTTACTCAAGGTCACCATTTCACATAGCCCTGATAACTTATTAATGCTGGAACTCATGTTTTAGATTAAATGGAAACGGAAGTATAATTTTCTTTCTCATGTTTTATATGCAAGAACTTTGTTGTGGCTGTCCTCTTATCCTCAATGTTCTGCCTTACTTTTGGAATCTATTGATGTTTAGATTATAGGAGAAGTTGATTGTTTTGCTGTAAACTTTTTCCCCCTTTACTTCCTCTGATCTGAGGTATTAAGCACTTGAATTGGTGCTTTTTAGCATGTTTTACTTACCAAAAACCAAAAACCAAAAAGCTATTATCTGTACCTGAAAGCATATGGATGTCATAACTATAATTCTGTGTCTGTTTTATTACTAACAATCAGTGTTTTTTTTTTTTTTTTTGTTTGTATTACAGCCAAATTGCCATGGACTGCGAATTCTTGAAATCTCAACAGATAATTGATTACAGCCTTCTACTGGGTTTACATTTTAGAGCTCCTGAGCAACTAAACGGCCTCCTAGAATCTCCCATCATGATGCCCAATATTGAGAGCTCACCTGCTGGCCAAGGTAGGTGTCTCTTTCTGGTTTGACCATTTTATGTTATTAATCTGTTTGTATGTAATTTATATGATGCTTGGTTTATGTGATGGATTGCAAACGGTGGGAAGAAAGTACTTTCACCATAAGAGTAAAATAACTTGGGAGTGGGAATAGAATGAAATGTCGCAGTCTGGTCATGAGACAGAGTAGTCCTGGTCCTTTTTCCTAGATTTGGCCCCTAAGCACTTGAACTAAGCCCAGGTGTACCCTAGAGGAAAATCTACACAATATTTGAGTTCCACTCTCTCAGATGCTTTTGATTATTATTGGCAATTGATGTGGTTCTGATTAAGCCATCTGTTAGTGCACTAACACGTTGGTGTGGATGACTTAGAAAATGAGATACTATAATGGTCACATTATTTGTATTTATTTTGAGCTTCTTTGTCATGACCAAACCGTAGCACAAGGATATGCAGTTGCATGTGATATACAAACTGAGGATTGGTATAGTTGTTGAAGAGTGACCTGGAGCTAATCCAAGAGAGAGAAAGAAGACATGATGATACAAGAATGTGATCTCCCTTTTGGACTCTTGGAATAACCTTTTTTTTTTTAACTTGCAACTGAGTTGTGAGGTCATGTTTAGTTGGCGTGAATGTCCGATAAAACATTTTACTTGAACTTTCATCTTTCTTTTCTGTGGCTACTTTCTGATCATGGTTTCCTTTGTTTTTATATTATAAATTTATTGAATAGTATGCAGCTTATGTCCTGCTTTCACTAGGTCTGACCACAGAAGGAGAAGTGTTATTTCCTTCAAAAGGCTTGCTGCTGCTGGCCCATGAACCCAGCTCTGTTAACACTGAACCAGGTCCTCACATCAGAGGAAGAGCGTTAAGAGCTTTCTCTCTGGGTGATAAGGAAGTTGATGTTTTGGTGCCCGGTACTGGCAGGTAGCTGCTTTCATTCTCATTCTTTCTGCACATAGGGTTGAAATTTTGTTTCCAATGTTATACAAAACTAATTGGCCTAATGCTTGTTCAATGGCCTGATATTTTTATAAGCTTGCATGTTGCTGGACTGAGTTGTGTTGGTATCACTGATAGAACATATTATCTTAAGGACTAAGAATTTTGGTTAATTGCTACAAATGAAATGGACCTTCAACCATTAAGAAAGCTGTATAGTCTTATTGTATGGTTTGTCTAGAAGGGTTTCGTATTTGTTTTTTAAACAGAAGATCTGGAAATGTCGAAATCTGTTTCATCTTCCATTTTGTTCTCAATTCAAGTCTTCTTCTCTATGAGTCAATAGCTCAGTTAATATCTGCTGATATGCTTTGCCGTGTTCTCAACCATGCCATCACACCCGATCTCATAGTTTGTTGCTTGCAATTCCCACCATTATTCTTTGCTACACTTACATCAAATATTTCTGAATTTGGAGATTTTTCATTGCAAAGCTATTGTTGAGTCATTTTATTCACTTTTTACTCAGGTTACGGGTGCAATTAGGAGTAAACATGCCAGCACAGGCTAAACCCAAGCTTTCCCGGGCTGAGGCTGATTCAGCTGATTTTGAACATCTTGAGGTGGTTCTCTTTATGGGAATAATTGATATTTTACAGGAATACAATGCAAAGAAAAAGGCCGAGCATGCATGCAAATCAGTGAAATTTGACCCCTTGTCAATATCAGTCATTGAACCCGAGCTGTATGCTAAACGTTTCACCAATTTCTTGCAACAAACGGTTTTCCCCGATCAACCATGAATGAAAACGGTAAACTTTTACCATTTCTACATATTTTCATTTTGATCCCTTCTTTTGTACTTTTTGTCTCACTTTGACACAATTCTTTTTACAGTCACTTATTGTAAAGTGACCACACTATCTGTACCTGTTGTACTGGTTGGATAGTGATATTGACAAATCTAATAGGTGCAATAAAGTTTTTTTCTGATATACCTGTGGTTAATGTTGTCTTGTATAGTTCAAGTGCATCTATAAAAGTTAATCTGAAATTTATTTAATTATTGTCTCTGATGCTTTGGTAACTTTCCATTATATGCAACCTACCTTGATTGGCATTCCTGAATCCTGATTGCATGCACTGTGCTTGACTATGTTACATCTTGAAAAATATCCAGCATCTCGTAACAGGGGCAGGATTCTAAAACTTTTGCAGCAACCATTAATCTTCTAAGGCATGACAGGCTCCTAGGCGGTTGGCAAGAGCTCAAGCTCACTCTTCATGTATCCCTGCAGCTCGCCCACCGCCTAGCAAGGGTGAGAGAATCATCTGAGCCAAGTTCCTGAAATGCTTCTTGCCATTGCAGGTGGCACTGATATTTTGAGAGTACTGAGCAATGCCACTGACTGCAGATAACTTATTTTTTCCTATATCCAAATTAGGGGTTAATATGAATTTATATACTTGTAAGTTATTCAAACTCCGCTTGGGAATACGAGTAATACGTGCAAATTCGAAACTACTGATACATAATAAACATGTATTGAAGATCTATTTAACACTTTAATTAAAATAAATATGACACTTATTTAACCAAAAAAAAAAAAAAAGAGATAGGAAAAAAGAAAAGAAACTTGAAGGACTGTCTCTTTCTCTCTCCCACCTGGATTTCATCTGTTAACCAGAAGCAGTGTCAGAATCAAACAAGCTGGTAGCCTGTACGGAATTCTAGCACTTACTAGCATTTGACAATACCCTGATTTATATTTGATCAAACATTGATTCCTGATCAATAAATTTAATAGCAATTGTAATAAATGTTTTCCATTGCTGATCAGTGATCAAGATTGCTTGTTGCGTGAAATAAGAAACAAAATTTCTGAGAATTCACTTGTCACTCGCTAACATAGGAGCTAGTGCATTAACAGGACAAATGCTTACATGCCTTGATTCTCACATTAAAAAAATTCTGACCCCTTTTTACCTGTGTTCTTCACTGCAAAATAATACTAACATTGACTTTTTCTGTTTATGGATTTATCAAGAACAAATGTCAAATGTCGATATGTCTTCGACCCAAATATATTTGAACTTTTCACAAGTTTTTTATTCGTTTTGGATAATGTCCCCTTTAATCCCCATGATTTAATAAATTTTTTAAAGTGATATGCATATTAAAAATTTAATATGATAGTTGACTTTCTGTTCCGTCAATTAACATATGCCTCCATCACGAGTTAATTCTGTTTACAAAATTAGCCGATGTATCAAAAGACCAATCAACATGTGAAATAAAATTTCATATCATCCTTTAATTCAATATATATTATTGTGTAATAACAAGGGCAACAAGGATGTTGTGAGGAAAGAACCGTTTAACTTCATAAAAGGTGTGCCTATTGCAATTATGTACCAAAAGTATATCATGTAATGTAATCCTTTGGGAACTCTTGCTTCTCAAAAAAATTTTTCATACTAAAATTATCAGGATTTGAACCTCATCATTGGAATTAAAAGTGTAATACTTTATCAATAATTACACGACAGATAACTTTTTTTTTCTATCAAAAGTTAATTTCCCAAGGGAGATAACTGGTTGAAGTTTATCGTCTTTGATAATGTCAGCGTGATCCAAGTTCATAAAAAGAAGAATTTTGTGTGATTCACAAGTTTCCTTTCTATTTCCATGATCTCTTTCCTGTAACTTGAGAACAAGTAAAACCCCTCTCTAGACCTGTTTCTATCTTTCCACATCTTTGCACTGATCTTGTGCCTTGATCAACACTAGCTTTGTGTAATTGAGCAAGATTATCTATATATATATATATATATATATATGTATGTATGTATGCATGCATGCATGCATGCATATATGTATGTATGTATGTATGTATACTTACATGCATTATGATCTGTTGACTCAAACAAAGCTTTATACAATGAATCACTGACCCAATGTTTCTTGACTGCTTCATGGAAAAATGGGCATGATGATCTGTCGACTCAAACTTTTGGAAATTGCCATGTAGCATCTTGAATTTAAAAATGTTCTCTAATCTCCTCTCTTCTTTTAAACATGATGAATGCCAATAGGAGTAATGTTGTTCCATCTCATTTCCCAACTATTCAACCCTCAAGCCAGAATACATACATATGCATATACATATATACATACATATATATATATATATATATATACATGTGTGTGTTTCTATCTTACAAGCAAAATATATAATGACTTGAGTATGCATTCCTATACTAAAGAATTAAATTCATCAGTTTCATTTCCTGCTTAGATATTGTGATCAATCTGCAAGGTATTAGTCACCTACACATTATGTGAGATTAGAAGTGTTATAATCTCTCCACATTTCTTCACATTTTTCATTGTGTAGCACTTAGTTTATATCGACGGGTGACCGCTCTAATATTATTTGTGAAGATTCACACCCAACTTGTGAGATATTGTCTGTTTTAACTCAAATATTTTATAATTTTGTTTCACAAAAGACATCTCATAAATTTGAGTTTAAATCTCTACATATATATCATTCATTATCCACATATTCTTTTAATGTGAGATTGAGAGTATTACAAATATACTTTCAGTTACATTCTATAAAGGAAAAAGAGGCCAAAAAAAATATTGAAGGTTTATTAATTAGAATATCAGATAAAAAAAAAAAGAAAAATAGAATTTGTGCCTCATTAGCATTATTTTATGATCTAATGTATATAAAACCTAGACCCAATATCACATACATTTTATTTCACTTTCATGAGTTCAATGCAATTTCACCAGATTTCAGCCTTCAGCCTTGATAAAAAGAAAGCAAATTGAAGATATAAGCACATATCTGGTCATGGTTATAAACATGTATATTATATATGTATGTAACAAAAATAGTTTACATACACAAACATGCATGCATACATACATGTGAGGTTAAGTTTTGGACAAATGTGTGTGCTACGGGCAATTTGTGGGTAGATGATGTTCAAAATTTCTATAATTAAGCGTTAAAACCATGGATTTGTGTGTGGGAGAGAGAATCCATCAGAAAAATGAAAAACAGACATGGTCAACGCAAAAAGAGGCAGCAAAAATAAATCAATGGCATCTTCTGATCTTTGTTTTGTTGGCATTTTCGACAGATGGGTCAAAAGGATTCCATGCAAAAACTCAGAGCTCAGAGAAGAAGAGAAGCTCAAAACTCAAGAGAGAGAAAAGTATTCACTACCAAATTTACCAAAAACATTGCCTGAAACTGAACATCATCTCATGACTTGGACAGAAACAGATCAGAGGAAGTGTTTGGTTGACGGGAATGAAGCCTGGTCCGAGATCATATAGGGCTATGTATCCAGAAACCTTCCTGAAAAGTAAATCCAAGAAAAATTCATGGAAATATAAAGATCAACCTAGATGACCTCGAGCCAAACAACATTCCCATCAACTGTTTCCCCTTTCATTTTCTCTTCATTGGATGTAACCTTTCAACCTCTCAAAAGCATACGAGGTAGAGCTGTAAAATGACAATGTTTGAGGGGAATGAAGCCTGGTACGATCCCTTCACTTTGATCACTTCAAAGTTCAAAGCCCCTGCATCGAGCCAGCCAGCATTCCTCTCAAAGACAAACCATTTCCATTAATTTTCTTGCTTAAAAAAAACCCAAAAGACTTCTTCAATATTCAACAACCCCAGATAGAAAATTTGAGAGAAAATGAGGAAAACATGAAAGAAAAAAAAAAGCCAAAAAAACAGAAGCCTATTTTTCACCTTGGAAAAACCCTAGCCTACTTGGATTTATAGAGAGAAAGATTAACATCTGATCTCCTTTGATGATGACATCTCTCAAACACTTAAAAATAAGCACACAATTTTCATATTGCGCGTATCTCCACGCTCTCCTCAAGGTGTGACATTGTGACAAGAGCAGTTGAAAACATAAAACATTTAATTAGGATCTTGATGTTGTCTCGAAAAAAAACAAACAAAAATAATTTACTTTTATGTTCTCTGTCACAGGCTGTTTGGAGCATTAAGATTCTTAAAATATAGCACTGCTCCTTCCAATGTAAAATTATCACATGATTAGTTTCCACTTAAATCAATCTTCTTTACAAAAAAAAAGCTCAAATTTGTAACCATGGCCAGCTTGATTTTTCATGATTTTATATTACAACTTTTATTATATATTTATTTTAAAAGAAGGAGAGATTCGAATCTTGCATTTAGAAAAAAAAAAAATCATAAATCAATGAGTTAATCGCTCCATATCTTTCACCATAGTAATTGATATATTTTCATGATATTACTTATTATAAGAAAATTCTTTCATATATTATATAGTTGTTGAAGATTGTTGGGCAAATGGACAAAGTGATTATTCAATCGTTAAAAAGAGAAAATTTTACTGGAAAACTAAAATTTAATGGTGTGTCAAATGGAAAAACATTCCCCACAAAGCAAATGGAAAACCAATCACAAAATCTCTAAACCCTAGTGTGGTATATATGAAAGAAACAGAAGAATAGTCAGACTATCATATATATTTTTTATATTATTCTTTTCACTATAAATTTGTAAAAATTTTTAGAATTATATTAATGTCCAACATATTAATGTTGGAATTATATTGCAAGCTAGGGTTTCAATTAAAGCAGTAACCATGTAAGTATATTTCTGTCCAACATATTAATGTTCCCCACAATTTTTTTCTTGTATAGGAAAGTCGTTTTGGGAATAAAAAATGAGTATAAGTATTATGTTTAAATTCGATACCAATTTATCTATATTTTTTTAAATATCATCTTAACCATAGTTCTAAACATTGATTAACATTTCACACCTTACATTGTATTGGTATTAATTAGGAATGTAAATGACACATCAATACTTATAAGTTATTCAAATTTTATTAAGATAAAATTCAAATTCGACTCGATCATTGTCGAATTAAGTTTAAGCTCGAGCTATTCAATTTATCAAATGAGTAGAATTTGAGCTTTTTAATGTCTAACTCAAATAATTTGTTAATTTAATCGAATTTTTATATTTTAACATATATTTTTATTATTTTAATTAAAAATTAGTATTTTACTTATATATATATTTAAATTCAAATATAAATAATTAACTTCAAATTGAACATGCAAATTAAGTTTTTTTATTTAATAATTAAATTTAATCAAACGAATTTAAATAATTTAAATTTTATTTTAAATTAAATTTAAAATTAAATCTAACTCAAACTAAATTTTAAGTGAAAATTTAAATTTTTTATTACATTAATTTGATTCGATTGATTACATCTATGATATTAACCATGCAAATTTGTTTTGAAAGAGCAGTCCAATGCAATTGATTTCCGTTGCTTCATCATTACCTTATTATTGGACTTTCAAAAAAGAAAAGTACTTTCTATTAGTCCCATGAGATGGTGTTTTTCTATTCATTTCTCCTGGCTATGGCTGGCTCCTCAAAGTTGACACTGAGAGACGTGAGCAATGGAAGAGAGAAAGAAACAGCCCGAGTAACGAGGAACCGAATTTAATCGCCGACGTCGACGCTTCAAAAGAGCTTTGTCAATTGTGTGGGAAAGTGGGAAGAGATGGACGGTTGGGATACGCCCACGTCGTAGAACAACTCTTTCGTATTAACTGCACCCCACGTACAGTCAATTTTTTAAATTATTTTTTTCTTTGTGTGTGGGCCACCACCATGGACGAGACAAGACCACGTTAAGCTGATATTTGGGACACGTGGTGTCCCAACATTCGCTGTCTCCTCATCGCGGGCCCTACCGCCTTTGCGGGAGCAATTATGCGTTAATGATGACAGATGTGAGAGAAAAATAAGATGTGTCAGTCAGATTTGACAGTGTCACCAGCTGGTCAGACGAGTGCCTTATGCTACATTGTATGCGTTTGAATCACTGAGTTGACTCAACCTGTCATGGAATGCTACAGAGCTAGAATTCTATATGCAGATTTCCCGCCTATTTCTATCTGGATGATTTCAGTACTCGTCCTTCATTTCCCATCTCAATGTCTGTCCATTTACAGTTGGGTTTCTGTCTCTTTTGTTTATTTCAATCTATTTCTATATTTTTTTTTTCTGAAATGAATTTATAGTAGAAGAAATATGGTGTCGGAAATAAAATTTTTAAACATTCAAATCAATAAAATAAAAAAATATATATAATGGAGAGAGTAAATGAGGCAGAGTGAAAAGTTCAGAATTGAGATATTTGTTATCTCAATTTTATTTTTATTTTTATAATTAATCGATGTTAATATGATCAATTATTTTATTTAATATTATAAAATATTAGATTAATTGAAGTGATAATCACCTTAACGGTTAACGATCAATATTGATTTGATGATCAAAATATTGATCAATATAATGATTTTAAATTTTTTATTTCATTTGTCTCTTGATTAAATATTTTAAAATGAGTGAATTTTAACATCTAATTTAAATAATTAATTTTTTATTAAAAAAAAATTATGCAATGGAATATCAATATTTTATGTATTTTAAAATGTTCAAACCCTAACTTGCAAGCAGAAAGCAAAGAAATGAAACTACTCATTCCGATTCAAACAGTAAAAATGATAGATTCTTCCAGTTCCCGAGTCACTCTCACTCCATAGTAATCTCCAAGTCTGATTCACTGTTCAACTCAGAAGACATGCCAATAAAAAGGTAGTTTGGACCTTTAACAGGTCTTTTGTATTTAAAGATAAGGCCTCAACTTTCAAAATTTCTTCTAGAAAATGCAATCTGGGCTTTGTGGTAATTTTGCCTAAATTGAATCGAGCTTAAGCTCAATTAGGCCACATGCTCAAGCACTTCTAGAAATATTGCTTATTTACATTTTCCAAATGGTAAGTTTGGCTTTTCCAAGTAATGCCACAAAGGGGGATTGGAAGAGAGGAAGGAAGGTGGAGAGAGAGAGAGAAAAAAAAAGATTTTAAAAATATATATATTTTATTTTTATTTCTTGAATAATTAAAATTTATTTTTAATTTTTTAAAAATTATTACTTGTGATAACCATGTCTATGCATGTAAACAGTTTGAGACCATTTTTATGCAAGACGTAACAGTTATTATGACGTGTCATCATTGGATTGGTCATCATTTATAACTAAAGGTGCGGATCATTGCACTATAATACAAGTATCACTATATAAATTTTAAAAATTTAGATATCACATTAAACTTTTTTTATAATAACGATCTTATTCCTTTCAAAAATTATATAGATATTATGTCATTAAATATTAAAAAAATTAGCCAAGCTATCCGATTAACGGGTCATGTGACCCTCAATTGAGAGATTTGTGATTAGGATTTAATTCTTTTATATTTGTAATTATCAAATTTTAATTTTAATTATTAAAATTAAAATTTTAATATTTTATCAATAAATTATATAACTCTTGACAATTAAAACTCAATTTTAATAATACTTCTAATATTGCAAGTATTATTATTATTATTGTCATCATGGACTCATCCTCTGTAAAGCAAGCATGGTTGATCTGTGTGACATATATATGGGCTCGAGGGGCCACTGGACCCAAGCTTCGATGGGCTTGGACTCATTAAGTTAAACCAGTCAAGAGCTTCACTCTTGTCGAGCGGTGTAACATTTGCAGATTGCGACCCAATCCCCAGCCATGCTACAGCCTACAAGTTACAAACCCGAGAGTGGCAGCAAAGGCGAGCAAGCGGGATAGATTTCAACTTCAAAACTGGACAGACAAATACAGGATCCTCAAATTACAAAAGCAAGTTCAGCACAAATAATGTAACAACTTAGAACAACTTCTCCAGCCAGTCATTTTGAGCCGAACGCAAAGGACAGCTTTGGTCGCAATTTGTTCTTTCCCAATAATTTCATCTGATTTAAACGTTCTTCCTCCTCCTGCTGCTTCTTCCTCTTCATGGCCTCTGCCTTTTGTCTTTGAAGCTCCTCTAGTTCCCGATAACGTTCCTCCTCTCTCCGCTGCTGTTCTAGTGCTTCCCTTCTCTGAGCTTCTTCCACCCGCTTTCGGTTCTCTTCAAGCATCTTTTCCAACTCTTCTTTCTCTTTTAGAGCTTTCTCCTGTATGATAAAATCAGTCAAGGTTGATTATAAAATGGCAGGAAACAAGCAGAATGCTGGCTAAATCATCTTGTCACAACTATAAGCTAGAGAGAGAGAGGTTCAACACATCATCAAATATATTAAAAATTATGAGGAAAATTATATATCGATAAAGACCCACAGTTTCTGCTACAACCAGAATTCTATGGGACAACTGATGGTTTCTTGATCAGACAACTTCAGTAAAACATGATAATTCCATTAGGTACAGAGGAAAAGTTGGAAGACCAGGTTATTCTTTAGACTAGAGCTTCATCCCATCTGGCACAGTTTTTGCAGTTCACACCATAATGTATCAAACATTAAATATGGACATGCATTCCGCATTGCAGAAGAAAGGATAATTGAAACAAACACCAACGGACAAGTATTCACATGACTTTTGTCTTAGATATTTACCTCCTTTTGCCTAGCCTCAAGAAGAGCAGCTTCCTTCTCTTTTTCAAGTTGAGCTGCAACTTCATCATTAAGTCTTCTCCGTCCCTCCTCTAACCGCTTCTGAATTTCCTGCTTGATTTCTTCAGAGTTCAATCTCTCTTCAACTTCTTTCTGAATTGCTTCTTCCACTCTCTTAGAAGTCTCTTCTTCTATCAGTTTCAGTTCTGCTTCTTGTTGACGCCTGGAAAAGAAAAGAAATGTCAAGCAGGAAAATGACACTGATGCATTTGGGGAAATATGCTACAACCTTCAATTACAGATGTCTTTCCAAACTAGACAACAGTACATAAAAGCAGTTGACAGGTCATGTTCCTTGTTCCTTTTTCTTTCTTTGTCCCACCATCTTTCTCAATGCACTATGTAGCTATAATAAATGGGCAAACTAACCTTCATGACGACAAAGGCACTAAAATATGCTATGCTTTTAAGGCATACCTCTAACCGAACCTGATCCAAACAAGAAGTTTCAAAACTGGTGAACAGAAGATAAATGTGCATCCAATCAGATCATCAAATATAATAAGTTGAATGAATTATAGCAGTATCTTCCTTCAGAAAATCCTGTGGAGAAGAATGTCAAGTAACTTGTCGCAATTTTATAACTAATCACTGCAATACTTCAAACCTTGCACCAAAATACATATTTTGACAAGAAGAGTTTATTTCTTTTTATAGACATCATCATATTTTCATGGATGGTGAATAATAATGGTTCAACTCAAAACATTGTCAGAATGGCTCTCACCATAAACAACAAAACTAACAGAGTTAAGAAGCTTGGTCGCTGCAGACATTTATCTTTTTGTGTTCTACAATGGTAAGATCATAAATAATCTCTCTCCCTCACTCTGGTTTTTTCTTTGTATGCTTCAGTGGATGCAAAATTGCATGTGCTGTTCAAAAGAGCCCATTAACTCAGCTTGGTAAAATGCAACAAAATAAAGAAGGGAGGTAAGGAAATGGGGATTTGTGTGCATGCTACTGAATGCTCTTTGCTCTTCAAGACTAAAATTAAAGCCTGGAAAAAAGTTTTGATTTTCGCAAGACCTGACAACCCAAATGGGATCCTGGCTTTCATGTCTCCCATATGATTTGTGGTTATATCATCCCAATAAACCAAATATCATATTGTTATGACAAAAACTATCCAATAATATATCAGCTTCCACTAAATCGAAACCGTCATTACTCCAAAGCTCAATGTGATTGTGACCCAAATATCAATAAAATCAATAAACTTGGAAAATGTAACAAAAATTAAGAAGTAGACTGGATACAATTCAAGAAGATCTAAAACAAGAGTGAAAAATTAAAATAGCCTGAATAAAGATGACAATATTTGATATACCTTTTCCTCTCCTCCTCTTCTTTTTTCAATTTCTCACTAGCATTTTTGCGCTCTATTGACCCAAGACTTGGGCTAGATGATTTATGAGTAGGAGACAATGAAAAACTCCTACTTCTTTGCCTCTTATAACGATTTGGAGTTGGAGAACGACTTTTACGACGTCTTGCAGATGGAGAACGACTTTTGCGACGGCATGGACTAATAGAACGACTCTTCCTTCTGTACAGCAACACACATTATTGAGCAACAGCTACAGTCTTTGGCATCGTTAGCTACAGAAACTAAGAATGATGACAACTCACCATCTAGCAGAATAAATATAAAAGCATATACAGTTACCTCATACATTGTTAAGATAAACATTGAGCTCCATCATTTATGACACGAAGAAGATAATGCACATTCAAGCAACGAAAGGAACCCATCGGCACCCATCACCTGCTCACTTCCCATCTCAAGTGATGGGAAGAAACTGTATCTTTAAGGTTCTAATGAAGAGCATGCTTCCTATCACTCTCATAGAATTCTCTATATTTCGCTCCAAAATGAATTTAGCATATTTCCATTTTTCCAAGCAAAAGGAAAGTTCCTCACATGTCAGATGCCCACTGAGATGCCGATAATTTCATAGAAGATGTCGAGCAATACACCATCAAACTTTATTGGAATAATTCAGCAACACTTTCTTTATCAGAAAGTGCTCAAGGAAGTCGGGCACTGATGCCATCTGAATAGAAAACTATCACACCCATACCAAACATAGACAACCAAAAGGTTTAACTGCAATGTAAAAGTGAAACTGAAAGCAATGGTCTACAAAATGCCAACACCACACCCTCAACTGCAGCAGCACCTTCAATTCGGCACATTCAACTAATCTAATTCCCAATCCTTACCAGATTCTTGGCTAGGATCCGGTTCTAAAGAGGGAATCATAATTGTAAACGGAAAGCAAACTACAGTGTTTCCAGTAAAGTCAAAGGAGCAGCAAATGATATACAAATAAGTATAGGCTGCATACAAAACTTGAAGAATTTGTATTTCCATTCCGCAAGACAAATTCCAGAGTTTCCAACCTTTCTGACAATATTCCTTAGTCCTTATAGTATCTTGTATGTTAACAAAATTAACATAAATAGCATGAATATAAACGGGATCACCTGCTATAACAATAAGATGAATAAGGTGACCGGCTTCTGTCCCTTCGGCTCTTCCTTCCATACCTATACCCTACAGGAGATGGCGAATGTCTACGCCTATAGGAAGGCGAGCGAGATCGTGATATTGACAAGTCTCGAGGCATCTGCTATCAGTCAATCACCTCAACGTTATGAAATATCCGATTTCGCAAATCAGAATGAATAATCAAACGTTTCTCCTGCAAAATTAAAATATTTATTGCTAAGTCAATACATTAAATTATAAGGAATTAAAAATAAAAACTTGGATTAATCCCTACCCAAATTGACCTGAAAATTCAATATTGCTGAGTTGAAAAATAAAAATATTAGCTTAATAAATGAGATTTTGTTTCGAGATTCCTTTTCTAGTTAAACAAACAAAAGGAAAGCAGATAAATTTAATCCAATAGAAGAAACCCTAGAGCAGGCGCACTCGCGAACGAATATCAAAGATCTGAAGAATTAGCGCTTCACATGAAATTGACATTCAATAGAAAAAGAAAAACCCTAAAACATATACCAAATCAGAACCGAACCCTAAATCGGAGAAATTAGACAAAAATCGTGACACGCAAAGTCAAAAAGAGAGAGAATTTGACGATTAATACTATTATATTAATTAGGGAAATTAAGGGAATAAAAATTTCATACCAGAAATTTGGTAGAATTTGATGGTATCAACAAAATATATTTCTTCGCCTCTGGTTTACTAGAAAATAACTAATTATATTTTCTTTTTAGTTTTTTTTTTTTAATTTATATTTTATTTGAAAAGAGAAATTCTATTAGGACACGTCAAGATGTTGACGTGGGAAGATCTTAGTGGAGGAATGCCAAAGTGATAAATATTGACAATGAAAATTTCACATTTATAAACTTATGGATATGATGAAACAAGACAGAAAGTTTTGTAGAGATATATGGCGGGGAATGCTGACGTGCGCAGGACGGTGATGTTCCCATCCTTCTTGTTCGTGACATTACTTGTGGCTTTGAGTAATGCTCCGGTGGGTGACGCCATATGGTTGAATCTTCCCTCCACGGGCACCAAGTGCGTCTCCGAGGAGATCCAGAACAACGTCGTCGTTTTGGCTGACTATGTTGTCGTTCCCGAGGATCACGGCCACATCCCTGCCATTTCCGTCAAGGTTCAATTCCGCTTTTGCCCTTGTCTTCTTTCAAATTTCCCCTTTACATCTGTTAGTGCTTGATCATTTGTAAATTTGAATGAAATAAGGGTGCAAGGTTTGACTTTTATGTTCATGTTTTGGAATCAGATAGATTTGTCATTGTTGTGATTTAAATAGCTTGTTTTCAGTGTAGATGTAGAATTATTTTGTTTTAGGGGAAATAATTGACTTTTTTTTAGATAAAATTCGAGGATAAATAGGTTGCTTGGTTCTTAGGACAAGGTATGTCGTATTCAATAATTTAAGAATAATTAGGTTATGATAAGATGTGTCATACCGGATAACCTAAGAACAATGATTGCAGGTCATTCCAATCTTCCAAATGATCCCAACAAGAGATCATTGGCTGGATTCAAACTGCATCGCACAATTCTTATCAATTGAGCCAACCTCTGGTTGGTATAATTGACCATTTTAGCTGTAGTATTTTTAGGTATAAGCTCAAGCATTAGCAAATTATGGAAAAAAAGAGACGTAGTTATAGATTAAAATTTCAAAGAAAAAAATTGGAGTTGGGACCCAATGGAGTTTATTTGGAACTGTTGAATTGATCTCTCTAAGTTAATATATTTGTAAAATAACCATAAGATATTGGAAGAACGGAAATTTAAGGATGAAAATGCAAAGGTAATGAAACTGACATTGAAATTATCCCTATATATTCTTCTAACTTCTAACTCAGTTTTGTATAGGTGACATCCCCTTATGGAAACAATCTTCATCACATGGAGAATGTGACGCATGGTCAATTTGCATTCACAACTCAGGAGGCTGGCAATTACCTAGCATGTTTCTGGTCGGAGAGCCATACTCAAGGAGGTGGAGAAGCTAGTGTCAACATTGACTGGAAAACTGGTATTGCAGCTAAAGATTGGGAGTCAGTGGCCAGAAAAGAAAAAATTGAGGTAAGCATATTTTAATTTCCATGTTTTGCCTTTAATCATGTCTGGGTTTAGAGAGGAAACCATGGATGGTCCAGCTCCCAGTGCAGACCAAATTTTGGTTACAAATGGTTTTTGAGATAATCATACTTAAGGATTTTTATTTGTGCTAGTATCAAGTTCACAAGAGAACTCTTCTGTTGCTGAGATTCCTTTTTCTCTTAAGCCAAAAGTTACACCAATTAACTTTTGCTCACAAAGAATTAATATAGTAAATTTTCATTTTATCTTTTGCTTTGTGGAATTTGCGAGGTGAGACTGAGAAAATTATTTTATGCACATCCAAAGCTTGGAACTTTATATTGCTGTGTTGAACTTTTTGAATGACCTTTGGATTCCATTGATAAGCTTTGTTGGTTTGACAATTTCACTTAAGAAATTGGTTTGAGAAAGTAAATGAATTGGACTTCCTGATGAGTATAGTATATTTACATTGCAATCAAATTTCTCTCATTTTCCTGTTCCTCTATGCTTCCTTTTTGTATGCATTTGTGTTTCATCATGCTTATGTACATATAGGGCGTTGAGCTTGAGCTGAGGAAACTTGAAGGAGCAGTGGAAGCCATTCATGAGAATTTACTCTATTTGAAAAGCAGGTAATTGTTAATATTTCTGTTAGGGCTCGTTCAGAGTTTGACCCTTTCTTTAAAGTAACCTAACATCCTCTGTTTATCCCATCCTCATTGGATAACAGAGAAGCAGAAATGAGGACAGTGAGTGAGACCACAAACGGCAGAGTCGCGTGGTTTAGCATGATGTCTTTGGGTATTTGCATCGCTGTTTCAGGTCTGCAAGTGTGGTACTTGAAGCGATTCTTCCAAAAGAAGAAGCTCATCTAAAGCCTAAACATTGATTGGTAGATGGGGAAATTCAAAAACCTGTTTTCTTTTCTCTTTGTTTTTCTTTTCATGTATGTTGCTGAAGGAAAATTTTGATACCATTAAAAGAGCATTAGTAACATTTACTATCATAAAAGAGAAATGGCTTAGTTTCCATCCTTAACAGACATGACTAATGCATATACTACATTTTGACACCCAACCTCTTCTTTCTAAATTGGTTTCATCTGATTTGCCTACCAATGGCATGTCTTTGGTGTCATTAAATTATGAAGCAGAGGGTAGGTCACCAAACCATCCAGTCTTGAGAGAATAACTTGATGCTTTTGGTTGGATGCTCTCTAAATTTTTTTAATGGCAGTGGCCATAGCTTGAGAATCAATATGGATTTACACATTGCTTAATAATGTGGTTACAATATGTCAAACCAAATTGAAAGTCCTCTCTCTTGTTATTGGATGCCCCAAAAGAACATGGTGACAAGAAAGAAATGACAACGAAAAATCTCATACCAATTTGAAAACATGAGATTATAAAAAGGATAACAAAATTAAAAAAAAAAATAAAGGTTTGGGGGGGGGGGGGTGGAAATTGAGATGACAGTGTTGGTAACTGATGTCCAATCAAAGCAGACATCACATCCTCAATCCATAGCATAATCTATTCATTATAATTCTAATACTAATTATTACAAAGGAGATCCTTGCCTGATCATTGGTGCACCTGCATAGACCATGTTCGTCAACTTGCTCCCTTGAGTGAAACCCAATTTACATTTAAAAAAAAAAAGGAAATAAAATAGTGGTGCATGAATATGATTATTCCAAAAAAAAAGAAAAAGTTTAATGAAATGTACTCTACTAAGCAAGTGAAACACTTTATTTTCTTATCTTTCTTTTCGTGTTTTGTAATCTTCAGTTTTTGGTAGAACTTGAAAGAAATGCAAACAGTGTGAATTTTTATGAAAACATAATGTATAATATAATGATCAAAAAATAATAATAATAATAATAAAATATTTTATAAATAGAAATATTAAATTAACTTTTTTGTCTTTTTTTAATTATTTTTTTCGTAATGGGAGAGTTAGTGTAATTTATAGCAAAACGAACAGATTAACTGTAAAATATGAAATAAAAAGAAATAAGAAAGGGAGAGTGTTAGAGAGAAAGAGAAAGGGTGTTGCCAAAATTTAGTAGTTAATGCAGAGAAAGGGTGTTGCCAAAATTTGCCCACCTTTAACACTTGTCTCTCAATCCACACTCTTCTTTCACTACCCTTTGCAAAGTTCTTCTTTGTTGTTGTTGGTGGCGGTGTTAGAGTAAGTGAGTTTCCAAGGGAGAAAAAGAGAAAACAAAAAAAGGACCCAAGGGATGTAAAGAGAGAAAGAGAGTGTTTTTTTTTTTTGGTGTTATTCCAGATGCTCTTTCAATGGGGAAAAATGAAGACCCAAATCTACAGCAAAGAGAGCAGAGTCTTGAATCAGGGAACAATCAACGGCATCCGGGATTCTTGTGTGGGAGATGTTGGATGGTTTTGTCAAGGCTTTCAAATGAGTTCAGTTTCAGATGTGTTTTTGTTTTGTTTCTCGGTTTGTCGGTTTTGTTGCCTGGCATCTTCTGGATCCTTCCTTTTCACTTTATAAAGTCTGGGTTTGATGCTAAGCAAGCTATTAAGCTCAGTGGTATTTTTTTTTTTTTTAATTTCTTACATTCTTTGTAGTGACTATCTTGTTGGCATTTCCTTTGTTTGGTTAGAGTTTTCTGATGTCTCCAGCAAATGCGTGTGTTGATTTTCATTGGATTTTTGTTGTTTAGTTTGGATCCTCAAGTGTTAAGGGCTAATGGGTATTTCCCTGATTGATGTTTCACTCACCTTGTAATTGTGTTGCAACTAGGATTCTTGCTGTCTCCTGTTGTAAATTGCTGCTCATATTTCATTTACACCTTGGTACATATAAATGACTTTTATAGATTCCAAATTTGTATTTTAAAGCTGGAATTTTGGTGTTCCAAAATGTGCTTTTTGCCTTACTGTTCTTTCCTAGGTTTTTTTTTATGTTTCAGGTGGGTGGATGGGAGTTACTTTGCCTTGTTGTTGCTGTTTTATTAGTTTCTACTAATGTTTTGGGGAAATGGGCATGCATTTATTTCACCTTCTTCTAGAATTTCTGTGAAGGCTGGTTCTTTTTTGATTTCCAAATGGACTATGTTTTCCATTTTATTGCATTTTATTTTATGATTAAAGTGTGGCTCCAATTAAAATTGCATCATAGGGAGTGATTGTTTTGCTATATTTAGAGTATTTCTCCTTTAGCAATAGGGGCAAGCAATTAATCGTTTGTTTCAATGCTTCCTTCTCTTTTTCTTTTAAATAAAAATGTCAAATTTATGAGACAAGGGCTATGTTTTATTGTTTTTCATACCTTAAATTGATGGTCTGTTGATCACATAGAAACTGGTGATCTTTTGCAAGATCATGATTATATAAGTATTCAATTCTCTATTGAACTCAATGATCTTCCTCGACATGTTTCTTAGTTCTTGAACTGAGCTATCAAACTAAGATAATGGATTCAGTTCCTTAATTAGAAATGACCTTTCCTGTTTTGATCTAAATGCATATTGAAATAAAACCTTTCATTGGTTGTATTTCCATCTCACTATATGACCTTTTGAGTTCAATGATGTAGTTCCATAAGCAATTTCCCTTGTTCGTTTCTTTTATATTCATGTATTCATTGCAGCCCCAGTTCATGCATACTTTACACTTCAGAAACCAGTTTCAGAGCTTGTTCAGCATATTAAAAAGCTAGAGTCTGATATCTATGGAGAAATAGGTGTTCCGGACACTAAGGTTTTACACCAACTTCTGCCACAATAGCACATATATTTACTGCCATATTATGTGAAAAGTTATCTTAAAGCTACTCATTTTCAACAGGTGGCTATCTTATCCATGCACCAGTCAGGTGTGTCTAACTCTACTGATGTGGTGTTTGGTGTTCTTTCCGATCCCATAAAAAGTCCAATAAATCCAGTATCCCTAAGCTTGCTGAGATCATCTTTGATTCAGCTGTTTCTCCAACAATCCAATCTGACTTTGACAACTTCAACTTTTGGGCAGCCTTCTAAGTTTGAGATTTTGAAGTTTCCCGGTGGAATCACTATAAACCCAGTACAATCTGCTTCCATCTGGCAAATAACACAGATTCAATTTAATTTTACTCTTTATAATTCAATATCTGAAATAGAGGACAAATTAATGGAGTTAAAGGATCAGCTAAAATATGGACTGCGTCTGAGGTCTTTCGAGGTATGACATCAGTTTCAAGCAATGCTCACTTGTTTCACTTTCACTAATGGTTGGTTTTTGGATGGAACTATGGTAGCCTCTTGCTACCATTCTCATGACTTCAGATCTGATTAAATAGTGTTTGGAAGTTGAAATGGGATAAATTCTTGCTACCAAATTATTCAAAATAGTTGAATTATGAATGTTAATTACTTGATTCTGATAAAGGATGAATAAACATACCACCGCATCTTAAGTGTTCTGTGCTAACTAACTGTTTTGGCATTCCCAGCTATTGAAGAGGCTGAGGCTCTTGATTAGCTCCTTATGATTTATTTACAGATCATAGATGCCAGATCATGTATTAGTAACTGCATCATAACCCTAGTTTAGGAAATTAAAACCTTGAAGTTTCTTCATTGCAATGGAACAGAAATTAGTGGTAAGGGGAAGAGCAAAGAGGAGCTTATTTCCCTTTTGTTTTTGAACCCTTTAATGCCCTAATGTTTGAGTTCTATTTTTTGGTATTACTTGTTTATAATTATTTGTATTTGTTCATTGCAGAATTTGTTTGTGCAATTAACAAACAAAAATGGCTCCACAATATCTGCGCCAATCATAGTTCAGGCTTCAGTGATGTCAGATGATTTTGGTAGCCTTCTGCCTCAGAGATTAAAGCTGTTGGCTCAAACCATCACAGACTCTCCTGCAAAGAATCTTGGTCTTAATAATTCAGTCTTTGGTAAAGTTAAAAGCGTTAGCTTATCATCTTACCTGAAGGATACACTTCATGCTACCCCTCCCACTCCTTCACCAGCTCCATCTCCAGGGCCATCGATTTCTCCGCGTACTACTTTTTTGCCGACTCACTCTCCAGTGTCATCACCCAAGAATCATCATCTTCCACCTCGTCCTAAGTGGAAAGCTTTTTCTCTATCTGTTCGTAGTCCTCTGCATTCACCAGGTCCTGGAATTGGTCCCTACCCTTCTTTTCCTCCTTCAAGATCTCCTGCACCTTATAATGCAGTGACTCACCCCCCTCCACCATGTCCATACTCTCGTCCTGCGCTTCCGCCAAGCACTTCACCAAGATCTCATTCTAACCTAATTTCTAACCACCCACCTCTAATGAGTCCCCAATCACAGTTGTCCCCAGATCTACCACCTTTACCTTCAGTGTCTTACGGATCTCATCCAGGCCAGGGTATGGACAGTATGAAAGGCCCAGTTTCTGCAACACTTGCTCAGTCTCCATCTGCACAATCTCCATCATGTAAGCACATAATGCTAAGTGAATTATCCGATTCTGCTTATCTTTTTGTTTTCCATTTTATATAGCAGTATATCTTACTTCTGAAAAAAAATGCTCTCCCACCTATGTGTTCAAGTGCCTGTATGGAGTTTTTAAACATATGTTAAGATTCATCAACTTCCCATCTATCTAAATTTTGTTATGGTGGTTTAGACGATTGAAATGCCAGTTGGACATACATTTGTTTTTAGTTTTCTTTGTGTTATTTAAATTATAGCTAATTGTAATGATTTTTTTTTTTTCTGATTGTTGTGCGCATTTGCAGCTATAGCAGTTGCTGTTCTCCCGAAGGAATTCTGGTTAATGGGATTTTTAGGATTCTTGATCTTTCATCTCCTTTAATGATCAATGACTTATGATAGATGATGTTCATTTCCCAATTTTGATATGGTAAGGATGGTTGAAGCACCTGTGAAAATTTTCCAAGTTTTTCCTTTTCCTTCAAGCAAGCAATGTATAAATGAGATGGAAGATGAACTGCTGGTCAAAGCCAGAAAGTTGGCAGGCCACTCATCTCATGATGTCATGACCATAAACGCATGACCAAAAGAAGCAGGCATCACCTCGCATGTTTCATGAAGAACAATCTGTATATTGACTCAAGTGTAAAGAATATGCTGGTTCTTTTTTGAGCAACTATAATGTCATGTGGAAATGTAAAAACAAATGGTTTATAGTACTGAATGAAATATAAGAAAGAGTATATATTTTTTGTGGATTCAGCATGTTGAATAGCTTCCTGTATCGAATGGAATGGTATCACCCCCCCCCCCTTTGTTTTGCGAATCAATTTCATTTATTTTTGCTTGCCTAATGCTCAGAAGCTGCATATCATCGAATCATGATTGCTTAATCTGCGATTAGTGTTGGCTTGTTAGAGCTTAAAGGCGTTGAACTCTGGCCTTCAATGGTGGATTGAACAGGAAGCACTAGCATCATGGTGATCATCTGGTTATATTCGATTCTCCATTAAACAAACTATACTTGGACCATCTAGAAATGATCATGCCAACTCAGCATGCACTCTCAAGGGTGGGCTAGGAACAAAAACCTGCTTTTAGACCAGTTGGAACGCAAATCTTTCCTTAAATGAACACATCAGCTGAAGTCCTTGCAAAAAAGGAGAAAATATGATGGCCTGCCACTTTCGTGGTACAATACAACCCATTGCCTGATTTGAATGTAATGTGGAAAGATTTAGCAGTAATTGATACTACATGCTGAGACTAGCAGAAATCCCTTTCTTTTTGTGATATTGGCATGAACCTAAGAATCAAGTTGGGAGGATAAATTTACAGAAAGAATTATGGAAACAACTGCACATCATCTACGATTAACTTAAACCAGAGCCTTCCCAATTAATCAGTGAAATTTATGAGAACACACCGTCAATTTCAATACTTCAACTGGTCTATCAAGGTTATTGTTTTCTGTCAGTAAGGTAAAAGAGCGGTGCTTGGTCTGAGAATATCCTTTGGCCATCACTGGCCATAGATTCATACTTCCAGGCAGGTCCAAGAAGCCAGGACATTGCTGCTCCACCAACCAAGCCTCCCAGCTGAAATTGTAAATTACCACAGGAAATAAAATATGAGAAACCAAAAGCAAAAAAAAGGGCAACTAGCAATTAAGACAAAGGAATGTTAGTAGGTTTCTCTGTTCAATTATATTTTGAACAATCCCAAAAATAAAAATGATTGTATTAATGATGCAGCACCATTTTGAAGAGAAAAGCAGAAGCAGATGTTTATGATGCACAACCCCTACTCAAAAGAATTTAAACAGGGTGCATGCCAACAAACACACTTGTGTAAGAAGGAACGATAGTTACACTTACATGTCCCCAGTTATCGATGCCTTTCAACAGCAGCTCAATAACCTGCATGATCAACATTCATTACCAATGGGCTGAGAACAGTGGGGTGTAAGTGTGATATGTGATGTGTGATACAAAGTTGGCTGGAGCACACTCGACGCTACATTTTTTTTCAAGGTAATCACTGTAATAGATCAGTATGAGTAGTTGGTATGTGTGAGACAGATTTTTCAATAGGTAGTTATATGGTTCCTTGGGTTCTCAAACATTGAGTTGCAGAAGCTTTGAATCATACCATGTTTAAGAAAATAACTTGTGCAAGATGACGTTGATCTTCTTTAGCATCTCTGATCATGCCTCTATGCCTCATGACAAACACAGCAACAGAACCAACCTAGACAAACAAAAGAATTTCAAATGAGATAGGGAAGGCGATAACAGTAAACAAATAGTTTGAAAAGACTCGAGTTCTGCCATGGCAGACCACCATTAGTTGGAACAGGTTCTCATGAACAGCTATCTTGTTTTGTGAACAAGTTCAAAATGACTTACTAATCCAAAGATTGCTCCTGATGCACCAACTGCAGGTGCTTTGCAAAACCAGTAACTTGCAGCCACACCTAGTTTTCTTCAAGCGGTTGAATCAAAACTGTACTAGCAGGTAAGCAGAGACCAATTATATTCTCCATAGTAGGCCCAACAGAATTCAAAGAATAACAATTGACGTGAAAACAACAAATTCTCTTAATTCAAATAGAGAAATAAACTTTCCTTATTGAGAAATTTGGAACCATCTGATTCAAATCAAACCATGAGGTGCCTTATATTTGCATGCAAAAGAGAAGATGCGGCCAGCCTCCAAATCTGTCCTTTGTCAATAACACTATTAATCTACATACATAACATATAAATCAAATATCAACCCACAGTTCTCAAAGATCCCATGATACCGAAACAGATATGACTCCAAACTTTTCATCCCGAATCGACCACAATCTCACCTTAGCTCCCCAAAGAAACAGCTTCCTTTGTGTAGCCAGTTGTGCAACATATAAGGATGTTGGTCCATTTCCTTCTGTTAAATGAATTTCTCCTGGAAGTTTCCCTTTTGGCAAATCTACTATCCTCATTTCCAAACTTCTTTCGTCTTCCCCATTGAAGGAACATATGTAAGATTAACATGAAGATGTGAAAGCATCATTTGTAAATTGAAAAATGTCAGTTCCCATGAAGTTGGAAAGTTGTTTCAGACCATGCATCCTTCTATCTATGAACATTACATTTATGGGAGAGTTTCTGTTAGGGGTACCTTGAAGGAGGAGCGGAGGAGAAACCCCAGGCGGAGCTGATGGCGGAGAAGGTGGCTAAGTCGGGAGAAGCAGCTGTGGTGATGACGTGGAGGGGTGTGGATCCAACTCTTGATGATGATGATGGTAGTGGGCCGCATAAGTCCCACTGGAAGTGGATTGGCTGAGGCACAGCTGATCCCATCAATCCACTCCAAGTCCCAGACCAGACCAGTGTCTTGTCGAAACTGAACTGCTCTGAAGGAAATCCAGTACTTTGAAATGACATGGCGCTGTCTAAAGGAACTTTCTTTTTTCTTTTTCTTTTTATTATTATTTTTTAAAAGCACTTTTTTTTTTTACTTGTTTTCATTCAGTTTTTTTCTTTAACCAGAAACAAAGAAAAAAAAATTGAAATAGAAAAAAACAAAGAAATATTCTGTACAATCAGTTAATTTGATTTTTTTTTTTTGTTCTTTTAATAAGAGGTTAACCAGGTGACTATACAATGATAAACCAGGAGAGGGAATTCCATCAAAATTTACATGAATCTTCTTTCCTGCAAGAACTAGATAAAGAGAATAAGCATCTATACATTCATTTCTATGACTAAACCATCGACCTGAACATTTTGAGCTCAAAGCATATATATGTTGCTGATAAGAAACTGCAGATACGTAAAAACCCAATTAAGAAAATTTGCTACCAAACCAATAACAAAATCTTGAAACAATTTTACTTGCAATAAAATTTTATGATTTTTTTGATGAAGTGAATTGGTGCATTTTTGTAGAACAGAAGATAAAAGGAAAGTAGAATATACCTGTTAAGTGTTAAGATTCCAACATCTTGTCATCATCAATGTTTTGTCTTGAAATTTAGTGTAATGTAGGGTCAGACATATATATACATACCTGCTTTCGAAAGGATTGAAAATATTATCAAAATTTGCACAAACCGCTTTCTGATGCAGAGGTGTGATATATAGACAGAAGCTATAGAATCGACCAAAACGGCCACCAGGAGCTAGCTGTGGGGGAAAACATAGCTGCTGTGTTACACAATTGCTAGATAAATATGCTTTAATTACTTGGAAATGTTAGTAATATAAAGTTATAAATCATGAACAAGCAGAAGATTAAGCCCTGGCAGTAGATTATACCCTCGCGAGAGTAATTAGTTCCATTGATCCTTCTATCAAGAAAATCAAGATATCTGCCGGTCCAATGAGAGAATGCACGAAAAGGCCTTGAAGAGAGGAACTGAGTCCGCAACCAAGTGACGCCATTTGCCAGATCTTCAACACCAAAACCAATGTCCCCAACATTGATCTCACCAATTTCATAGTCATCAGCAGCGTTAGAATCACCATTAATCTCATAACGACAAACAGGACAGGTGTTGTTAATGCTCAACCAAGGCACGATGCAATCAGAGTGATACAAATGCTTGCATGGTAACTCTCTTGCTTCTCCACCAACCACGAACTCATCCTTGCAAACAGGGCAATGCGTGCTGTTGACTAGATGATCTTCCGCGATTTTCACCATTGGCAATGCTTCAATGGCTGAAGCAGCTGCTGGAGGAGGCCCTGGCCTGTCATTCTCTGTTAAGTCTTCAGTGAAACCCTCCATGTCGTTGCCTGTATTATTCTGTCGAGGAGGAACAATATTTTCTTGTGGTGCAATAATAGGACCAGGCTGCCGGTGAAGTGGTTCAACAAAATTGAGAGTGATCCAAGGTCCATTTTCAGGCCCTGATTCCCAACGAGTTCTTCTACCAAAATTAGTGTTTTGCCGCCTAGTTGGGGGGTCAAGAGCAGCAGCCAAGGTATCCAATAAACGGGTAGCATTTTGGTAGGGTTCAAGGCCAGAGAGATCAGCTCTAAGCCTAGGCCGTGAGAAATCCAGCTCGTGACTAAGTTCACGAAAACAATGTGGACAATAAGTTTGAAACAGGTTTGAATTGGAAAACCTTATGGTGCGTTGGCAATGGAAACACCAGATGTAATGGTAGGTTCTCATCCTTCGGATTCCATTGACTGTAACGCCCGGACGATGGCTTTGAGACATGTTTTTGCTATGCAAAATGGGATTGATTTTGCTTTTAAGAAACGTATTTGAGATTTGAGGAAGAAGAAATAACAAGCTCCTTATATAAAATGTAAAGTTGTGTGAACAAACAGAGAGAAAAGGATACCTTTTGGATATACAACAAGGGATTCCTTTTCTCTTTAACAGGTGCTGTTTTCCTGGAATTTTTGGTTGTAATTTTCCGAATTGTCTTTCTTCTAGGAAAAGCAAAGGATGATTGAGAATTGATGTTAACCGAGGATTGTTCATAATATGTTACATTCTCCAATAAATTTGTCATTTATCAAATTATTTACTTTTAATTGATAATTATCAATTCACTTCCAATATAATTTGGTGGCCAGAAAGTGGCTGCACTTTTGTTCATGCGGCCCAAGAAAATGAGCCCACAACTCAACGACACGACCCAAACTCACCGAGCTGCTTGTTCTACTTAATAAAAACTCACCCGGGCTAATTATTTTTACTTGCCAATAGGATTGGGTTTTGGTTAAAAGAATCGGAATGGGTTGTCTTATATTCGACTTTCTCTCCATAAAAAAATTCTCGTAAAATGAAAAAAAAAAAAAACCATAAACTTTCTCTCCATCCAAACACAAAAAAAAAAAAAAAAAAACTCATATAATATTCCAAACCTCTCTGCTTCCCAAAACCTACCGCCCCTGCTCATCTTTTACTCGGTAAGCTTTAAAAAGAATCTGACATTGAGATGTTTGTTTTCTTCTTTAATCGACGGTGGAGATTCATTCCTTCTTCGTTGATCTTGAGCGTACAGTTGGATTTACACACTGAATCTCGTATGTACTTTCAAGGTCTCAGTCTTGATTCTATTTAGTCTTTTGCTCGCACCAACTGGATCATGTCTCTTCACATGATCCACTTGGGCTTTGACTCATGCACTGGTAATGACATTCTTCCCCACTCGTTCTAACCATGCTCTTGTTGCTAGGAAAATGTTGATCCTTCATCGCATGCACACGTAGGATAAATGTTTTACTCTCATCTCGATAGTTCTTGGCACACCCTCGTTGCCATCCTTTGCTTTTGTTTCGATGCCGACACCTTTTCTGTTTCATAATCTTAAAAACGTAATTTTTATTAAAAATATAACAAACATAATATTTTTAATATACAAAACATGGTTTCTATTTAAAATATATTAAAAATTTATTTTTATAATATTTTATAAAAAATTACTACTTTTTTAAATAAATAAAACTGTATATATAATCTAAAAATACAACTAAGTGAGGATAAATGAAAAAAAATTCCACTTCTGAAATTTAAAAAAAATCTCAAGAAGAGAAAAATTTTTTATTCTCCTTATTTTTTTTTTTTAATACTATTAAAAATTTTTAAAAATCTCAAAAATCACATTTCGTGAATTAAACTAAAAAATAAAATCAAAATTTTATTTTTTCTAAACTAAATACCATCTAAAAATAATTGTTCGTATCAATTGAGCTAACTCTAAATTTGAAAGGAAGAAAAAATGAAATGAAATTTAATTTATTTTGTGAAAAATGATTTATAAAAAATAATTTTTACATTTTTAAGTGTTTATTTGATAAAAAAGTATATGTTTAATGAAAAATGATTTATTGATTAATGAAAAATAAGGTTATTTTTTAAAATTGTTTTACTAATTTGAAAATGAGAAGATATTTTTTGAAAAAAACTGTTTATAAGTTGAATTATTTATCAATGCTTTTGAGGATAATTTTATTTATTAATAAATAATATACTATTAATATAATATATTACTAAATATTATTAATAATCAATATTATATTAATTAATAATATTATAATATATTATAATAATATAAAAATAATAAACAGTTTTATTTTAAGTATTTTTATATTAATATTATAATATTAATATTAAATTTTACTATTAAAATATATTTATTTTTAATATTAAAAATTTTAATAATAAATAATTTCAATATACTTTAATAATAAATAATTTTTAATATTTTAATAATTATATTAATATTATTTAAAAAATATTTTTCATAAAACAACCAAATAATAAAAAATATTTTATTAACTCATCAACATAACAAAAAAAAAATTTTTCAACTAAAAAAACATAAATCTTTTTTAAAAATTATTTTTCAAAAATCATTTTTCCCGAAACAATCGCCTATAAGATATAGCCATTGGAGTAGTACTACCTGGCTAATGGGCTGATTAATGAAGAACACAATCCTTGCTTAGGCACTTCCGAATCCATTGTAAGCCTGATTGAGAATTACCACAAGTCCTAGTTATGGACTTGAGGCTTTCGGCCCAAGTGACCTGAATTTCTGATTTTCGTCCTCGATTGAGAAGGAAGTGAGGGGTTAAAAAAAAAGAAAAGTTGGGACCTCATTTTTAAAAAATCATTAATGAATATTTTTAAAGTTCTTATTAAAATTAATATTTTTATTCAATATATTAAAATTCATCAAATAGTTTATCATAAGAGAAAAAAGGTTTAATTTTATAAAGTTAAAATACTAAAAGAGCTCGTAAAATTTTATTATTGTATTTATATAAGTTCGAATATTTTTATTATATTCAAATAAATTTTTATTTTTAATTTGTATTTAAATATGTTCTTATTTTAGATAAAAATTTCATTTATGTTAAGAATTTATTTAGTTATAAATTAAAGGATAATAGGCTTATTTGAATATAAATTAAAATTTGAAAATTTATTTGGATGAAAAAAAGGTTAAAATTTTATTTAAGTGTAATAAAAATATATGTATTTATTTAAATAAAATGATATAGTTCAAAAATTGTTTATTATTTTAATAAAAAATGTATTGAAATTAGTGATGGATCATGATATATAGATTTGAGATGATCAATTAATAATATATTATATATTTTAATTAGACTTATTTATATATATACACATATAATAGGCAAACAATAAATTAATAAAAAGTAACCAATTTATAAAATTATAACATTAAAATATTAATATGATAATATTAAACTTTTAAGGAAAACAAGAAGTTTAAATTAATGATAAAGTTACTGATTATACTATCTTTTAACGAATTATTAATATTTTTATTTTTTTAGAAATTTAAAATTAAAATAAAAGAATATAAATAAATCAATAATTAAAGAATATATTTTCATCAAAACAATAAAAATATAATTTAAAAAAAACAAAATTAAAACTTTGAATTGCAATAATACATAAAATTAAAATTTAAAATCACAAAGAAATAAATTAATAAATTTAAATTTATTAATATTAATCTATACGTGCTACAGATTTTTAAGAACTTTGGGGTACGATAAGGAACCGCCATCGATTGGGAGCGAAGAGGCAATAAAGAGGGCAAATAGGATTGAAAAGGAGGGTGTCCTACACCCATAAAATCATATTTAAAGGAAGACCGTTGGGCTACTAACTGTTTCTCAGGCCTCAACAAATGTCACGACAGAATGTCGCATTTCCCGCCTGAACCTCCACGTGCTGTCGGTTGCTGTAGCTCGAACGCCTTCCTACTTCGTATATTGACTTTCAGTTCCTCGTATTTTGATTTTGTTGATATTTTACCGTTTATAAAATATATTGTTTTAAATTTTTTTTTTAATGTTTCTCATAAAAAAAATATTTTTAATACACTTATGGTGAAATTATTTTAATTCTCCCACTTTTTATTTTTTATTATATTCAAATATAAATATCGCTCAAATAATTTTAATAGTAAAAATTTTAAAATTTATTGCCAGTTTGTGTGATCATTTTTAATTATTTAATATATTTTGTACTCATAACCTACTTAATCCTAATTGTCTCCAGCTTTGTCGCTTGTAAAACTTTTGATATTGGATACTCCTTTCATCCAAAAGTAATTATCCTTTATTGATTTTTTTTGGTCAAAATAATTATATTTTGATTTAAAAATAATATAATATTAAATTAAAATTAAAAAAAATGTTTTCAGAATTTTGAAATTCAAAGTTTACAAATCTTATTTTTTTTTATTTTATTATTTTATTAAAAATAATGATCAAATTTGAGTTAATTTGACAAAAAAATTAATAAGGGATAATAATTTTGGGACGGAAAGAGTATTAATTAAGGTTTACATGGAAAATTAGCAAGTGCCACTTGTGAATTCTCCTCCATATGTATGTTATTTTTTGAACCTGGTTTTTTTTTTTTTTCTCAAAAGAATTCCATTGATTTGTTTGATGCTGATTTGAGGGTTGTTTTTGGTTTGGGTACATCATGAATGATGATAATGAGAGTAGAGCAAGCGAAACGGCAAAATTAATTTCTTCTTTTTTTTTTTTTTATAGAATGTATTTATGGACTGCTTTTTTTTTTTTCAGTATTCAAAAGTTATTATTTTTTTTGTAGTGTATTTACAAAAAAAAAAAAAGTTATTATTTTTGTTTTTCTTCTTGGAATTTTATGCCATTTAGCACAATCTTTTTGTTTAGTCATATGCATGGGCCGGGACTATATGACAATATATAAGATACCCTCATTTTAAAAGAAAAATCAAATTTTTTATGAAGAAAAATTCGTTTATTCCACTGGTATAATTGAAGTGTGTTAAGTAAATGAAAGTATAAAGACACTTAATTTCATAAGAAAAGTGAAATCATAAATTTTGTGATCATTAAATTTTGTGAATCTATGTTTTGAAAGATATTTTTTAATTTTATATCTAAATGCACTCTCTATTAATATGATATAAACATAATTAATTTCGTTTTTTTAAGTAAGATTTCAAGATGAATTCACACCGTTTAGTAAGATTTTATTGGTGGGGTTCTTGATTATTTTTATATAAAATAAATTTATAAGTGTATGTACGTTAAGAATTAAATTTTAAATTTATTAAATATCTACATTTATATAAATAAATTCAGTTCCGACATTTCTTTCCTTTTAGATGGGATGAAACAAACAATTGATAGCAATCAATTTGATGTGGAAGATATCTAACAAACAGATGAGATATTGATGTCTCTAACTTGGACAGATAGATAGGGAAGGTGATAAAATCATGAATAAGAGTGCTCAATTTATAAAGGGAAACAGATAAATTATCGTTGGGGGAGGTGAATTCATTAGTGAGGACCATAAATGAAAAATAAACACAAAAAGTACTGGAATGCACAGGGGACTTGATTGATCAAAGATCCAGCCTGCTATGATTTGAAAAACCAGAAAAAAAAAAGTTTTCAGTAACTTTGCAGCGCTGCTTTAAAAACCAATGCCGTGGTCTCTGGTCTCAGACCATTTCTATCCCAACCCCAAAATATTCCCTTGGAGAGAAAGAGATGGAACTACCCTTTTTCCCTACCCTTTTCTCAGCTGTTAAAAGCTTTGTGGTGAAACAAGCTTTTTTCCCAACCCTGGAGGATTGGCTAGTGAATCACCCGAAAATCCGGGAGTTTTCATGGCACAATGGCCAAACACCAGGCTCCTCCCAGCGCTTCCTTACCCTCACTGTCTTATCCTATATCGCCTTCACGTTTGTTCTCTCCCAAGTATCTCGCCCTTCGCTTACACGTCCAGTCCTGAAATCTATCTCAGCCGTCCACAACATCTTCCTGCTTACTCTCTCTTTCATCATGGCGCTTGGTTGCCTTGTTTCAGTCTTCTCCCAGGTGCCTAACTTCAACACCCTCGTCTGCTTCCCTAGGCGCACATCACCATCTGGACCTCTCTTTTTCTGGGCCTATCTATTTTACCTGTCGAAGATTGTTGAATTCATGGACACCCTTTTGATCATCCTCAGTAACTCCATGAAAAGGCTATCGTTTCTTCACGTATACCATCACTCAATGGTCGTGATCATGTGTTACATGTGCATAGACAGTGTTCAATCTTCCTTCCCTATGGTGCTGTTTACCAACTGCGTAGTGCATGTTGTAATGTACACCTACTACTTGATGTGCACCCTCGGGATGCGCCCGAAATGGAAGAAAATTGTGACAGATTTCCAAATTTTGCAGTTCTGGGCAAGCTTCTTGATCATGGCTATGCTTGTCTTCTACCACTTCACTGGTTCAGGCTGCTCTGGGATTTTGAGTTGGTGCTTCAATTCAGCCTTCATCATATCTCTTTTGTTCTTGTTCTCTGACTTCCATGCTAAAAGCTACTCCCCCAAGGTTAAGGGTAACTAATTCATAATTAGATGCCCATTTCTTTTCCATTTTTCTACTTAAAATTTAAGCACATTGCCAAAGTGCACTATTGTCATAAATTTCTTTTAATTAAACTTAGTTTCAATTCAAGAGTTTGATTATTAATTATTACTAATTAAACTTTGGAAATGTTGGATTATATGCTTTAAGTAATGATTAAACAATGCCTGTTCATGTTCATTATCACATGCAATTTGGGCTTTAGCCATACTACGGAATTGCCACAGGCTCCCAAGTGATCAAACATTGAAGTTTCATCTTCATTAATGAAAGGTAAACGAAAAATATTCCAAAATGAAAATCGAATATTTGTGAAGATAAAAGTCGTTTTCCTGTCCTACTCTAGTGAGGAAAGCAGGTGCTGTCGCTTTCTCCATTAAACATGGTAATTGACCAGCAGCTGAGTAAATAAGTTTGTCACGGAACACGTTTGCTCAAGAGAAAAATTTGTCCTTTTAGATCGTTGTAATATTTAATTTTTTTTTTGTCATTTTGAATGATTTTAAATCCGAAGGATTACTCAATATTTAGTACTAGTAATTCTGAAATATTTATACAAATTTATTTTTAAATTTAAGATGAAAAAAATAAATATTAAAATTTAAAATTTAAATTTATTGAATGTTATTTAAATGACTATATATATTAATTAATTAAATTTAAATTTAAAATTTTCGTTTTATAATTTAATTTAATTTGATCTCTAAATTTAAAAGTAACGAATGACACATTATAATAATATTCTATTGAGTTTTTTTAGCAAATAATTATAAATCTTTTAGGACAAGTTACCCTACAAAAAGGATAAGTTGGATAAATTTAAAAAAAAAATTAAAGATATATGTATTTACTTAGATTAATGGATTAAATTCGAGACTTTATTATACTATGTTATTGGTACGGTTGATTAATGAGAAATTTAAAATAATAATCATTTAAATATAAAAATTAATTCAATTAATTTATTATATCACAATTTTAAAAAATAACATCTAACATATTTGAATTCGAATTTTAATATTTATAAATTTTTTTCTATTAGTAAATTTTGATTATTTTTATAAAAAATATAAAGTCCTGATGTTAAAATTCTCTAGCAACCCTATGGCTAAGCAATTAACCATAAGAATTAAATCAAGCAGGCAGGGCGGCAGGCAGCAGGTTGCTTCTTTAATAATGGTCATTGCCCCCTCCCCCCCACCAATTTTTACTTGGTGCAGCAACATATTTTATAGCTCTAAATTAATTAAAAACTTTCTATGATTGGTTGATTATAATATTACAGGAAAAATATTATACGTGAAATGCTGCGTAAATGATTTTTTTTTGGGGTTCATCCCTGTTATTTTTACCTGCTTCAATTAAATTTTACCTGCCAACGCCAAGCAGGCAAGCATTAATGCCAATTAATTAGTTTGACTTCCCACTTCCCACTTCCCACTTCCCACTTCCAATTACTAACTATTTCATTTGCTTGTATTTGTCTTTATCCGAGCCCTGTTGAGTATTAGCGCCTTTTTCTTTCCCAGTTTTGTGTCTTCATATTTTGTTTTTTTAAACGATTATTATTTTTAAAATATTATTATATTAAATTAAAATTAAAAAAATATTTTTAAAATTTAAACTCAAATTTTATGAATTTTATGTTTTAATTAAAAATAATAATCAAAATTAAATTCATTTGATTTACAAATTTAATAAAAGATAAAACATACGAATTTTATGGTTAAAATGCAAATTTTCATAGGTTTGTACAAGAAGAGAAACTATTGCTTTTTACTGGCATGGCAATGACACACTGAAAAACATTCTTCTATACATATATATTTATACTTAGATGCTTTGACATTTTAGTAAAACATCACATTCATTCGATTCAGTCTTTTTCCATTTGGGTGCATATATGGATTCAATTCGATCTTGGAATAATGTCTCATTCACTCACTCAAAATCAGTTTCTGCTTTCTGCTTTTTCCTTCTATGGAGAAATGGAGTCCACACTAGCTAGATTCACTAATAGTAAAACCAGTAGTAATGGGATATTCTTGCTTGGTTCACTTATGGATGAAGGATTGAAATCTCAAATGGGAAAAAAAAAAAAAAAACCATGTATGGGCTCAACCAACTTATGGAAGAATGTACATAATTACTGTCAAACTCAAACATGGGCTGCGCCCAGTGCCCATATCGTAGTATTCGGGCTTTAAACACCGATACCATGTAACATATTCCGAGTCACCGTGGCAATTTTGGAGCAATATCTTACAGGAAATTGATTCAAATCTTGCTTCTCAATCTCTGGGGCTGTCATCTAAGTAAGTTTTGTGCTAAGCCTAGAGAATCATACTGATCATGAATCAAAGAAGTTGCAATCTCATGTCATCATTAGCAATCCGGGCTGGAGTTAGGCTTATGGAATAGCTTCATTAAAAAATTGGATTAGTATGATTTGTTGATAGAGTACTGGAATTTTAGTTTTCGTTATTAGAGTTCAAAGCAGGATTGTTTTAAAAAAAATGAAAGAATATATCCAAGAATATTGAAAGATAAAAAGTGCCAATAAAATAAAAATTTAGTACAACGTAATCTGATAGAGGCAAGGTATAAATCACTTGGTTAGGGAACTAAGCAAGGAAGTCTTTTTGGGCTGTCACAGCTTGTAGATTCACCAACTCCAACACGTATTCTCCCACTTCACTTTATCTACCAAGTTGTGCTCATTTTAAAGCAAGGCACATCAGCCTTCCATGGCTGTCTCCAAGTGCCCCTGGTAGATTGGTGCAGGATGGCAGTGGCTCACAATTCTAGTTTCTTACTTTTTTGCATTTTCTTTATCCTTTCATCAGGTAAATTTTCTCTTCATGCCTTTGCGCCAATCAATTGAAGAAGAATAATTTAATTACTTAAACATCTAAGGAATTAAATTTCTACAGTTGGTTCAATCCTCTCCAAAATTATGGGTTTTTTTTTATCACTCTTTTTTTCCGAGGATATGGCTGAAATTCTATTTTTCCTTACTTTTTTGGTTTGACAAAAATCTCACAATGAATTAGTGCCGATATTCATGAGCCGTGACATTTATTAAGTTTAAAATTTAAAATTTTCTATTTTTAAATTATGATTTTTTTTGGTAAAAAAACTACGTACTAAACATTTATAGTAGTAATATGAACTCACCTCTCTTATTTAGTTACATTTATATTTGGGTAGGTGCAAAAAAGTGTGCAGATGCAAAAAATTTTACCCTTGTGAATCAGTGCCAAGAGACAGTATGGCCTGCAATAATCACAGTCGAAAGCAACTTCCATGGTGAAGGATTTGCATTAAATTCAGGTCAAACTTTCTTCTATAATGCCCCGGATGTATGGAGTGGCCGAATATGGGGTAGGACAGGTTGCAATTTTGATAAAAATGGCAATGGCACATGTCAAACAGGCGGCTGTGGAACTTCCCTAAATTGTACCAGCGCCGGTAGCCTGCCTGTTTCCATAGCCGAATTCACCCTTGGTGAAACCGATTACTATGATGTTAGCCTTGTAGATGGGTTTAACTTGCCTATTCTGATTAAGCCTGGTGGTGGAAAAGGAAATTGTAGCACTGCTGGCTGTGATGGAGACTTGAGGCAACATTGCTCATCAGATCTTGCTGTTAAGAACAACGGCAAGGTTGTTGGTTGCAGGAGTGCCTGTGATGCCTTTAACAACGATGAATATTGTTGTCGCGGGGCGTATAAAGATCCTGGTGCCTGTTTGCCTACAAATTATTCCAAGAATTTCAAACAAGTATGCCCTGCAGCATCTAGCTATGCGTACGACAATCTTGTTAGTATCATAACTTGCTCTGCATCAGATTACATGGTGGCATTTTGTACAACAAGGTAAAGCTATAGATAACTTTCAAAAATGCATATATAAATCTATAGGTTTGCAATAAGGGTATTTGCCATGGTTTGTTGAGCTCACTGATGGATTGGTGCTGATTGCAGGAACAATACAGCTTGCACCTATAATAATCAGAAGTTTGTTTGCAGTATAACATCAGGGGGCTTCAAGGTATTCCCTCAAAGCTGGAGGAGTTTGATGCTGGCATTACCATTGGCTTCCATTTTACAAATTTTGTTTTAGCAAACTCTGGACAGTTGTCTTAATTTGTATCACTTTGAAATTTAAATGGATGTTATGCTTGTTTTTCTTCTTTTTCGTCCGGATCTTTTTGACAGCTGGATACCTGGAAGATGAACAAAAGATGCCAACAATTATGTATCCTCCTCCAGGCAGTCCATGCTAATATTTTAATTAAATTCATTGCTAGATTTTCATGGTACATAATAGGCGCATCAACGATTTTAATATTTGAAAAAAAAAGTGTAAAAAAAATGAGTGAATTCCAGTTTTAAATATGATGTAATTCACCCATCCCTTCAAAATTCAAATAATATGCTAGAACAGAAGACTCCAGGCCCATCAACTATTCCACCTGAGTTTACAAAATAGATTTGGAAGTAGTGCAAATAAGATCCCATTTTTCATTAAGTAAATCAGATTTCAGAGGCTCCTTTATGGGACTAACTGCTTCAAGAACGAGAGCTAACTATTAGAAACATGGAGAGAAGGCTTAAAATTCAAGAACAAAATTAAAGGTAGTAAGAAAATGGAAAAACCAACTTGCTCAACCCTCTGCTGGTCCTCGGGGGTTGCATCAGCTCCTCGTTCAAGTGGTGCAATGGCCTCAAGAAGCTCTTCCTTGAGCACCTTAGCATCCTTGCCTTTGTTTAAGAAAGAAACATCGACCCTCCATTTTTCATCAGACCCACTTCCTCAACCCTCTGCTGGTCCTCAGGGTTGACATCAGCTCCTCGTTCAAGTGGTGCAATGGCCTCAAGAAGCTCTACCTTGAGCACCTTAGCATCCTTGCCTTTATTTAAGAAAGAAACATCGACCCTCCATTTTTCATCAGAAGCTGATGTTATAGACAGGTTGTAGCTGTTGCTTTCGACAGGTTTGGTTGACAAGTGAAAACTGTTAAGTGAAGAGAAAGAAGCTTGGGAGATGCAGCAGAGTTTGAAGAGGACTGAGAGGTGGCAAAAATTGTATGGAAGTTTGGACATAAGTCCATGGCTGTCTACTCTACGGAAGCCTGAGATTTCTGAGTACTGAAACCACATTTTTCTTGACAGCTGCATTAGTCCATGTTATGGGTTGGGGTCTTCTTAGGCTGTTTGTTTCTTTGGGCTTCAATTGACTTTGATTTTCAGGGTCAATTGCTTTTCCGTCTTTGTTTTTTAGGCTTGGGGCTTGGGCTAGTTGATATTTTGCTGGGTTGTCCCTTCAGTACTCTTCCCTTGAATGAGAATGAGCCACCTAAACTTTAACATTATCCACTCCCAATTAAATAAACTTCTTTTTGTACTTTCCAAAAATAGCTTTGAACTTTTGCAGAAAATCAGGAATGTTTCTCACTTCTTCTCCTGCTTTCAGTACTGCCATTACTTTGTTAAAGGCTCATCTGCAATCTTCAAATGAACCCATCACTTCCTCTTCTTCTCTATCATACAAACCACTTGTCTTGTCATCGAAACCCAACATTTATAGCAACCTTTTTTCAGTAGAAAATGCTGTGTCTTTCAAATGGAGGACTAGAGTTTCATTCTTTTCTGGTTTTTTGACCAAAGACAAAGACGTTAACGGCCTCAAGAATGAGCTTTTTGATGCTATAGCACCTCTTGATCGCGGCGCTGAGGCTACCCCTGAGGATCAAGAGCGTGTGGATCAGGTTTGTCAGCCTTGGTTCGGCCTACCTTCATCATGGATAACTCTTTTTTTAAGTGCAAGTTAAGTAATTTTCTTGCTTTCATTAATGAGATTTCTGTTTTCAACCAGATAGCGCTCAAACTCGAGGCAGTAAATGAGATAAAGGAGCCTCTCAAGTCCAACTTGCTGAATGGAAAATGGGAGCTTTTATACACAACATCTCAGTCAATTTTGCAAACAAAGGTCTTATGTTGATCCTTAATTGGCCAATTTTCTCCAGTTTTAAAAATCCATTCATAAGCATTATATTAGTATTATTGTTGTGGTTTGCTCCCATTCTACAATTGTGCTTCTTCTTTTACTTATTCTTTGATATGTTAATAGTTAATTCTCTAGCTTAGTTCTGTGACAGAGGCCAAAGTTCTTAAGACCCAATGGAAAAATCTACCAGGCAATCAATCTGGATTCACTTAGGGCTCAAAATATGGAAACCTGGCCATTCTTTAATCAGGTAGTTGCTATTTCCAACTTTTTTAACTGTTTTGTTTGCATGAAGTTTGCAGTTACTTTTATCAGTTGTAACTTGTATCTGTCATTTTAATTCAACTGATCATACTAATGGTTTGGTTGCTTTAACCTTAACAAATCCTAACTAAGAACTGAAAGGCAAAAAAGTTGAGAAATTCCTTATAAATGAGAGGCTCGTTTTAGCAATTTGAGAATAAACAATAGATTAATACTGTCTAATCATGTGAATGTAATTAGAGTGAAACCGTCCTCCCTATCCTCTAACCAGCTAAGTTATAGCACCCTATCTTCTTTTTATTAACTGCTATATGTTGCGTTACAAAACCGAATAGACTTTGTTGAATGGCAGAATCACTATCTGATTTTGAAGAGTGTCAATTTTTAAACACATTTCAGAATCAAAATGCTGTTTGATGCTTAAGTATCAAGTTTGATTTTGGTGTGTCAATCTCTTTGCAGGCCACTGCTAATTTAGTTCCTATGAATGCAAGAAGGGTGGCTGTTAAATTCGACTATTTCAGAATTGCTGGTCTGGTATGTATCATATTGCTGTTCTTGAACTTTTCGGAGTTTCTATGGTGTGATATTCGCGCACTTACCTCAGATAGGCCTGAAACAATGATACGTGAACATGATTTCCTCTTCATTTCATATTCTTATATTAATCTATCTAGAATAACAAATGTGTGCTTCTTGAATCTTGATTGGTATTAAGAAATTTTACTGATGGTTGTGAGAGGCTAAGGATTAGTAGTCAAGCATTTATCATTAAATGGAACTAAAATTTTCCTATTAGAACCTTCCATGGTGCTATAGATTGCTGAGTATTCAGTAGCTACCTACCACTGAGGTAGCAAGGGATTGAAATGTTGAATTGTTGCCTTGCTCTCACGAGAATTGGATTTTAAATGTCATACTTGTAATTTTGTTGTGGCAACTCAATGTCATCATATTCTGGTGCTCTGCAGATACCGATTAAGTCACCTGGAAGTGGCCGTGGTCGGTTGGAGATCACATACTTGGATGAGGAGTTACGGTAAGTACTTTAAAAAAAATGTTAATTATGCTTAATGTTATACAATGCCTCTCATTTTTCTCAAATGTCAAATTCATTTGAAACTGTTCCTAACTGCTGCTGCAGCTGCATTATGCTTTTCATTTCTGCAGAATATCAAGAGGTAACAGAGGGAACTTGTTCATTTTGAAAATGGTCGATCCATCCTATCGCGTCCCTCTCTAGCTGTTACAAATATCAATGGCTAAGACATGTGGATGTATGTCGAGTTTTGGAAAGGTTTCCATTCCAAAATTTCAAAACCAGTATGAGCTTCTCGAGTGAAATTTGCTCATCCCGCTGTAACATTGGTACAAAGGATCAGTCCGCGACACAGGAAACCCTGCTGTGCGGCATCCTGGGTAAAAATCATAGTGCCCGATACTCAAGTCAATAATGCAAGTGTAATTCCAGTACTATTGTAAAGTGTAAACCATCACTTTCACTGAATTATATATATATATATATATATATAGGTATTTATCATACATGCGCATAATTCATGTGCTCATGTTAGGTGAGAAGAGTCGTATGACATTGGCAAGAACTGCATCATGCAAAATTTTTGTAACTCAACCATAAATCAATGGCTGTTCACGTTCAATCCCAAGGCTTGGAGTGCAATACGAAAGATTTTTAGCAGCTTACTTTGCGGATGAGGAACATCAACAGTCATCAAATTCTCCCTTTAAATACCCGATCTCTTGCATTAGCCATTGAAATTAATCAATTTTTTTTCTCAAAGTTGAGGCAAATGTTTTTTTTTTTTTTTTAGTTCAACCTTGTAAACATCGTATGACCTCTTGGAATCTTTGTCATTTGTGTCGGTTTACAAAAGCCCAACGATTGAAAAACACGAGAAAAAACGATCCAATGGCTCTTTTTTACAGAAAACGAAAGCCCAAAAGACAAAATATATATTAATTAAACAAAAAGAAGGAAAACTTTAAAAATGAGATTCCACAAGCAGCCAAACTGGGCCTTTTGTTCTTTCACTTCTTCTGCTTTAATGGCTCCTTCCATTTCTTCTCTTTTTTTTCCCACACCTTCCCTTCTTCTTCTCCTTCGGCTTCTGACCCTCGTCTTACCCGTGGTTGCACCATTTCTCCACGCCCCCATGCTTTTGCTTTCTTCCCAAACTCCTATAAAAACAACAACCTCACAACTCCTCCATCACAAGATAAAAATGAAAAACTTTCTTCTTCAGAAAAGAAGTCTTTTGCTGTCGCAACAGGGGAGCTGTTCTTGGGAATTGCATCAAGATTAATAAAAAATAGTTATAATAATAGCTTTCATGACAACTCAGGGTCAACAATCCCATTGTTTGACAGACCCAGAAAGAGAATTAATGAGAGTGGACTTGGAAATAGTGAGCAGAATGATAAGGAGAGAATTGGGTTAGTGATGGAAGATGAGATAGAGCCAGAGGTGATATGGGAACAAAGAATTAAGGATATTGAAGCTGAGAAAGAACGGAGAGTCGTTACCAGCCCCGGGTTTAGCTTTTCTGCCGCTGGCCTTTTGTTTCCTTATCATCTTGGGGTTGCCCAGTTTCTTATTGAAAAGGGTTACATAAAGGTTTCATCTTTTTTTTTTTTAATTTCATTTTACAAAATTTTCACATTGAATTCTGTTAATTTTGCTTGTTGAAGGGGTTTTTTTTTTTTTTTCACATTGTTATTGTTTACAAAATTTTTTAGTTTGATTGTTCATTGGTTGGGTTTGAATTCTGCTAATTTTGCATATTGAAGGTTATTTTTTCCTCACATTGTTATTTTTTCTAAAATGTTCATTGATGGGGAAATTCATTTATAAATTTCTTTCTTTTGAGACAAATTTAGATTGAAAAATCTTGGAGTCCTTGTGGTTTAATCTTTTCTTGGAAGTACAAATAGAAAACGGAATCTAATTGAATCACCATTCTATATATTATCGTTGATTCTTTTCTTAACTCAATCAATTTACATATTCCAGTTTAGATACTGAGCTATATCTGGCTTACTCTACTCCAGAGATCATGAATATCCTTGTTCATTGTAGAATATATCTGTTCCGACTTCCAAAAGGGAAACTGAGATGAAAAGATGCAAGCAATTTGGAATGACAGTAAATTTGCATTTGACATGATATTTAACCTTCTAGTTTTCAGCAGAGGTTATGGAGATAATCAAGGTCTTTTGGTTGGTTTTCTTGTAGCTTGGTTGTGTATCATGTCACTGATACAGCTTGAGAGTAAAAGGTTCAGATACCTGTTCTTGTTAAGTATATCTTTCACTTTAGAAAGTGCTTTGGCAGTGTCAGTTTTAAGTAAGTACTGTATGAGTTATTGAGAACACTGGCAAACTCGTTATATGACTCTGTGGAGTGGTATTTCATCATGAACCATGCTGGAGATGTTTTCCATACCTGATGTTTCCTTTTCCCTTCTTATGCAGGAAACCACACCATTGGCTGGTTCATCTGCTGGTGCCATAGTATGTGCAGTGATTGCTTCTGGAGCTAGCATGCAGGAGGCCCTAAAAGCTACTAAAGTCCTAGCTGACAATTGCCGGCTTAAAGGGACTGCATTTCGTCTTGGGGTATGCCTAGGCACAATGATTGTATATGTGGCTTAATGCACTTATTGCTCTGTTAGTCTGTTTTGTAAAATTTAGTTTCTTTATGTTCTTAACTGTGTATTGACTGATGGTCACCTAGTTGCCAATAAGTTTGTATTAGCAGTCTTATTGCTCAACATTAATGGTTGCAGAGACTAATAATTACATTCAATTATCAGTGCTTTTAAAGAACCTTGATTTTATCTGCTTTGGTATTTTAGTAGCTTGATTACTTATCATGAACTCATATTTTTGTACTACAGGAATATTATCTTCATGTTTATTTATCAGCTTCTGATTAAGTTTAAGTTTTATTTTAACTTATCCTTTTTTAAAATCAACAGGCTGTTCTCCGTGATATTCTTGACGAGTTTCTGCCACATGATGTTCATACTAGGTCAAATGGGAGGGTTCGTGGTGAGTGTTTACCTTTTACTGGATATGCACAATGAGCTGGTTAAATGAGTGCTAACCACAGGGAGAAAGTACAGATCGTAGGCAATATATTATTCACTATTATTAGTATTTTTGCAGTGGGCCAGGGAGGTGGTTCCAAAAAGCAAAGTAAAAACCCCCTCCATTCCAAAATCATAGTCTCTTTTCGAAGTTTTCATAAATTTATGAGTTGTCATTATAAAAGTTAAAGTTGAATGACATGTGTTTCCCCTTTTAGCATATGACCTTTCTTTACTGATTTTAACTTGCTAAACTCCATCATTTTGAACTACTACATTTCTTCTAACCGCAACTATTATGACAGTTGCTGTAACTCAGATTCTTTGGAGGCCTAGGGGTTTACTGGTGGACCAATTTAACTCCAAAGAAGATCTCATCAATGCAGTCATTACATCTTCCTTCATTCCGGGGTAATTGATTAATGCACAGTTCTGGATTGAAACGCTTGCTATGAAGTTACCTGAACCTGACACAATACAACTTTGCAGCTATCTTGCTCCTCGCCCGGCAACAATGTTTCGGAATCGTCTATGCATTGATGGGGGTTTGACATTATTTATGCCCCCAACATCTGCTTCTAAAACGGTATTTTTTTGAGATCATTAAAATTTGAATCTGGCTCCGAAATTCAGGGAAATTTCTTGTCCTTAGACATTCTATTAATAGAATTTTGCAATTGGATATTGGTCTGAATTCTGAAACAAGGATTATTAATCATAAATGATTTTGAATTGAATTCCTTGGGTTTTAAGTGGCATTTTGATATTCTGACTGCTATCACTACAACAGTAACATTTGTATTTTCAAAAGTTACTGAAATCTTTTGTATCTATAGGATAGGATTCAGTCCAATCTGTTTTGAGATCCATGTTTGACATTCCATATGAATATTGTTAAGACTTGAGAATAGCCTTGTATACATAATCCACCATAGTTTTTATCACTGGTTAAGTTTTGCAGGAACAAGATTGGCCTACTTTTATATATAGAGTGTTGTTATGCTTGCTTATCTACTTATTTTTCAGAATTGAAGTCTTTTGTCTTTGAGAAAAATAAAAAGGTGGTAGGATCCTGTTTGAATGGGCCGAATATCAAGCGATGAGCGTCACAATGAGATGACTATGGGTGGACGCTATCAACTATTCAAGTTAATAATTATATAGCTTGGAAAATTAGTCAATGATATATATTTAACTGCCTTTTGTAATTAAGGGCTGCTGTTGAATCCGTATAGCTACTGTACATGGCTTGAAACATGCTATAATGAATACACAAGCTTACTTCTGATGTTGATGTGATGGCTCATGTTGTATTTGCAGGTCCGCGTCTGTGCTTTTCCAGCCAGTCGCTTGGGATTGCAAGGAATTGGGATTAGTCCAGACTGCAATCCTGAGAATAGGGCTACCGGAAGAGAGGTAATCTCGTAGCTCTGCAAGTGTTGAATGATATTTTTTCATCTATATAAGCCACTGACCTTTTGTTGCCAACCACTCCAGCTTTTCAACTGGGCACTAGAGCCAGCAGATGACTACATTCTTGATAGACTATTTGAGCTTGGATATCTAGATGCAGCTGTGTGGGCAGAGCAGAACCCCATTGAGAACATTGTTGCAGATGAAAGTCCTCTTGTTGAGAATGGTTCTGCAAAGTAAATTCTTACAGGGTTATTTGTACGTAATATAGGACATTAGGGTAACTCTCACTCCTCCAAGAGGATCGATACTCGATAGGGCTTGGCTAAAATATAGTTATAGTAGCCAATAGTATACAAATTTATATGGAATATTAACGTCAAACTATCCTAAGATATCATAGGCGCAACAAGTGACAAAGAAAGAAACTAAAAAGTGGAATTTAGGATCTGGATATAAAATTTACTGTCGGTAAATATCAAAATCCATTCTTCCTTGCCATCCAAGGTTCTTTAGTTCCATTTTTTTTTTTTACATGAAATTCCTTTTGCATAGACATTTCATTATACTTAATTTTAATTAATAATTGTACTCCCATTTTTTCAGTTTGTTTCTTTGTTTAGAGTTTCTGCCTCTCTCTCTCTCTCTCTCTCTTTTTTTTTTTTTTTTTCTTTCCTATAGACATTTCATATGCTTGTAGGGGTACAAAGCCTTATTTTGCCTTCAGGTGCACAATAAAAAATATAGAGGGAATAAACAATCTCACATCTTTTCTTAAAGGAAAAAATTGTGAGGGTAAATTTTATACTTAGCGATTCATAGTAAAATATTAAAATTTATATATTTATATTTTATTTTTATATAAAAATTATATATTTTAATTTATATCAATATAAAAATATAAAATATATTTTTTATTTTATTAAATTTATATATAATTATTTTTAAAATTTTAAATTATATTATATTTATATTTAATGTATTTTAAATTATTATATTTTCAAAATTTTACGATACCTACGTACAGTCCAGTAAAAATTATGTAAAAAAACGCAATAATTACTCAATAAAAAGTAAATTTAATAAAGGCATTAAAAATGTCGTAGTGTTAAAACAACTTTAAAATCGAAAGAAGCATATAATGGTACATGATTTAAAGTACACTGGCAAAAAATAAAAAGTTTTTTTTTTTTTTTAAAGAAAGAGGATGGCAAAACGCTAAGCAGACGTGCTTCTTAGGCGCGTAACAATACTCACCTCTCACCGACAGTAACGTTGCGCTTACTTCTTTGCTTAAACCATTGTTTCTTCGATCTCACTCATTCAGTCTCCTCTCCTACCATCATATTCGCTGATCTACTCTTCTCTTTCTGGTCATGGCTAAGACCAACCTCCAATTCCTCGCCATGGATTCTGCATTTCAGATAGCAATGAAAAACAACATCGGCGTTTTAATCTTTCTTCTCTTATCAATCGCATTTACAACGAGCAACGCTTCAATCCACATCTACCAGAATCAACTCTTCAACGAAGTCGGCAATGCTTACCTTCTTCCCGGCGGCAGTGAAGGCCTCGCCACCTCTCCCTCCTCTGACAAATCCGCCGCCGATGGCCGCTCTTTTATTCGGTATTATTGAAACATTTTCCTTATAGTAAAATGTGAACCTTTTGTTTCTTTTAAATTCAATTTTTGAAAGTTTTAAAGCAAGAATGTGGCGTTGTTTTATCGTTTTTGGATCAGATCTGTTAGAAAGTCATTAATACTTATCATGTTTTCAGATTTATTACTTAAGCCTGGCAATCTACAACATAACACAGTGATACAATACGAACAGGATACCAAATAATGATACGAAGGTGACACTTGTCACCATTTTAAAATTTTAATAATAAATATAGTTTAATAAAACCAAAAAAACACGTTTAATGTTTTATTGTGAACTAGAATCGTCACATGTAATTTTGGTGTAAAACACAGCACGAATATATGACTTTTAGTATTTTACATTATATGAATACACGAATTGTTAGATTTACTTGAGCCCTGCATGCTTAGTTGTACGTATGAGGATCAATGGAAAAGGCATTATTGTTCTTTTTTTATTATTTTTTTTGGAAAATTAAGAAGTGTACTATTCTATTTTTTATTGTTTTTTAATTGCATATGAAGTGAAAATCTTTATTTGAGCAAATTCAAGTTTCCAGTGCCATTATCATTTGTTGAAATATATAATTGATGCTGCTTTTCAGAATTTTATGTAGCCATAGATGTGAACAATTATGTGTATCCATAAGTAAAATTAGTATTTTGGTGCTGAAATAAGTTTTACATTTTCAAAATTTGATGCCTTAAATGTAATTTTTATATAGATTTGAGAATATCACATTCTGGAGGACCCAGGCTGCTGCAGATGAACATTCTGACATGGAACATAGTACCGGGTTGATACAAGCGGTGATTTTTGAGGCTGCTGATAGAAATAATATTGGTGGTTCAGCTTATGGTGGACAGAGATCAATATGTTGCACCCCTGATCTGGCTAAGTTGGAAGGTTGCAAGCAAGGTGAAGTCATTAGGATTCCATCTGCAACAGATAGTAGTTGGCCAATCGTTTTAAACATACAGTTTGGTGGGAACTATTTATCGACAAATATGGACAATGCAGAAGTTCCCATCACGAAAACTGGGATGTATAATTTGTTTTTTGTTGCATGTGATCCAAAACTCAAGGGAACAGCAATGAGTGGGAAGACAGCGTGGAAGAATCCTGATGGCTATTTACCTGGAAGAATGGCTCCATTGATGAATTTCTATGTGTACATGGCAATTGCCTATTTGTTGCTTAGTGCCGTTTGGTTCTCCCAGTACATGAAATTTTGGAAAGATATCCTGCTACTTCAGCACTGCATCACTGTTGTCATTGGACTGGGTTTGCTTGAAATGATATTGTGGTATCTTGACCATGCAAATTTTAACAATACAGGAATGAGGCCCATTGTAATTACTACTTTGGTTGTGACAGTTGGAGCTATAAAAAAAACACTTTCTCGACTTCTCATACTTTCTATTTCAATGGGTTATGGTGTTGTACGCCCAACTTTAGGAGGCCTTACCTCAAAGGTGCTTCTTCTTGGAACAACTTATTTTTTGGCATCTGAATTACCGGACATTACCGAGTATGTAGGGACCATCAATGACATATCAGGAAGAGCAAGACTCTTCCTAGTCCTTCCCGATGCATTCCTGGATGCATTTTTGATATTGTGGATCTTTAAATCTCTTTCAAAGACACTGGAGCAGCTACAGGTATTTCCAAATGTTTTTTTTCATATGCTTTAATGGTTAATGACCTTAAGTTTTTTCATTGTAATAACTATGCTTAGTCTTTATCATGATTTCATTTAACAATTTTTCTTTCTTATGACTGACATTATCATCCAGGCCAAGAGAATATCTGTAAAGTTGGACCTCTATAGGAAATTCTCAAATGCATTAGCTGTGGCAGTGATTGCTTCAGTTGCATGGTTAAATTATGAGGTATGACTTGTCAAGACTTTGATTTCTTTCCTGGTTGGTATTTTCATGTTATATTTCGTGGATAAAGGACAAATATTTGTGAAGTATTGCAAGAAAGACAATTATTAATTGAACTTAAAACTGTTATGTAGCCCTTGGTAAGATAAAAATGTTTCAATTTATGATGGATCTGATTTGTTTGGTGCTACAGGTATACTTCAAAGCAACAGATCCATTCAATGAGAGGTGGCAGAGTGCTTGGATTATCACAGCTTTCTGGGACATTGTTTCATTTGCACTACTCTGTGTTATTTGCTACCTTTGGGCTCCATCTCAGAGCTCCCAACGGTGCGTTTTATTGTTGTAGAAGTTTTAGTGAGTCGATTGAATGACCTTAACCTTTTTCCTTTCTTTTCAAATTAAAAATGCTTAAATGGTATGTCACCTGAGATTTTGGCCTGCTGGAGAGAACTCATTTGACACAAGGAAGGACACCTTGAGGCCATGTTTTGCTTTGAGGACTTAACTTTATAGTTAGTATCTGCAACCAAATAGACAGGAAATTTCCCCTGTAGATAGGTTATCATGACAAAATATTTTCAGGGTGATAATTCTTTATACTAACATACTCAATACTCCACAGGTATGCATACTCGGAAGATGTGGGGGAGGAATTTGATGATGAAGAAGCTCAATCTTTAACTAGGGGGCAGTCCAATGGGGATGTCAGTTTAGTCAAGCAGGAGAGGAAGAATGGAAATGCCGACGACTCTGATCAGGAAGATGACTCAGAAGAGGATAAGAGGGAGTAAAATCTCTTGGTGGAACATGGTTTTAATCAAACTTCTCGACCAGAGCCCATGGGAAGATGAGCATATTGTCCTTGGAGTCACAATTTTTCCAAATTCACATTCAAAGGGAACCGATCAGCTGTGGGTAGGGAGCTGATAGATTTCTTTGCCTTTTGCCCATATTATGCAGTATTCTTTAATTGTACATGAGAAAAGGGGCCACGACTAGCGAAGAGAATAAAACAGGTATTGAAAATGGCATTGTTCCTGATGCATGAGATTAGGTGTTGTAATCATGATGTTTCTTCTTTGTAGTAATATTAGGTGTGCGATGTGAAATTTCGCTTACTTGATAGTGTGATGGGGCGGTTTCCATCTCATTTTTTTGGGTGTTTGATTGGGAGAACATGATTTATCCAACAAGATTTCTCATGTTTCCACTAGTCGATATGGTCTGATTACTTTTATATATATATATATATATATATAATATTCAGAATAAAAGAATATTTGGATTTTGTTCAGCACATTTATTTTTCGGACTGATTTAAGTAAACTTATTTATATTAAATTTAACGAATTTATGAAAAATTATTTTTTTACAATCTTCCGTCGAATCCGACTAATAACAAAGAGAGAAGCACATGCTCTTCGTCATTTTTGAGCAAACCATCCCCTAATTGTTTTTTTTTTTTTTGTGAGACAGAATGCATCATTTATAGAAATTGCAATTAGCTGTTAACATAATAAACTGAATTCCAACACCCAAAGAATTTAGTTAAATTATATAAATTAATTCATGAGGACAACAATATTAAAAGGAGATTTAGGGGAAAGAACTTTAAAATTTGCATGGTTTAAAAATACATTGATTTAAACCCATAATTCAACTTTCTATTGGTTTTAACCTTAATGATAAAAATTTCAAAAAAAAAAATTAATGATAAAAAATTAGAACTTCAATACCTTTTTTTTGTTTCTAATAAACTTCAAAGTGCTTGATTAATATAATAAAAAAAAGTAAAACATGTAACAATTTCTTAATCCTAAAATTAAATTAAAAAATTCCTATAAAAATAAACTCATCATAAAATTATAAATTTATCTCAAATTGTATATTTATTTGATGTCAAGTTTTTTTTTTTTTTATATGTATCCATATGTAAATATACAGATATTTTTAGCACAAAAAAATCAAATTTTCTTTTGTTTTCAATTTATATATCCATATTTAAATTACAAGAAGGAAAGTTGAAGGGACTGAAGTCGAAATATATTAACTGTATGGGTGCAAAATGCAATTACAAATATCTGAATTCAATTACCCAAAAAGAAAAGCAACATTTTTTTTTTTTTAATTTTGAAATTCTTATACCCATTTTGGCTGATCGAATAGTAAAAATTTTTTGATTGATTTCACGAACTGAAGCAGTAGTACTGCTAAATCACAGTCCCAAGGATCAAAGATTTCAAAAAATACAAATCAATGGCTACCAATGATGGAGCGGGTGAAGAGCAATTGGAGAAGATGGCGGAATTGAGCAAAACCCTAAAAGAAGGAGAAAGAATTCTAGCACCCACCCGAAGACCCGATGGCACCCTACGTAAACCCATTCGGATTCGGGCTGGGTATGTTCCTCAAGAGGAAGTCGCCATTTACCAGTCCAGAGGTGCCCTGGTATGTCACATGCCCATGATTGTAATTTATTCATTTCTGTGGTTGTAATTTTCATCTTTTGGCTTGTTTTAGTGATAAGAATGTTGAGAACAGGATAGGGATGTCATCAAGTTCGTATTTTTTTGATGTGTATGCCATGCATGTGTTTATGTATGGGGATAGATGGATGGATGGATGATGTATGTTTCAGTGTTTATATTTGGTGCTTTTAGACGTGGGAATTTTTTGCTATAGCTTTATGGTTGAGTTTTGGAGCTAAAAATTTCATGTTAAGTAACTTAATTGTTAATAGTGTTTTGTTGAATGAGTAGAAAGTTGCCTACATACATTAGTATTTTGACTGTACCATCCCATTCAGCTAAAGTTCAGTAGAGAGTAGAGACTTTGTCCTTTGGGGTTATTGGATTCAAAGTTCTGTTTCATGGCAATATCTCCTGAAAAATGTTATTTTTTTTTTCCAAAGGAAAAAGATAAAGAAGAACTAGAAGAGTGGCATTGATCTTTGTTTTAATCTGTGGTACAGTGGAAAAAGGAGATGGCGTCCCAAGTAGTACCTCCAGGTTATGATCCACCTGCAGATGCAAAACCCAAGACTAAGTCAGCAAAGAGAAATGAAAGAAAGAAGGAGAAACGGCTACAGGTATAAAGCTTCTTGTTGTGATCTTGCATGAATTTCCACTTATTGGTTTCTGCAATTTTGGCTTATTTCATTTTAATGCTTGCTTCATTAAACTATCTCATAAGAGAAATGATTTCATTTCTTTTCCTTTCCATGAAACTTCAGTTGGCAAGTATTTGGATGTACATGTTAGCCTTATGGTTTTATCACAAAATTTTCTGTCTTCTTTGTTACTTTCTCCTATGCTTGAGCAATGGCCCATTTCAAGCCTCCGAGCAGATGGTCATTTTCTTGTCTTGCTTGGTTCTTGCACCATAGCAAAGGGACAATATAATATAGTTTGTTTTGTCTTCAGTCAATGCCTTTTCTCTTCAGTAAATGATCAAAAAGTCCATGGAAACATCTTTAGTGGTTATGAAAAGCAAGCTGTAGTAAATGTGTTTTCTGTGGTTCTATGATGGCAATGGCATATATGGTCTGCCAACAGCTTTTCAGCTTTTGAGGTTTCTTGCAAACAATGGACTCTTTACTTCTTTGTCTCTATTTCACCTTTTCTCTTTGTTACTTTAAAAAAAAGGCATGAAAAACTTGTTATTTATACTGTGTTGCAGATTTTCACTTGCATTGTTGCTACGTAGCTATGCTAAAACATTGTTGCTGCCAGCTATGAAATTATAGAAAAGCATACCTACTGCATTTGGCAGTTAATAGAATAAACTGATTGGCTTTGGATATGAGCTTAATGTCTTTATGAATGTAGTGAGATACAAATATCTAGCCTTGCCATTGTTCTAGACATTAGGTAACAAGGTTCTGTATATTAACGCTTAGCATTTGATTTACTTATGGCAGGCTGCTCTTGAAAAGGGTAAGAACTTGGAAGCAATGGCGGATGATGAGATTAAAAAAGAGGATGTACCTGAGGAAGATTTAGATGATGGATCAGAATCTGTTAAATCATTGACATCTCAGATGACTGATCTTGCTGTTTCTCAAAATCCTGTTCCAACCTCTCCTCCCTCAAACTCAGTGGAGGCCTCAAATGCTGGGGCACCAGTTCAAGATCTCGATAAAAAAATTCGGGCAATTAAAAAGAAGGTGCGGTTCATTACACTTTTGTATTAACATGTAAAAAACAGTGTTTATAATTTGTCCAGCATTTTATTACAGCTTTAAAAACTCTTGAAGAAAGAAAAATCTGCTTTGTCATCTCTATATTAAAGGCTTTATCTAAAATTAAACTCATCCTTTATGCTCGAGAGGCAGAAGACTTGTCACTATCAAATGTGATCATTATGTAATCATCTGTGATGGGAGGAGAGCAAATTGAAAATTGCTTTTTAAAGTTTAAAATAAATAAAGAGAACTGAAAAAGGGAAAAGATAGATTATATTTCCACTTATTCAAATTAATAAAATGTTTCTGTTTACTAAATTGACCTCATATGCATTTCCATTTGCATGTGCATCTTTGTGCATTTGGTTGGTATAACCATATGCTCTCAACACCTTTACCTCTGCATATAGTGCAGACTGCCGAGTTTGAAAAAGTTCTAAAAATAAATGTAAAAATATGCTCCCCGAACTCATCCACACTGTTAAGAAAATTGTATGCTACTTTATCATTGTCAAATGCATGCTTAATATTCTTCCTGTTGTGCATAGCTTATGCCCCTTTTTTGGTCTGTGAGTGTAATGAAAGTCACTGCTGACAATTGACTTCTGGGTGCACATCACTCTCACTTTGTTCTCTTGCTTTGGGTCCCTATATTCCAATTAATCTTTTGACTCCTGCTTTTTCTTTCTTTCCTCTTTGAGTCAGTTGCTTTCCCAGAAGCGGCTTTAAATAAGATTCTGGTTTTGTGTACGGATGCATCGGTGTTTGCATGCATGTCCTAAGAGAGTTTGTGCACAGCAAATATATACAATGATTAGTTTGATATATACTTCCAACTTTTCTTGCACATACATTAGTTTGATTTCTTTAAAAGACATCAAGGTTATGACTGAATATTCAAGTGCAACAATTTTCATTGTTATAATGCATTGTTTATACAAGTTTCAACTTCAAGTTATTGCTAAACATGTTTGAGGACTTTCAGTGGCTTCAGCATGGATTTTCTTATTTATTTCAGTGCTGGCACACGACTAGTTAATTGTTTACATTGGTGTCCTTCCTATTACTTGGACGGTGGCATGTTGCTTTATGCTTTTTCAGAGAAAACTTGTTTAAAATCTGACATGCTTTCAGTACCTAAAGCATCAAGCATGTATAAGTTTCAGTGTTATGTTTTTTATTTACCTGCCGATTGTTTTTCACATGTAGATTCGGCTAGCAGAAACCCAACAGCAGAAAACTCCACAGCAAGAGATGAAGCCAGAACAGTTGGAAAAGTTGGCAAAAGTGGAAGGTTGGCGTGAGGAGCTAAAGCTTTTGGAGGATAAAAACGCTGAATTGGCAGCATCGTGAGTTTGGGCTGCCGTGTCTGTGAAAAATTGTGTAATTCATTTACCGTTTGATGGGATGCAAAAACTGCATTATGGAATAGAGGTCAATCTATCGAGATTTTGTTCTAAAAGTGGCATGTGAATTTGCATTGATGCATATGACCATGCAGTTTAATTAGTACTCTTGTTCCCCCGCCTTTGCGCATGGATGATTTGATACTGATACGATTGCCAATTTAGCTTTAGTAGGTTTACTAGCATAATTTTCCTAGCATTCCATTATACCTCCAATGGTGGAAAACATTCATCTGAAATTTTGGTTAGCTGTGATTCAAACACCAAATGACATTTATTAATGACCCTTTTCACCATTTCCCTGTGCAATGATAATAGGTTTTAGATACCAAGTCCAGGAAACAGATAGAGAGTTATGGGAGTGATTACTGTGAGGGATCTTTTATCCACATTTCTGAATACTCTGCAAAATCAGGGGCTCTTTCATGGTTGTAAAAGCAACATGGTAGCAGTCCGAGAGTGATATTCCACAATCTCACCTTCACGACCCCTGTTAGTGAGCAGCAAGTAATGTTACTCGTAATCTGATTTGCACATCATCTGCAATGGGCAAGAGGGAAAGGTGAAAAGATAATGCAGCCTTCTGCTGCCAAATTCTTTAGCATAAATCACCTATTGGACAAGACAATATTTTCCATCCTAACCAATGCATATATATTGTAGCATAATAATTCCCAGTGCATGCAATTTTAAATATCCTGCAACTCAGATGTAGATTTAATACTACAACAGAAGATTTTACAGAGAAAAGCACTTGATGCAATTATATGAAAAGAAAAAAAAAAAGATCAAAATCTATCGCAAAAGATTGCAGGATAAAACCAGTCAATGAATAACACGGACTTAACTAGCCAGACTTCTAGACAAAACTGAGAAACCACCTATAGGGCTACACAGCTGCTGCTGCTGCATTACTTTGTTATAGCACATATTGTCCTCCATAACAACCAAGGTGGATATCAAAGACCTCTAATTCGAATGACCCTTTTTATCGATCTGAAATCATAATCTACACAGATTCAACATCTGATTCATCTAGTGCTTCTCTATAAAGTTCGAAGTCCTCAGGGCTCCATCTGCAGATCAAGTGTAGTCGGAAAGTAGCCATTTTGATCCCCAGCAAGCGCTGCAAATAAATAAAATGTCGTCAATATTTTGAGTTCCAATAGACAGATACCAGGAGGCCATAAACATATTACAGACATGATGCATCAAGTGATTGCAACTAACAATAATGACTGACACTATTATTATTTAGCCAATATTCCCTTACTGACATCATATAATAAATAGGAAAATGCAGTATAAAACACGAACACACCAGTATCCGAGCTGACTCAGGTGACAAAGGCTTTCCCTCCTCGCAGACAACAAAGTCTGAAACAAGTTCTACAACACCTGTACACCATAAATAAAGTTAATATGTAAATTCAAATTTTAGTATATGCTATAAATATGTAGTGCAGAAAACAGAAGAAACGAATAATTGACCTTTGTTCAACCGAACAGGCATGCCTTGCTTGCGCAAAAAGGGCTCCATCTCATGCGTGAGCTGATCCAAAGGACCTTCTAAAAGTTCCACCTGGAAATGATAGATCGCACATGCACATCCAAACATTAATAATCAAGGATCATAAGCTTTGCAGCAAGATAAAAAGATATAATGTAGAATCATAGTAGCTTGTTTTTCTCAACCTTTTCAGTTGCAATGCTTCCTGTCCTTGCAAAGTCGGTTTCTTCAAATTTATTAAACAAGCTGCAAAACAATAAACCAAAAACATAAACAGGCAAATCTAAACTTGAATCGTAACAATCTAAACAGTTGTAATGCAAATCTAAGATATCAGACATAAATACCTCTCCACTTCTTCTCTTGCCATGTTGGTAAGAAACAGTCCAGTATCCCCACGCAGAAGCTATGATGCAATTCAATAACAAAGAAAAAATAGCATAAACCATAAACACCAACAAAGAAACAACTTATTCACGGCATACAGGACAATGCAATACCTTGGAAACTTTGTAAAGACCTGGTTTAATCTCATCAGAAGCAGAACGACCTAGAGCAACTTGCATCACTTTATTTGAACCAAGGAAGAATCTGAAGCAAAAACCCAAACAAAATCAATGAAAACAAAAGCAGAAAAGTAAATGGACACCTCAAATTTAAGTTTTTTTTTTTGTTTCACCTGCTGGTGGGTTTGAGCTGCTCTCTGAACTCCTTGAATTTAAGATTCCTCATGTTTTCAAAAGAGAAAACATAGATAGAATTGTAATTCTCCGTAGCTTCCCTTATAGCATTCACTATTGATTCTTTATGTTCCCTTCCCTTCTTCTTTGTCTTCGATAATGAAACTGCAGATATCATCAAATTCAATCCTTTTGATAACTTTATAACCCCACAAAAAATTAAACTTCTTATGATGAAATATTAATACAAAAATAAAAGAAATGAAGGCAAACCTATTTTGTTACGCTTGGACTTTGGCATCTTCGTTAATTAAGGTTGTCTGGACAAGATAGGTGACAGCTTTGTTCTGTCTTCTGCAACTCAAACGGACCCTTTCTATGTTTCTCTTCCTGGTCTGATTTTTTTAGGGTTTTGAGCTTATATGCGGCGCGGCGATCTTCGTCTTGCAGGTCTGGTGGAGGAGTTCGGGTTCTATGGTTATTGGTCTTTTCAGCTCAGCCCAAAACATTGTTTTCTCTTGGGTTTTTCATTGATGTCCAAACTTCGATCTCTTTCAGACCCAACCCATTCCAACATTTCCATGGTGAAAACAAAAAGTATTCGTGGATCAAGCAGCCCGTCGAGGGTCACAAGCCTGCCCAATAATTAGGCGAGGGCAGGCAGGCGTTGTTGTCTCTTTTCAATATAAACATACCGGATTTAATTTGAAAATTTGAAAATATTATAAAATATTATAAATTATTAAAATTTGATATAAATGCGAATCAATTTTTATATTATTTAATTTGAATCAAATTAAATTTTATTATTTTGATTTATCGATTTTGAAATTTTATTTTTTTATTTTTATATATTATTTAAAATAAAAATTTAAAATATTTAAATAACTTTTAATACAAAATTATTATTTTTATTTTATAAAAATTTAAAATATATGTAAAATTTAATAAAATTTATAATTTAATTAGGTTCAATTTTTTTTATTTTATCTTTGATTTAAAATTTAATTAAAACTTTATACATATATTTAATATTTAAATTTTATTCAAATCAAATCAAATTAAATATTATAATTTTGAATTTTTTTTATTTTTTTCCTCTTACATTTATTTTCAATTTTCTGTGATTGGCTGTGAAGTTAGGCAACGTGGTAATTGGAAGTAGAGGCAACCAAGACGGACAGCGCAGCATAAAGCCGCCCTTTACTTAACCGTCATAGGCACGTGAGCCGTTCAACCTTTTTATGACACAGCGTGAATCGCCATCGGAGCTGGCGTCATCTAAACGCGACTCTTTGAGCCCGTAAAATCGGTCCGTCTTTTAACAACCGCTCTTAAATGCACGTGACATCCTCTTCTATTATCCCACAATTTCCCGGAGCGTGCCTTTATATCACCTGAAAGGGCGTCTCCTTGGTTTCCAAGCACTTCTTATTTTAAATAGGAGCGTGATTCCACTTCCTTTTTCACGACGCGTGAAATTTCCATTTATCGACCATTCCAGTCCCCCAAGAAAACACCCATTAAGCGGATTTATTTCTACGCAACTCTTGCTCTTCGCGCCTATCACTCCCTGTCTTTTCAATACCTCGATTTCGTCGCCAATTCTCCCAATTTCGTCGCCAAACAAAACCCTCGATTTCTATCGTTCTCCCCCCAGTTTTATCCTTTTCTCCTTCATCTCAAATACTTGCTCTTCGTTTCCCCAATATTTCCCTGGTACGTCTGTCGTGTCGTGTTAACTTTTCTTTTCCCCGTCGAAGTTCCGTGAACTTTTGATTTTCTTCACAAGAGAAGAAAATAATATCGGAAATTTCATTTTTTTATTACTTCTAAGCTTGGAAGAGGCTTTTTCTTTTTCAATTTTTTTATAATGGAATTATTTTAGTCTTAAATACTTCCAAATCCCTGCTTGTTTCCCCTTTTATTTTAAAAATTAAATATTGAATTCGATAATTGTAGATCTTAGATGGATGAAGCCTAGAGTCCCATGTGGGTAAAGTCGTAGGTTCATGTTCTTTGATTATTTAATTAGTGTATTATTACGTGAATCTATTGCTAAAGCACGTCGTTTTGATTCTTTAAATCTATTATATAAATAAATCTGTTAACTTTGGATGTTTTGTTATCAGATGAGACTTGGTATCTCTGACTGACCCGTTCTATCGATCTAGATTTCCACAAATTTTTCAGACAGGTGAGGTTTTTTCAAGTTCATCCTTTTAAATTATGAATTGTCCCGTCATATCTGGGTTACCCATTGGTTGGTATTGTTCTTTTGAGATGTTCAATCTCAAGGATGATCTATTTCACTTGTATAATGGAATATGGATGATGAAACATGAATATGAATTGTACCAAAGGTTATCTTCTTGATGATGTTTTTGAGTGTGGTTATATGTTGGCTATGGTAGATGAACTAATTCACTTGTATAATGAAACATGGACGTGGATTTTATCAAGGATAATAGTACATGACTGGATTTTTGATGTGTTTATGGTTCATGAAGCTAAAATTTTTGTATTATTATATTGTTTTTTTTATGTATGTTAACTTGAATTTTCATGTCATTGGTGGATTGCTGACTAGCAATTTCGTTTTGATGGTATGGTGAGGACAGAGAGGTTTTGCTTGCTGGTGTTATGGTTTGGAAATGGGGATTTACTCCCCTTCCTGCCCCCTTCTGGATTTCCATTCTTAAATGCTAGAAATTGTATGTCTGTTTTATTGTGTCTCAATGAAGAGAAGTTCACAAACATTTCAATATTAGAAATGGGCATATCGTGTAATAGAGAAAAGGATAAGGCCATAATATAGCCAAAGATTTTGATAGATTTGGTCATAATCTGCTTTTAAACGGTATTGTGAGATTAGAAGGGGAGTTATTGTTTTATCTTCTGTGAGTCATTTAGAATAAAGTTCTTAGTAGTAACAGCTGTTTAATATTTTAGGTCTTCTGTTAATTATTACTTTCTGTGATCAATTTAGCGGCCTAAACAGTTAGTTGCAAGTAAGGCAGCTTTTTGATTTTGAACAAGATTGCTTACCAGCTTTGATGTTTCTTTAGATAGACTGTTTTATTGAGTTTGGACATGTGGAAGCCTTCTTTTATGCTTATTCCCCGTTTAGTTTTGGTAGAGATGGTGTGTTTGAGGGGAACAGAGCAAAGAAGAGAGAGAAGAAGAAAGAAATGTGCATCTCTATGTGTGAGAGACCACCTGCGTCTTCCTCAATAGTTGGAGTATCTCATTGTTCTTTAAAGAATTGCATGTATTTGTTTCAGATCTTGGACGGTTAGACTAGTTTTTAACAGTTTAGATTTGAAATTAGAACATTGCTGCTAGTCAATTTATAAGAGATGGGCCTTACCAGGAATATCTATGATCTCTTCAGAACTCCTTGGATATCCTTCTTAGATAAAATCTAGGATGCAAAAATAAAATTACTGAAGTATAGATAAACGGGGTTACTTTCTTTAGTCATGAAAACTATGGTTTAGATATTATTGTTTATAGGCCTAAAGTTACCATTAGCTTTAGAAATTTGAGAATAACACTGAGACTTGATCTGTTTTTACCATTGTATGTTGGACTTGAGATGTTTTTCTACCGTCTTAAGATTTTCTGATTTTGCAAAATTTTTTCAAGGTGTAGTTAGCAAATGGCGAAAGGTAGCAGAGGACGACGTAGAATTGCTTTCCGGCAATTTAGGCCAACCCCATACTCATTGACCTCTTGTCATCAAGGTATCTCTGGGGATTTGTACCCCACAAAATGTTCCAAAGCTTTGGATAAGAAAGATTGGGAAGATGTAACATGTTCTGTTTGCATGGAGTGCCCTCACAATGCTGTTCTTCTTCTCTGTTCATCTCATGACAAGGGCTGCCGTCCCTACATGTGTGGAACTAGCTTCCGATACTCGAACTGCCTTGACCAGTACAAGAAGTTCTACTCTAAAGTAGTCTCATCCAATCAAGAACCCTTGCATGGTTCCATTGATAATCCAGTTTTGGCGCCAGGCTCCAGTTGGCCTGTTGAGAAGTGTGATGCTACAGAACTTTCATGTCCACTTTGCAGGGGTCAGGTGAAAGGATGGACTGTAGTGGAACCTGCAAGGGAATATTTAAATGCTAAAAAGAGAAGCTGCATGCAGGATGACTGTACCTTTGTTGGGACTTTTAAAGAGCTAAGGAAACACATGAGAGCAGATCATCCATGTGCTCAGCCACGTGAAGTGGATCCTACTCTTGAACAGAAATGGAGAAGGCTTGAACGGGATCGGGAGCGGGAGGATGTGATAAGCACAATAAGGTCGACAATGCCAGGGGCAATGGTTTTTGGTGATTATGTAATCGAAGGAAATCATCATGGTTTTGAGACAGATGAAGAGGATGGTCTCAATGCAGATACTACAGAAAGGAATGGAGGTTTTGAAGTAGGCTTAGATGGTAATTTTGTGAACTTCTTTCTTCTGCTGCATGCATTTGGGCCATCAGGGACTGGTAGACGACCAAGGCAGCCTATGCATTCAGCAGATGAGAATGCTGTTGGTGTTCAGCACCCCTCTCCTGTTAGTTTATCTGATCAAGATGATGACAACTTTAGTAATGATGATGATAACGACGGTGGTAATATTGCTTTGGTTAGCCACCTGCGCCGGCATGGCAGAATTCTTTTGGGACGTTCAGGCAGAAGACGAAGGCGAAGGGAAGCCATTGGAGGTTAAATATAAGATCTAAGTGTTACCTACAAAGGAGGGAAAACGGGAAGGTTACATATCTCCACAGTGTTAGGCAAAAATTAGTTTAAACACATAAAAGATTTAGACTTATGAATTTGCACTGATTTACTTCTCATTCATTTTAGGGGTCATATCATGAGGTCGGATGGGAAAGTGATTTGGTGGAAAAGATGGTTGTTTTCCTTTGTTGTTGTGTAATTATTTGGATGTTTCCATAATTCCTTTTCCTTTCCTTCTGTTATTTGAATTCTTCCCCTCTGTAAACATGTATGTTCTTCAGTTAATTTCAGTTAAAATGAAAAGAAGAAATTGGTCTGTTCCTTGTCGTATTTGTTACCTATTTGGCACCAAATTTAAAATTTGGAGAAATAAGATTAAATTAATGGCAAATTTTTTAAATTAGAAAATCATTTTTCTAAACCAAATTATTTTTTATTCCATTTCCCCCTTCGTTTGGAAATATTGAGTTTTCACTTTCTCGGGTACGAGAAAGTTCTAGTTTGATAATTTGTATGTAAAATATTTATAATTCGTGTATTATAAATATATTTTACATGAAAATTATACGTTATATTAATATAAAAATGTAAATTTATCTAATTCATATAATTTTTATTAAAATTTTAAATTGTGATAATGTCACTTTTTTTTTTAATTATTTTGTGTTGTATTATGGTATAGTATTTTATATTATTAGATAGGGTTTTAGAAAATCTTTTCATTTTTCATTTTCTTTTCCACCAAACAAAATTAAAATTTAATTGAAAATATTTCTTTCTTTTCTTTCCCGATACCAATCTTCCCAAGGAAGTTTCGCGGCCGATGGCCCTTTAGAATACACCAAATCCGCGCATTATAATGATTTTGAAGTCAACCCGGCCCGACCCGACATAAAATTCAAATGCCGTGATGGTGTCAACGTTATTTTTTTTTTCTGTTTTTCATTTTCTTCTCCTGTTTCAGCGAATCAGCAAACTGGAAATTAAAAAAAAAAAAGAAAGCACACAAATATTGCACTTCTTATATTATTCTTTGTTTGTCTTGTATAACAGAAAAACTTGCTTCCCTTCTTCTGCACGGCGCATTTCTAAAGCGTTTTCCTCTCTCTCTCTCTCACTCTCGTTCTCTCCAGAAGTTCACACCGAAAGACTAAGTCGTTTCAGAAATTTCCTTAACGCCAAAAAAACAGAAAGACAGCCGTTTATTTGTCTACTAGTTTCTTCCTTCTGGTTTCTGATAGTTTTTGATTCACTGCGCCGCACACTACGTGAGATTTGAGGACGCCGAAGCGTCAAGAGTCGTGCGATTGAGGTTTTCTTGGTGATTTTGACGGTTAACGATTGAAAATTCTTATCATAATCTGAGAATTTGTTTCGTTTTACTCTGTTACAGTACTGTTGATAGTAGAAAAAGAGGAACCTAGGTTTTTGAGAAGGTTTGTTGAAGGGATGGTATAAGAAAATTTAGATTTCGGTTTTTCTGGTTATTTACCATAATTGGTCTGGGATCTTCTTTGATAGTTGTCCCGTTTTGTTCTTTCTTGCTGAAGGGGTTGAACTATCATTTCAGATATGAGGGTCTTGGTCTTCCTAGTTTGTTCTTGAATTTTGAACAACCCTAGAAGCAGCCCTTTTATTGAAATGTAAAGAAAAACAAACAGCAATACCACAAGTCCTTTTAATTGCAAAAGGCGCTTATTTACGTAATTGGCCTTTTTTAGATGAATTTTTGGAAGCTCTTCAGGTAGATTTTATTAGTCAGCGATACCATAATTCAAGTTTCTTTGAATTGATTGATTAATTGGTTGATTTTTTACTGAAGTTTGGTGACAAGTATATATTGTATAAAAGGAACAGAAAGCAAAACCCTAACTACAGTGTACAGAAAAGTTTTTGAAGAATTTTGGAATTGGGAAATTTTGGATTATAGGAGCGAGCTACTTTGAGGTTTCATGTTAAGTAAGCTATTTGATAAGTGATAATGAATTTAAGGAACAGAACAAATTTTGGGAATATTGAGAAGTCTATAACTGGAAAAAGAAAAACAAAGTTGGGAGATTCTGTCTTTCTTTATGATCATGTTTAGCGAGAGTTATGGAAAGAAGTGAGCCTTCATTGATACCAGGATGGTTGAAGAGTGGTGGAAGTATTGCGGGAAGTGGCAATTCAAATCACCTTTTGACTTCATCTTCACACTCAGGTAATTCAGTTTATATCTTCGTGTGGGTTATTTCTGTCTTGCATTTCGTCCTTGTCAATCTGTGTCAGTTGGTATCTTCTGGAGGGATTTAATAATAGCATTTGAAGGATGCATATAGTGCAAAAAGTGTTACATTATATGCCTCATTTTCCAAAATGCATATAGTATCTTCATTTTACTGGGTAAAAGAGAACAATATCATAGAACTTTGTAAGACTTTTTTTTTTTTTTCTAATTTATTGTTAGAGGTATGTCTCTAGATCTAATTTTTCAATCTATTTGCCTGCAACTAATTTTCCTAGTTTCTGATAGCTGTTTTGACAGTTTACAAATTTTGAAATTTATCACTCATTAAGCAAATTGAATGTAAGTGCCTATATTCTAATCTTTTTTTTTTTAATTTTTGTTTTAGACAATCATTCTGCATCGAGGCACGGAAATAAGTTGTCTGTTGGCAGTGATCATGATATAAGTCGGACACCTGTTTTAGATAGGACCACTTCTGCTTATTTTAGAAGGAGTTCTAGTAGCAACAGTTCTACCCACTCACGGTCTTATAGCAATTTTGCCAAAGGCCACCGAGAAAGGGATTGGAAAAAAGATATTAATGGTTACCATGATAGGGAGAAGGCTGTTCTCAGTGACCATAGGAACCGAAACTGTTCCAATTCTCTGGATAGCTTGCTGCCAAGCATGTTTGAGAAGGATATCTTACGGCATTCACAGTCTATGATAACTGGCAAGTGCAGTGACACATGGCCTAGGAAAGCGACAAATGATTCAAGTGCCAACAACAAAAGCAATCACAGCAATGGTAATGGTTTGCTTAGCGAACTTAGCCCTGATATTGGTAATAAGTCTGCATTTGAACGTGATTTTCCTGTGCTTGGTGCTGAGGAAAGACAAGTTGGGTCAGAAATAGGAAGGGTTTCATCTCCTGGCTTGGGTACTGCTGTGCAGAGCTTGCCAGTGGGTACCTCAGCTGTTACTGGCAGTGATGGCTGGACATCAGCTCTAGCAGACATGCCATTGGGTTTTGGAAGCAGTGGCACTGGTGTTGCAGTTGCTTCACAAAATGTTTCTGCAGGTTCAGCTTCTATCACACCAACTACAATGATAGGCCTTAATATGGCTGAAACATTGGCCCAGGGGCCTTCTCGTGCTCGTACACCTCCCTTGGTAACGTAAAAAATTCTTCCTTTCTTAAACTGTATTTGTTAGAAACTATGTGAATGCTGATATTATCCATTGTGTTTCTTGATGTAGTTAAATGTTGGAACTCAAAGGCTAGAGGAGTTGGCTATCAAACAGTCAAGACAACTAATTCCCCTGGTGACAACATCAACACCTAAAACTCTGGTGAGCTGTTGTTCGGCTTCTCTATGAATATGTTTTTCTTGTTAAGATGCTATTTTCATTTTGGGGGTATATGCTGTTCTTATACTTTATATTTTGGGGAATATTGTTTGTTTTCTTGAAGTTTTCATTTAGATCCACATGGTATGTTTACATTTTTAGGTTAGTAGGCCATATAATTGCAGGCTAAGTGTTATATACTGGTTAATGATTGTTCAGCTATGAAGTCCTAAGGTTAGCAAAATGTATCTTTGTTGTTTTTTAGGTTAGCAAGTTTTTTGGTACTTCAGTTTCAGAGCTTAAATTTTGAATTGAGCATGTTATATGATTCTCCATTCTTCTTTTTTTTTTGGTGTGTGTTTGTGTGTGTGTAGGCATTAACAGGTAAAAAGTATATGATGTTTAGAAGACATGCAATGCTAATACTAGTTCCCTTCGCCATTGAGTCTTGCCTTTACTTGAAATCTATAATCAATATATGTTTTACCCTGCCCATATATGCCTATATATGTATATAAAGACTTATGTCTGATACAGTAACTTAAATACATACACATGAACATGCATCTATCGGCTCTACATGTTTTGATTTTGTTGAGTGTCTGTGCCCATACCATCTATTAACAAATCATGATTTAGCAAGTATATCTGGTGAATGGAATGTTTGTATCTTTCTGTCTCTGTCTCGTCTTGTCTTATCTGAAGTCTTAAGAATTTGGGAAGCAAAGGTTACAATTCTTGTTACTTAACACATTGAGCATTGTTCTGGCGTTTTAGTTCAGGTTGTATAGAATTTCTTAAGTATGATTTTTTTTATGAAATTCTTAAATGTGATCTTAGGTGCAAATCTCACTAAGAGAGATTCCCTACTGGCATTACATATCTCTTTTCATTACTAGATCATTTGAGAATGTTTTGTTTTGCTTTGAAGTGTCAGCGCTGTCAAGTTTCTAATGCAACTAGGAGAAATGTGTGCTCTGGAAGTACTTTCTTGTCTATCTATGCATAAAAGTGTGACTGCAAAAGTGTTAAAAGTAATTGACCTAAATAACCCTATCAATATTTTATTAAATTAAAAAATTATCACTTCAGTGGTTATCACTTCTTGTTGTGGCATGCTTGTGGCAGCAGAGGTGGCATGGCTTCAAGCATTATATTGTAAATTTATTTATTACTGATTAGAGATTGGGTGGCTAGAAAGGGGATGAGGAAAAAAAAAAGAAGAAATTTGGTTGATACTGTTTGTTTATCCCTTTTGTTTCCCTACAGCTCTATGATATTAAGGTTAGCTTACCTTTTTGCCATCATAGTTAGAATCACTGGTGACTGGGCTTATCATGTAATTCCTAAGTTGATCGAAATTGATGGCTAATGGATAGAGATCTTATTCTAGTTTCCTTTATAAAACTAGATTATGAAATCAAACCTGATTTCATGCACTGCTCAAAATTTTTGCATATTGGATTTGTACTTTGATCAGATTTTTAAGGTCACTTTTTCTTTTGCTTCTTGTTTTTGCCTATAGGTGGTCAGTCCTTCAGAGAAACCAAAACCTAAAGCTGGGCTGCAGCTGCAACCCTCACTCTCTCTTAATTACACGCGTGGTGGAACATCAAGATCTGACAGTCTAAAAGTTTCTACTGAGAGCAGGCTTCAGATACTCAAACCATCACGAGAATCGACTGGGTTCTCTTTAACCAAAAAGGATAATTTGAGTCCTACTAATGGAAGCAAATTAGTGAATAGCCCACTAAGTGTTACTTCATCAGCTGCTGCATCAGCTCCCTTTATGAGCTCAGGCAACAGCCCCAGGTTTGCCACTGCTGATCGTAATCAGACTCTTTTCCAGATGACCACTGAGAAGAGACCAACAGCTCAAGCCCAGAGTAGGAATGATTTCTTCAAACTTCTAAAGAAGAAATCTACAACGAAATTCGCTTCCTCTATCCCTGATTCCGGCCCTGCTGTGTCAGCATCTGTCTCAGACAAGTCTGATGAACTTGGCACAGAAGATTCCGGCACTTCTGTTACTCCGAAGGATGGGGGAGTTCCACCATCAGAAATCTCAATTGCTGACTTGCCAACCGACAATAGGAGTGAAATAACCCACAATGGAGATGCTTATGCTGGGTCTCAGCATTGTTCCAGCAACAGAGACAGGCATTCAAACCCTGATGTGTTTCTTTATCCTGATGAGAAAGAGGCTGCATTTTTACGTTCCCTTGGTTGGGAAGAGAATGCTGGAGATGATGAAGGTCTTACAGAGGAGGAGATTAGTACCTTTTTCGAGGAGGTAACTACTTCTCCATAGTCTATCTTTTTTATGCAATTAGCTTCTGCTATTCCTTGCTTAATCATTGTGAAATATCTTGTAGTGCATCTACTAAAAGGTTGTTACACGTTTTATTGTGCAGTACATGAAACTGAAACCATCTGCAGAACTATCACAACGAATGCAGTCAATTGGTCTATTATACTCTCATAATGGGACTCATGGTGGTGCCTCATCTGGATTGAGCTTAATGGATTCCAATGGAGAAGCATTGACTCGTCAAAAATTTTAATTCACTCGGGAAAGTTCGAATGGATTGCTGATGTGGCTACTCTTTTTCCCCCTTTTGTTTCCTGTTTTTTAACATAGGATTTTCTGAGATATAGAGAAGAGGGTAGGATTTTCTGGTTTTCTTTATCATCTCTGGGTTTTTAACTTTGTGGCTGAGGGGCAAAACTCAACAAATAGCTTATGGTTAAAGAGGAAAGAAAAAATAATTCTGTATGCTTGTTGGGAATCCTTTCTTTTTCTTGGTTTTGACTTAAGATTCCATGTCCATATTTAAGGGAATAAAACCGTTGTTCTTTCACAGAAAGGCAATCAGAGGATAGAAATTGTTTCAGTTGGGTATGATCATCAGTCATTTGTTCAATGTTTTGTTGCTTTGGTAATTTTGTCTAGTAAAAGAGTTTTCATAGCCAGCATGATGCACAGAAGTTGAACTTTGAGGATAATAATAATATTGTTATTATTGAAAAAAACAGTGTCTGGTCAACTTATAATGTGGAATTTTTTTGTTCGTCATTTATCACCACTTTCAAGAACTGATCGGTTCTCGATTACCTAAATTTGTAAAATAAATACATTAATTTGACATTAATATCATGAAATATATCTCTATCTATCTATAGAAGATGGACCAAATTGCTTAGCTATCGTTCTTTATCAAATGCAAATTTTATAAGAATAAAAAATGGTTAACACAAGGCAAAACCAGTAGTTTGGTTAACATTTCACTTTTATATGAAGAAGAAAATTCCTGAAGATCCAATCCAATTAAAGTCGTTCCCTTTGCAATTGGATGGTTGGCATACATATATATCCGCCAACCTAACAAGTCAAAGTTTCAAATAAATACACTGATTTTATTTTAAATATATATATATATATATGATATATTGTTAGTTAAATTTTTTAATTTCATAAATACCTGTCTTATTTTTTTAATTAATTTTTTATTTTTAAAAAATATGTATTATCTTATTAATTTCACTTATAAAATTAAAATTTTTCAATATTAATATATTTTAAACAAAATTACATGAAATTTTTAGGTAAAATTTGTGAAATTCCTAAGATTTTTGAAAAAATTATTTAATAAAATTTTTAATAAAAAATTCTAATCAATAGATTAAAAATTTTAATATAAAGATTAGTGATATGTAAAAATATTATTTATAATTCAAATTTGATTGATACTTATTCAACAATAAAAATTTTATCAATATTTTTATTAAAAATATTTATATAAAAACATATATAAAAATTTATTAAATTTTAAAATTTAACAAGATCTTTTTAATGTATTAATTTTTAATGTATTAATTTAATTATTTTTAATAAAAAAATTCCACGAATTTCTAAAAAATTCGTCGTATAATTGATAATTTATTATTTTGAGTAAATTAAAAATTAAAATCACATCAAATCAAATCAGGGAGAAATTAAAAAAATAATTAAATTTAAAAAATATTTCCAAAGGCTGCAAACACAAGTCTTCCATCGACACTGGTCCCATGCATTCATCTCGACTCCACGAAATAGCAACATCTGATTTTTTTTTTTTTTAAAAAGTCATATCCTCCTCCCAAAGTTTATCATCATCATTCATCAACCATAGTAAACGCCAAATACGCGGAATTACTAAATTCTATTCAAATTAAAAAAGCCTTGACCTTGATCGGTTGGATAAATTAATTTCAGTGGGAATCTTCTGAAGCCTCATGCGTGGTATATTATAAAATTAAAAATAAAAAAAAAAGTTTTGCATGATAAATTAATTAAATTCAATATCCAATTATGGTTAATTTTAGGTCAATGGCTGAGACGAATTATATATATTTGGGGAGAGAATCCATCCTATTATAAATTATATTATTTGTATATTTCATGTATTATAGTTTAACGTGTCATATGTTATAATATTTCTTTCCTTTTCATGCATCATCCATCAGTTATACCTATACGATCAAGTTTACTTGTGAAATACGAGATTCCAATTTAATAATAAAATGGTATTTGAAAAGCTAGAAAACATCTTCCTAAATTGTCACCTTCTTTATATTAAAAAAATAATTTTATAAAAAAATTATTTGAGTTTTGAAAAAAATAAAAATAATAGAGCCTTCAATAAAAATAAATATATGATATAAATATATATATGATAGTCTTTGGTTCAGCTTAACTATTAATTATTCCCATTAAACTATGTTAGAAAGTTTAATTAAGAAAGGGAGAAAGAAAAAAAAAATTAAAATACAGATTAATATATTGTATTTTTTGAGTTGGGAGAATATGCATGGATTTTTAAAATAAAATTGGCTGCAAAACATGGATCAAGGAAAGGTATATCTGATCCCTAGGAGAAGGCTCTCTCTATTGATGTGGGATTTCGTAAGGGCTCACATTCCATTGGGGGGAGAAGATGATGTCAGTACCCATTCTTTTGTGCATTAAATTATTATAATTATATTCTTTCTTATTCAATAAGAAATACAAGTTGCAGCAGATTGATTATTTCTTCTACTGCACATTTTGGGTGCCCCTAATTTTACTTTTCAAAGTGAAACTTTGCTTCACTAATTATCCCAGAAAAAATTGCTGTTTTATATAGTATGGAAATTAAAAAAAAAAAAAAGAAGGGCATTAATTTGTTGTAAAATAGTGTCATATATATTTACACATTTTTTTTACAAAAAAATTATAATTTGAGTATAAAATTCATATTACAAGTTTAGAAATTTAAATTTTAAAACTTTTCAATGTCACATTTTAAAAATAATTTTATAAATTAATTGAATTAATTCTTTGATATATATTTACATTTAATTTCATTGAAAATTTTCTTAAAAAATGTGAGAAGAAAGTTATTGAAATCAAGATTTCTTAGATTACATCATGGTTTGATGTAGTAATGGCATTTCAAAAATTGTTGCATGAACATTTAGTAGTTGAGAATGGTCTAATTAACTATAATTATGTAAAGAAGTTGGGCATATTGTTTAATTAAATTAGGCTAAGTACTTCCAAAAGCTACATTTCTATTGATATCATAAGGTTGAAATTAAAGTGGTGATTTTTTTTTTTTTGGAAGATCAAAGCCCTAATCTAAAACATGTGTCATTTTTTTAGTTATTAAGAGCAATAAAAAAGCAACAAAATCCATTATTATATCTATAGAAAGATCAGTGACTAAGTGGGGCAGCTTGTCTTTCTATAAAGATGAAAAGGGTCCAAAACAATGAAACATATGGGGTGGTCAATTTGTGTATTGTATTATATAAAATATTTGATAATTCATGTAATCGTGTCATATTTTATATAAAATTTACGTTTTATAATTTATATAGATATAAAAATATGAAATATATATTTTTTATTTTGTTAAATTTATTTATGATTTTTATTAAAATTTTAAATTATATTCTTTTTATATTTTTTATTTATATTATTTTTATATCGTATTTAAAATTATTAAGTTTAATCATAATGCCAAGTCTATAATTTTATTTTTTATATTAAAAATTATCGAAATTTAAATTTTGGTCTTTAAATCAAATGAAATTGTCAATTTTTTTTCCTTATCATTTATTGTTGATAAGTCTGAAATAATTAAACATGGCATTTGATTATTTATAGTGTTTAATTAAATGAGGTTAATTAAGGAACCAATTAAAGTCAAAGCTTGGATGCGTCCCAGTGTATCTAAAATATGTACAGGAGACGAGGGAATTGACTTTGGTGTCTCAAAAGCAGCATTTTACAGAGAGAGAAAAAAGAGCAGACTGCAAAATTAATCAATCTTCAAAAAATAATAATAATGGGAAGAGATCGAGAAAGGGAAATGGAGATTGATCTGTCCCTGAAAATAAATGCTATAGAAGAAGAGAAAGAGGATATGGATGAAGCAAAGGATTGTAAGATGCAATCAGAGGGTGATAATCAAGAAGAGAAAGCTACAGATTTGCAAGAGGAGACAGCAATGGATGCCACAGGGGAAGTAGAAGATGGTGCACCATTGGAATTGTCCTTGCAAGGAAACGGCAAGACAGAAGACGTACTACTAAATCATTTTCTCTCTTTTCGTACGATTTTTATTTTTACATTTGTGTGTGCCCGTGTACGCGCATACCTTAAAAAACACTTAGAAAATATTGTATATGTGAAACTTATGCATGTTAGTGTAACCTTTGCCTGCTTATTATGATAATTTAGCTAATAAAGTCTTGATTTTATGTTGCTAGTTGTCTGTCCTACAAATGGAGATGAATCGCATGAAAGAAGAGAATCAAGTGTTAAGGAAAGTGGTGGAGAAAACCCTGAAGGATTACTATGATCTTCAAATGAAGTTTGCTGTTCTTCAGCAAAACAACAAAAAGAAGGTAGTAATAAATATGAATTCTTTTTCATTTTATTTAAATTTAGTTCCATTTTCAATTTTCACACACTATTAATCTTGAATTTGTGAATTTGTTTGATTTTAGGACCATCAAATCTTTCTCTCCCTCAATGGAAATGACAACTCAAGTCAAAAACAGCAGGCAATTCAAAGAAACTTAAATGACAATAGTCAGAAACATGGGTCGTCGCCATTACAAGATGATAATGATGAAGAGAATGAACTAGGGTTGTCATTAAGCCTAGAAATCGGTTCCATTCAACGAGAAATTAGAGAAGAAGATCATAAGGAAGAGCACAAAGAAGAAAGTCAAGAAACCCCAAATGTTGTATCAGTGCAAAACAAGCTTCAGCAAAGACACTTATCTGCAATCACTAGCCATGCTGTTTCCCCACTCAACAGGAAAACTAGGGTTTCTGTTAGAGCAAGATGTCAAACAGCAACGGTAAGTTGAATTAGCAAAATCAGTCTTCAACTTTCAATTTGCTCAACGCTTGGAAATCAGTTCCAAGTTAAATATTGGTTGCTTCCATGGCTGCAGATGGATGATGGGTGCCAATGGAGGAAATATGGTCAGAAAATTGCTAAAGGAAATCCTTGCCCACGAGCCTACTATCGTTGTACAGCAGCTCCAGGATGTCCAGTCAGGAAACAAGTACAATCTCGTAGGCCGTAGCCAATAATTAATTTTTCTTTCAATTTATACAGCTTATTTAATACTATTTATAGGATTTAAATTTGATCTCTTGTGATTTAGGTTCAAAGATGCCACGAGGACATGTCGATTCTGATTACAACTTATGAAGGAACTCACAATCATCCACTCCCCGTCGGTGCAACAGCCATGGCTTCAACAGCCTCAGCAGCAGCAGCTTCCTTTATGTTACTTGATTCAAGCAACCCTCTCTCAAATGGTATCCCAAACTTCAGTCAAGCCTCCCTCCCTAACCAAAACCCTCATCTGATCATAAACTCATCAGCTTCTCATCACCATCCATCAAACATTAGGAACATAAACCTTAGCGACCCTTCAAAAGGAATCGTTTTTGACCTCACAAACAACAATCATTTCGACCATCAACTGCCAACAGCTAGCTCTTCTTCCCACTATTCATCATCATCAGCCCATCGCCAAGTTTTTCCCTGGATGCCAAGCAGATTAAACTATCACAATGCTGCATTTGGCACCAGCTCCAGGACAAACGATCAGAGAGAATGGAAATCCGAAGAGAAGTCATTAGGTGAAAATATAACAGCCATTGCTTCAGATCCTAATAAATTTAGGGTTGCAGTTGCCGCTGCTATTACATCTCTAATAAAAAAAGAAACCCAAAAAACTCATCCTTTTCCCATTGGCTCTTCGTTGGTTGTTAGGCAGGGTGAGAGTGGGAGCCCACTCAGCATTCACCATAGAAGTTAGTAAAGATCACTATTTGAGCAATAATTTGTTTACACTTTGAAGACAGATCAAAGGGTATATACAAAGGTTATGTACTTTTATTTATCTTGTCTGGATTTTGGTTCTTCACTTCGCTAATAATTAAGACTCAACATCAATAGTGGCTTGATCTAATGTTAGAATATTAAATTTTAATTTTAATAATCAGAATTTAGAATTTGATAATTTTAAAAATAAAAAAATAGGACTTATATTGAAATATTTTCATTCTTTTTTTTTTACTGTAATTCATGTAATTTAAATATACGATCAATAAATATAATTATTCTGAAATTATATATGAACATCAACAATAATGATTTTTTTTTTGAAACAACAATAATAATTATTGATCTAAATCTCTTTGAAATCGATTATTCAAAAAAATTTCCCGTTATAAAATTTTACTTTTTTCATATGTAAGTGACATTTATATCAAGTATGAACTATATATGCAGTGATTATAATTACCAAAAAAACTAATTATATGCAAGAAAAAGAATTTTCCCTTTACTTTGAGCTCAATATAAAGATGAAAAAAAAAGAAATATTTTTGATAATTTTCAAAACATCAATTAATAATGTGTAGTCTATCAATAATTAATCATTAACTCATTGATTTTAAACATCAAAATATGTTCTAAATATTTCTATTTACGTTAAAATTTGAAGCATAGTTGAATTAAAGGCATGTATAGACACTGAAATATATGGCTATTAGTCTATTACTGAGAAAGAGATACACATGAAGCTCTACAATTGATCATGGTGACAAAGAAACTTGATTGAACCCATAATTTAAGATATTATATATTAATTATAATTTTTTTCTTTAAATATTATCTTATCACTTAACAATTAACAACTTAATATTTATCTTTTATATGTGTATAAAAAAATTTATCATTTTTTTCCAAAAAAAAAACAAAATAATGGGCTGTGATTTGGATGGGTTGGGATTTTATGGGCTTTAATTGGGCTTTGTCTTTTTTTTTTTCTTACAAAACCTCTCTTCCGAACAGAAGCCTCAACAGTCGAAGTGTCGAACTTTGCCATTAATGTACGCTAATGGGAAGTACCGCCGTTGAGAAGACAGCAGAGGAGCTCCACCGAGAGATCGATGAGCTCCATCGCCAACAACGGTAGGTTTCTCTTTCCTTCTCTTTCTTCATTTCTTTTGCATACGACTCTACGTATACGATTACGTATACTGTAAGATTCAGTTTTCTTTTCTTTTTTTTTTTTTTTGTTTTATACAGATTACGGAGAGGCTGAGGGATCCTCGAGGGCTCCGAAGGGGAGGATTTTCAGGCATTCGTCATCGTAACTTCGCCGCCAATGGTGCTCGTCATCGAAGCTTTCTTCGACCGGTATGCCATTATTTCTATGTAAATTAATTATCTTTTATTTTGCTTAGCTATGTTTCGGGTTTAGGGTTTAGGGTTTTTTCAATGGGTTAATTTTTGTTGGTTATAGGCGGATAGGACTGATGTAGAAGACCAACCTCCGGCTAAGAGGCGATTGTCGTCAGCTGTTGTCAAGGTAAACCTTTTCTTGCTGGATTTTCATTAATAGTAACTATTGAGTAAGAGTGGGACTGAGTTAATTAGCTTCTGAAACTTTCAATTGTGACTTTCTTGATTGGGAGTGAAGGTGGAAGATGGGGAGATTATTGATGATGCTGAAGTGGCAAAGGACGTTAGCGACACGGCTGTGGAGGGATCTGCTGCAGTTAATGAGAGTGACGGAAAACTATTGACTCTGCAGCAAACTGGGTGGTCTAGAAGGGACGGAAATCAAAGACTGGTGAAGAAGGTTCCTTTGCACTCTAATTTTGAATTTTATTTAGCTTTGGCATTTTTTAGGTCTATGGATTCTGATACTCTTCATTGGGTTTTTTTTTTTTTTTGTTAGGATGCTGAAGCTCCTATTGCTGATCATGTTCCAAGGATTTTACCGAAGGATGAGGATCCAAACTTGATTAATAGAAATAAAAGAATGTTGGGGCAACTTTTAGGGACTTTAGAGGTATTTATTAAGTAGTTGGCACATTAGATGCCTGATATGACAGGTTGATCTTTTATTTTTAATTCTTTTAAGAAAACTGTTTGATGCGCTTAGAAACCCCCACCAGTCCCGCTAAAATAATGTTAGATAACCATTGAAATTCCTACTCAAGATTGAGATCAAACTACCCAAACTTGTTAAGTAACGCAAGTGTTGTTTGTCTTACTCTAGAAATGGCTTTTCCAGACACTGTAAGTTGCAAAGTTTCTCAATAGTTGGGATGTAGTGCTCCTTTACATGGATTTTGATTTCAATTGTAGCCTCCATGTCCTGTTTTGAGATGGTTTCGTATAAATGGATTCTTCACTGAACTTGGAAAATCGATCATTTTAAAAAGCCCCAAGAATTAATTATTTGGGTGTTCAAGTTCTAAAGTCCCCTTATTTTCCCCTGAAAGGGGCATTCCTTGTATTTAATGCTAGTGTTAACTTTTGTTATCTGTAACCTTCTGTATATTTGTAATAATATCATTTTGTTTGCAGAGATTCAGGAAAGAAGGTATGCAACTTTCAGGGACAGAGGCATATATTCGGAGGTCAAACTCTTTGCAAAGAGTATGTGTTATTTCATACCGTATGTCTAGTTTCAGCTGTAAATCAAGTAACTTGTATTGTTGGTTTCTTATATGAGCTTGCAGTTCTCTGGGAGTTTGACACAGATCATTAATTGGCTGGAAAGAACATTGGCTGATTTTGTTTTCATGAAACTCCAAATTTTCTGTCTACAATATAAGCTAATAATACTGATGGTTTGGGATTTACTATAATAAAGTTTTTGCTGGTCACTAAATATTTGGATCTCTTCATCGGCTGAGCAAGAGCACGTGAAGAAAGTGAAAAGCTGAGGCAACGGGAGCGTGAACAAATTGCAGAAAAGAGGAGAGATCTGGTTTGTCATTGATCATATGTTGCTGTTAGTTAACATTGAAATATGTTTAATATAGAAGGAAGCAAATGGTTCTTATTGTTTTTGTTGTGTTTCCCCTCTGTATTTCAGACTCTTCGGACTCGTGTGGCTGCCAAGGCAGAAGAAAAGAAGCTGGAGTTGTTGTTTCTTCAATGGAGTGAGCACTACAAAAAGCTTAGCAATTTTATAAGGTATATCTGTTATCAGTTTTTGTATGCTATAGTGTTAGAAACTTCTGGGCATAAAATCTTTGCAGTTTCACCATCCTCTTTGACATTTAAGGGCTCTAGTATGAACACCTTTCTCTTTTACCAATCTGTTGCAGGTTATTTTAACTTTGGTCCAAACGTGTCCATATTCACAATTTTATTGAGACAAAGATAAGTTTCTGTTCATGTTCATAGAAGTGTTGAAGCATCTGAAGACCCGATTTTTCCTTCTTTATGTGATTTACGTCTACTTCAACAATTCTTTTTTTTTTTTTTTTATAATTTTCTACTCATTTGATTGCATTTGGGATGCTTTTCAGGACTAAAACAGAGCCTCCAATATATTGTTGCCAATTAAACCATTGGATGAAGATGCAACCATATTCGAGCAGCGAAAAGAACAAGTAAGTTCTCATCTACCTTTCTTGAGTCTCATTGATAAAAGTGGAAATATTTTATTAGAAAAACCAACTTTGTTCCCTAGCTTCTTCTGAGAAGCTACAGTTTCTGAAAAAGTTGACATCTTTTTCTTTGGCTTTTCAACTGTCTTGTAGAAGCCATATTACTTTTCAAATTTTTGGTCTTTTAGAGTGGCAGGGATAGTGTGTATCGGCTCTGTGCTACAATAAATGCACTCTGTTTCCGAAAGAGTTCCCTGCAAAACCAATTGTACGAGGAAGATGGGCAGTTGTTTTTCATCCTTGTCATTGGAAATGTCAACAATCATCTTCCAGACATCACTTCGCCCCATTTGTGTTTCCACTTCAAGGAAGAAACATTTATGGACCAAGTTCTCTTTGAAATAGTTGAATTGGAATTTGAAATTAGCATTCAACAAGTTGTAGAAGTTGGGGGGCAAGTAGAAGACTTTTAATTGAAAAAGGGATTTGTCTAATAGGAATTTTCTATTAATATGCTAATATTCATGATATATATAAGTTCATTTGCTTAACAGGAGTTTTAGAATGGAAGACAGCTAGGAGAGAGGAGCTGTCTGAATATCAGAAACAGATTGGAGAAGTGTATGTTGCCAATGTTGAAAGGGAGTTGGAGAGATGGCAAAATGTAAGGAAAGCTAGGAAAGCAAACAGTGACATGAACCTGCAAGAAACAATGGACAAAGAATTGGATAGCCATAATCTTGAGCATGGTCCAAAGAAGAGAAAGATACCTGGTGGAAACAACGAGGATGAAGATGATGTGGAAGATATCAACGTTGTGGAGGATGATATGATGGATGATGTGCTAGATGTTGATGATAATGGTAGGAGGGGAGATGAGGCAGCCAAACCCGAGCCCAACAGCACCAGTCCACCCCCTGGTAATGTTGATCAGCAATGAATGTAACGAATTTCATAGGCCAAATCTTGGTTATCACCATTCTATATTTGGAAAATGTCTAATAAGAATCGAAGTTAGAGGTTTATAACGAATTTCTTAGGCTCAACTCGGATAGAGTTTTATTTGTTTATTTATTTATTTTTGAAGGTTAAATGTGGTTCAATTGTGCAGAAGCACCCATATAAGATTTCAGAGTGATGGGAATGGTGAATGGTCCTGACCAAAAAAATTGTCAAACATCAATCTGAGGCTGCTTTTTGAAAGTGCCGCTGCTGGGCTGGCTGCCATGAATCCATGCATGCATACATGAACATGAACTGTGCGTGCCATGTCTCCACTTCCTGTTTCCTTTTTCACCCTTTTTTTAATAATAATTTTGGATTTAAAGGAAAAGAAAAAGGCATTTGTAATTATATATATAGATACATATATATATATAAGTATATATGAATTGAGCCTTGCTTTCCAATCTGTTTTCTTAAGCAAAGGCAAAATTCAATAATATATTGATGGGAAATTACTCCGAAGATATCTATTCTGAACTAGTTTTCCATCATGTATAACATTTAAGAAAATCTATAATTTTTAGTATTTGTTTTTGGGGTACATCGGTGGAGCCAGTGGTTCAGTTTTGTATGTCCAATCTCAATTCTTTTCACTTGTAAAACCAATTAGTGATTAGTAGTAATTTAATTATAAATGACGTAAACTCTTTTATCTTACTATGTACGTAATTAGAAAGGATTTTATGTGTTTAAATTTTTTAAATTCACAATTTTTAAATATTAATTTTAATGATATATTAATTAATTTAAGGGATAGTTGATTTGATATGATTTTCTTTTAATTGTAAACAATATGCTATTATTAAATTTATAAAAATTATCTTCCTATAGTCTTTTAAATGTCTCCAACTTAAACATTCAAAAGTGGAAAAAAAATTTTTTGTTAAAAAACACTGTTTTAACTGTTTAACAGTCTCTTCAATCAATGTCTGTTGATATATACTATTAGTATTTACTAATTTTAACTTAGTTTGAAAATTTAACGGATATCAAAATTAGCCAAAGATATTTATAAAGATATTTTATCCACGTTGTTTAATCCGATTTGTGCTGTTATTTTCCCATTCATAACAGCAGACGTAGCTTTTGACATTCAAGCTTACTCCATAAGAAACACGTGTGTTACTATAAAATTATATAATTAGTAATTGACAGTGGTAATTATTTTTGCTTACTTAGCTTAAAAATACGTCAAGAATCAAATAGTGAAAACAAAAATAAAGTATAAGCCCCTCTTTTCTTCAAAAAAATGAAATTGCGCGAACGGTAAAATGCATTTGCTTGCTTAGCTACCCAAGTGATATTTTTTTTAAATTTAAAATATAATATAATATTTTAATATAAACATAATATAAAAAATAAATATGAAAGTGATATAATTTAAAATTTTAATAATAATTATATATAAATTTAATAAAATTAAAATTAAAATTATATATTTTTTATGTTTATATAAATTATGATAGATAGTTTTTATATAGAATATAATATAAATATATAAATTTTAATAATTTACGTAACATAGAAACACCAATTGCCGACAACAGATGGTCAGTAAAAATACCAAAAAGTCCACCTTCACCGTGAATAAAATACCCAAAAACATTGAAATTTGACCCATCGTAGAAGAAAAGTCATAAAAAAAAAAAGTGAAACCAAAAAGGCCATCTTCTCCAACGCCCTCTCTCCATCTCTCTCCTTCAAAAGCAAGAAGTGAAGCACTGTAGCTAAAAAAACTCAGAAAAGCATACAGAGAGAGACGAGAGAGAGAGGGGGAGGGAGGGAGACTTTTTCTTTGAAAATTAGAAAGAAAAGCGAATGCCACCAACAAACATGAACCCAAATCATCAACCCCATGCCAGAGAAATGCTTCCAACAGCCAACGGCGACCACCACCATGGGCAACGCCACCATGCCTATTATCCTCGCTCTTCCTCTTCCTCGGCCTCTTTCAAAGGCTGTTGTTGCTGCCTCTTCCTTCTGTTTTCCTTCTTAGCCCTTCTCGTACTTGCTGTTGTCCTCATAATTATCCTCGCCGTTAAACCCAAGAAACCCCAGTTCGATCTCCAACAAGTAGGGGTCCAATACATGGGTATCTCCACTTCCAATCCTTCCTCCTCTGACGGCACCGCCACCGCCGTTACAACGACCCCTACAACCGCTTCTTTGTCTTTAACCATCCACATGCTTTTCACAGCGGTGAATCCCAATAAGGTAGGGATCAAGTACGGCGAGTCTAGTTTCACCGTCATGTACCGTGGGATTCCTTTGGGGAAAGCTTCGGTTCCTGGGTTTTACCAAAACGCTCACAGCACCAGAAACGTGGAGGCAACCATCGCCGTTGATCGAGCTAACTTGATGCAAGCTGATGCAGCTGATTTAATCAGAGATGCTTCGCTTAATGACCGCGTTGAGCTTAGAGTTTTGGGTGATGTTGCTGCTAAGATCCGTGTCTTGGACTTCGATTCTCCTGGCGTTCAGGTCACGCCATTCTCTTCTTCCCTTTCTATTTACAGCATTGTCAAATGTTGCTCATTATAGGGACTCTGTTTTCTTTGACAGCGGCGTAGGAGGTGGTGTACGGTCGGTCGGTGATGTCTTGTTTTAGCCACACCACCCCTACACGCCGTACCACTCTACTTTTTTCGTTTGTTTTTACTAACTTTCATCACTGTTTTTGTTTTTGTTATCCATGCTAACTTGCGCCGATGAGGTTCTATCATCTCCTAGTAGTAGGAAAGCGGATGTTCTTTTCTAGCATTTTTGGCTTCAATAACTCTCATTTCATTTCTCAAGTTTTTGGACATTAATGTCATTTTGTGTTTGTGCCTATTGTTCTACAGGGAATGAACTTAGTTTTTGATGCAAAGCATTTGTTATTTTAAGTTTTATGAGTAAATAAAAAACACATATGGTAATTGCTTGCTTTTAACTCGCTTTACCCAGACGCACCAATGGCGGTATAGCCATCGGCGCCTTTCCTGTTTCTACACTAACAAAGTCTATGAAAGTTTTCATCTTTCACCGTGAATAATTCGATGCCGTTGTTTAACTTTTACCATCTCAATCCAATAATTTCTGAGGGATTTGTTTGTTTATCAATATGGATTAGAGAAAGAGAGAGCAGTGGGTAGTTAGTAGGTACGTGTTGAACTACTGTAGCAATGGTGGTGTTAGTATGGTAACGGCATGTGACTTTTGGTCACTGGTGGGCTACCACTTGGACCCACTTCGGCTTTGCAATGTAGGATCCACCACCCATGAATTGATACAAAAATTTTAACGTCAATCAATCCTCTTTCAAATTCATTTTTGCCCCATTAGTTCTTAGCTTTAGATTATGAAGACATTTTATTAGCTTCTTATTGCCATCTCATATACAGGGACACATGTTCATTCGCCTTAATCTTCGTTATCATTATTGTCACGTGATCCCTACATGCTTTAAAAACTTAATGATTGCCCTATTCTGTGATGGGGACCATAACATATCATGTTCATAAGAAATTTTGACATTCACTCCTACAATACATTATCTTGTGATTTTTCTTTTGTTTTAATTCTTTATCTTGGAATTAACAAGTAATATGGGGTTGGGGTTGTCATTGGCAGGTGTCTGTGGATTGTGCCATAGTGATAAGCCCAAGGAAGCAATCTCTTACTTACAAGCAGTGTGGATTTGATGGATTGAGTGTTTAAAATAAAACCTCCCTCCTAACTCATATTTTCATATTGGTGGTGAAGCTATTTCATTCTCTTTCATTTCTCTTTTCTCTGTCCACAAATGGGTTGAGAAAGAATTGAAAAAAAAAAGGGAAAGAGAAGCAAAAGAGAAGGCTAGAATTCAGGGGATGAAAGCTGTAGGCAAAGCCAAGATGACGAGATGGGAAATCATCCCAAGATTTTGCTGATTTTTGTATTGGTTTCTTCAGTTGGAAGGAAACATTTTTTTTTTGTTTCTTAACTGCCATTTTAAAGTTGCATGTGCACTTATGTATGCTACTGTTTCTCATCCAGCTGGCAACTATCTTTCTCTTTCTCTTACTCTTTAGTGTGCAGTGGTGCCTCTGCCTGTCTGCCAACATTTGGTCAGCACATCCCTCGTTGTAAACGTTTCACGATTGACAGAAATAGATCTCACTTGAATGTGTTCTTCTGCCTTTCAAATGTCTATTTATCATTTCAACTCTGAAAGGCTTGAAAGTTACGCTGAGTTGTTGATGCCCATTTCTTTTATTAACATAACATCAAAAGGAAAGATCCACTAATGAATGACTTAACCTTGTGTTTCATTGCTTCCAAAAAAAAAAAAAAAAATTGTAAAAGGAATGTTGTTTCTCTGGTTACTGTCTCAGCTAAGCTAGGTAGATTGAGTTTTGCCTTTAAATTTGAAGTTTAATTTTGAAAAGTAATTTTGTTATTTGAACTAAAAATAAAACGTGAGTTTAATTTTACCAACAACAGTGTGATTTATTGCTGCGATTTAGTAATAAAGTATTATATTTTTAAGATCGAGCTTTAAATATTTAAATTCATATATATACTCATATTATATAAAAAAATTATTTAAACATGCCACAAAATTAATAACTCAAGCAAGTTTTATAGGAAAGAAGAACATAAAAGATTGAAAACATTCAAGAATTGGAATTAATATATTGTTGAGTAGATTGAATTCATGGAATTGGATTCAGTTTTATTTTTTTCATATAATGAATAAAATAAAAAATTTTTAAAATTTGATTTGAATTCAAATAAATTTTTTGTACTATTTGATTTAATTCAAATTGAATTGAATTAAATTAGATTTTATCAGTTTAGTTTGATTCATTAATTTTTAAATTTTATTTTTATATATTATTTTAATATATTTAAATAATTTTAAATAAAAATAGTTATTTTTATTTTATAAAAATTTAAAAAATATATAAAAATTAATAAAATTATATAATTTATTCAATTTGATTTTTTTTATTTTTTACTTTTCAATTCAAAATTTCAATTTAAATTTAATATATATTTACTATTTAAATTTAATTTGACTAAAATAAAAAATTGATCTAAATTAAATATTATAATTTCCAATCAATTATATTTTTTTTTCACTTATTTAATTGAACCAATTAGCAAAATGATGAATATAATTTTTTATTATTTTAATGATTGTAGACGAATAAAAATTAACACGTGGAAAAGTAACTTTTATTTAATGTAACATGAATCTGACTGGTATAATTGAGTGTGACTAGAACAAGCGGTTGAGATTGCAGATTGCGATAGAATTCGAGCTAGTTTACGTGTCAAATTTTGATTGGATAATGGGACAAACCCTAACCCCCTCACCCCCCCCCCCCCCGCCCGGGCCGATAAATTGCTTCTCAAATACACACGGCCACGTTAGCCTTCTCTTCGCAAAAAACTACTCTCAAACTCCAACCCCTTCGCAGCCCCTCTGTTTCGCCAGGTAACTTCTTTCTTTCTCTAACCCTAGATCTCGATTTCACTTTTGATTTCATTTCCGAACCTTGGTTCTGTTTGGTTACTGAGATTTGAAACACGTGTTTTTCTTTTGGCGGATAGAAAAATGGATCGGTACCAGAAGGTGGAGAAGCCAAAGGCTGAGACACCGATAAACGAGAATGAACTGAGGATTACAGCTCAAGGAAGAATGAGGAATTACATTTCTTACGCCATGACTCTGCTTCAGGTTTTTCCTTTTCCTGTTGGATATTGGCATTGTATAAATAAATTCTAAGGCGTTGGTTTAGTTTGTTGTGGAAGAAGCGAGTGGTGTATTTGTGGTTATAGAATGTTCTGTTGAAAAGCTTTGGTTTCGTGTTGTTTTGTAGGAGAAAGGTGCCAATGAGATTGTGCTTAAAGCCACTGGCAGAGCTATCAACAAGACTGTCATGATTGCTGAATTAATTAAGGTGGTTTGTTTGATTTGTTTTCGTTTAATGTTTCACTGTATTCTTAATATGTGGCAAGATGTCGTTTTTGTTATACATTTCCCTTACATGTATCAACTTTGGAGTTACAAGATAAGTGAAGATAAAAATTTTTTGACTTGTGATTGTTCTTATCTTCATAATACCCCCTTCCCCTTTTTTTGATTTTGTACTAAAATGTATTAACTTCGTCCAGAGGAGGATTGGTGGTCTTCATCAGAATACATCAACTGGATCAATAGACATTACTGACACATGGGAACCACTAGAAGAAGGACTTCTTCCGTAAGAACCTAGATTTCCTATTCTTTATGGTAGTCTAAACATTCATTTTCTTGCTTGAATTAATATTGTTGCCTCTAATGTTTGGTTTGCTTGTGCAGCCTAGAAACCACTCGCCATGTTTCAATAATCGCGATTACTTTGTCTAAAAAAGAGCTGGATTCATCTTCAATAGGGTAACTGGCCACTACTTATTTGTATTAAAAGTTCACAATGTTGAATATAATATTGTCCACTGAAACCTGTTATTTACTAATGATTGTCTTTACATACTGCTTTGTTGGTCTGCCACATGTTTGATGTCAGATATCAACCTCCAATCCCAGCTGATCAAGTGAAGCCGTCAACTGAGTTTGAGGACAATGAAGGAGGTGAGGCAATAATGTATAATTGATGATCATGCATTTCTGATATTTATTGTCCCATCTCATGCAAATTAGAGACCTCCCCTGACATCCAAAGCTAAGGACATGGTCAAGGAAAATATGGAGGTATAGACAATAATCATGGCTTGTTTTGAACTAAAGTAAAATAAGTGTCACATAAAAATAAATCCATTCAGAATTTCCGCTTTATTATTTTGCTTTCTCCATATTCTCTGAATATAAACTTCAGAACATGGGTGTGCTTAGTTTGGTGATGAGTTAAAGGACACTTGAATTTGTGTCCTTTAACTTTGTGTCCTTTAACTTAGTCAGAATGATTTCTAATCTTTGGGCAAGGTTAAGATTCAATTATATGCTTTCGGTAACAAATGGTGAAGGGGACAGAAGAGGCAACAAGCTTGACAGCAAGGTTGTTTGCTGGTTACAAATAGTTGCTACGTTTTGTAGCCTCGTAATCCACTTTCCATATCTGAATAGCTGTAGCAGCATTTAAGGTTTTTTCTTGGAATGAGATGGTAATGATCCTCGGTGTGATGATTGATGGGAAAAATCTGTTATCCAGATTCTTGCTGTGTATCAAATCGTGTTTTTTTTAAATGAATTTATTGGAGCACTTATGAACCAACAATTACATAAGATTTTTACTTGTGCAGGCAATATCAATGGTGGCACGTTGGAGCAAAGGAATGGAGGATGGGATGGTGGACGAGGTTCTGGAGGCAGAGGTTGGGGTCGTGGGAGGGGATGGGGTTTCCGAGGGCGTGGAAGAGGGTATGGTGGTGGAAATATGCAGCGGGACTCAGGATATTACAATGGTAATGGTCCATCAGGACCGTTGCCTGGCCAGGGTCGTGGTAAGTCTTTGCGTCCAATGCTTGCTTCTGATTTTGCTTTTCTGGTGTACTGAGTACTGCGTTTAGTGACTTGAGGTATCCCAAAGCCAATCCATTCATTTTGTTTTTCTAAGCAAATTTAAGACAATCCATTTTCTTACTTGAGTTGCTTTGGCAATTTTTCCTCTATAAATTTCATTAATCATTGCTGATGTTGTCATATGGGGTTACTGCTGATAGACTTTTCTTTTGGTGGACGAGTTATTTTACAAAACCATATATAATTTCTTTTGTAATAGTTCAAGTTGCGAGTATATTTTGACTATTCATTTAAAATAAAATATATATACATCTCCATGAAAGGACTAGAATAGAACATTGTTGAAACATCCCAAAAATTATAAGGGCCCGAACTTCTCTTTCCCTCACATCTCAACACATGCATAAACTTGTTTTCGAGTATGATGATTTCCATTCACCGTTTTGGCTAATCTCTGATTGCAGGTCGTGGACGTGGGAGGGGAAGAGGGACGTGGTCGTGGTCAAGGTTTCAAATCTGATGGTCCATTACCGCAATCTGCTTGACCATCTGCAGAACTACGGCTTTAGATTGAAACAAACCAGTGGATGGCCCGCTATATTCTTTTGTCAGTTAGTACAAATGTCCTTTAGACATTATTTAATTCGAAAATTGAGTTGTAGGGTACATTATATATTGGTTTTCCAGGCCGCAATTTTTGTAGGAAAGTCGTAGGATATTTTATCCCGCTCTGCCATGTTGTACAATTTTTAGGATATTATTTTTTTTTGGTTTTTATTGAAGATTATTTTCTCCAAATAATAGAGCAGTACATTCGTTCATGCAGCCTTACCAGTTATTCAGAAGGACGTTCACCTTGCTGCTTGGTATTTGGGAACGAAGATATTCTCAACGCAAATCTGGAAAGCCCTGGAAACGACACTTTTCCGACTTGTCAGAACGATACCGGGCGAATCCTAGTTTCTTCATAACACAAGGGAACGTGGAAAATTGGACCTTATCAAGACAATTAAAATGAGTTTCTCAAACTAACATGCCAAGAGTAATATTATATAACAATTATTGGAGAATTTTCTCCAGTTTTCTGGTTTGATCGGTTGTCACCTTTTAAACCCAAAGATTCACGTGTTACTAACGATTCCCGTCTGTCCGGCATGTGTTACCACCCGGTCACAGTGATTATCAAACTGGCAATTGGATTTGAAGAGTAGCGACGGAATTAACGGTATTGAATCACCAGTTCTGTCTAACCTGCGGGGATACAAAGGCCATGTAGCGTAAATGAAAACGGAAAAAATGTTTCACATAAAATGCAAGTCAAGATGATTGGAAAAAAAATCACATAAAGCCAGACAAAACCAGTGAGTACCTTTGCTAGTCACAGTCGTTCGTAGTAAGTTCAATTTCAAGCACATTCCTCTACCCAAGCGAATTCATCATCTAGTCATCAACTCTTTAGTTGAGATATTTGTAAAGCAAGAAACTGTTGTCAGGTAATCTAGTGAAACAGCAAGAAAAAGATACAAGGTATTGAGACGAAAGCTATGGGAAATATGATCAAGAATAACATTCCTCCCCTAAGAAACTGGAGAATCAAATTAGCCTATAGTACATAAATGATAATGGATTCTGATTTGATTTCTAGATGTAAATGGAAAGCCAATTAATACGGTGTCAACAAAGCATTCAAACCTTACCCTTCCTAAAAATTCAGCTTAGACATCATCAAATCCCACTTCATACATGTCTCCACCTTTGTAGTCATTGTCTTCCACAGGCCCTTGATCGGCATCTCCGGCCGTATTGTAGAATGCATTATTTTCATTATCAGGGGCATCGACATCATTCTGCATTTCTTCATCCTTTTCATTAACCTTCATAGACTCCAGATACTCATCACTGAAGAATGAAGCATAGGGCTTGGCTACCTGTATGAGGAATTTTCTTAGCTTGTGTTTTAGTTAAGATGGTGACAGACTTTTGGAGGCTGAAAGGGATTGATTAGGAGAGTAAGTCATTAAAAACAATACCACCTTAAAGAAACATCCTCGCTTCTCAGCACTTGCTACTAGGTTGCCCCAATGCTCATCATTCTTCAATGTTGATGCTGAACCTACTACCTATAGAAATAACTAAATAGGTTAAATACATGATTAGCCAAACTTCAAATTCGACTAGTCTTAGTATATTATAGTACCAGTACAGAAGACTTTGCTTGGGTGATTCCGACATTCATTCACCGAAAATCAGGCACCAAGCCAATACCTCTATCTTTGCTTGCCCTAACACAAGTAAATATTACAACATCCTTTTCCCGTCCCTGAAAGGAAAGGCAGAGATTGCATTAATTTTAGATCTATTATGCAGGATATTAACCAAAGCAACAATCACAAAGTGATATATATACTTTAATCAATTTCAGAATCTTCTTGCATGATACGGCCAGCCAGGCAAAATTGTAAACTAATAACTTATTAATTAACTTATTTATTGATTTTCAAAGCTTTTAAGAAGTATCAACATTTTATAATTACAGCTATTAGATATATGCAGGCTAATGAAATAGTTCAAGATATGAATGTAAGTAATCAAGTTTTCTCTTAGGGACTTTCACATTGCTACGTGTCAATTGAATTTACAGAAGCAAATGAAGATAAATCAACCAAATATCACGAATGTAGCTTTTACAAATTATGGCCCCACAAGTTGCTGTAAAATTATCAAAAATTCACTTGGCAGTGCCTAATTAAAGACCGAATTTAATTCTACTTCAACACATAAGGGAGAAAGGAGATTACCTGGAAACCATCAATGGTACCTATATCCACAACCTTTGACTCCACCACAAAAGTTTCCAGAAATCGCTCTTGCAAAAGTTTGACTTGACGTCTATAAGGGCTTATAATTGCCAATTGAGAGCTTCACTTAAACTGTGGATACATAGTTATCAATTTATGATACACGGCAAGAACAAACTCAATGTCATCAGTATTTACCCAGGACCCACTTCGTGAGGGTTGTGACTCTTTCCCTTCATGTATATCAAACAAGCAAAATGGTCCAAAGCAGTGGTATTTGAGCCAGTCACGAGTAGTTTGATCTTGAACATCTGATCCATCTTCTAGTGCCTCATCATAGAACTCCTTTGAAGGAAAGCTTCTTATCTATTCAACAAATAGATTAGATCAACTCAAAGAACTATGAAATTAAATTACCACCTGATTGTGTAACACTCTTAATCTGAAACAGACAACCACATGATGCAAAAGAATCACTATTAATAAGAGCAGGGACCATTTGAAATCACTAACAAACTTGAAGAATAAAGAGTGCATCATCTCAAGCTGCTAAACAATTGATCCAGTCCAGTACAGAGTATCGAATTATCTATAATCTGCTTAACTAGGCCCCATTACACCAAATACAGTACCACATATTTGTTGACATCTTTAATATATCAAGATTTTGGTTGTTAAAAGAAATATTACAGCTAAATAAATAATTAGTTAACAATATAATTTATTTATTTTGGATAAGTCAATAGATATTTATTATCTTACCTCCAGATGCATTCGATACGGGGTCTTAAGCATCTTTACAGGATAACCAGCCCTATGAAATCTCTTGAACAAACTCGTGCCATAGCTTCAAGAATAAAAAACATGTATGAGAGAAAGAGAGAGGGTACAAGATAAATTAAGTCACCTTTAGCACAAGATTAAGTGTTTTACCCAAATTTCTCAGCAATGGGTGAAATTACAGTAGCTGGTAATTGAACTGGATCAACCATCTAAGAAAAAAAAAGTTAATTTAATAAACTGCATTAATAACATTGCCCAAGAAAGTACAATGGTAATTTAAATATCAAACAGTTGGTACATGTGCCCTGAAGCTTTTCTAGATTATGAAGAATGAAGATCTTTACCAAAGATTAACCAAGATGAGATTCACAAGTTTCAGTTGTCAATTTCCTTTATTTGGGTATATATGGACTTTGCATATTCCCATGAGTGCAAGCTAGAAATGTAACTTCCAAGTTCGGAATTCATGTGGACTCTGTCATTCAGAAATTATGGGCTTTTCTCCATCAACATAAAATTTTTCATTGATAACAAATCACAACCATGGCCACTATTATGACCAGCAGCACCATTTATTTCATTATTACACGTGCCAAAAAGTTTCCCAGCACCATCTTTAAAGGCATCTTATTGCTATCATCATCAGCACTACTATTTTAATGATTTTATAATGACCATTTCCCCACTGTAACACTCAACTCAACTACTTACCAATTCATTGACATACCCATTTTTTCTACAGCTATAAATTTGCAATATATTCATGTAAAAATGATGATAACTTACAAGTTTCAGGTAATAATCACTAAATAATTACGCCCTCCCACTTCAAAATTGTAAGAAAATATAAGTTCTCCATCTCAAGTAACTGTTAGATGGAGAAAATGTTTCAAGAATTTACAGGAATCTGTGAGAAATACAACAATCATTATTAAAAAATTTTAAAACAGGAGAGTAGAGGGTCAAAAGACACATGGGGTAAAAGCGATAGAATTCTACCAGAAATACTTGTTTACATCCACTGGACAAAGGAACAAGAGTTGCAGGTTCCACCTGCTCAAGACATATAACTAGATAAGAAAGGCAGCACAAGATGGGGATAATAAGGGAGATTTGCATCATCTAAATCACTAGCAAATGTATTCCTAGGGATACGAAATTGGCAAGTTACTGCCTAGCAAAATTTTTTAAAAAAGGTTCCTCCAATGCCTTTGAAAAACAGATAAACAATGTCCAATGTCGGTTAGAAATAATCTCGAGAACTAAATAGTAGTTCTGCTCTTCCCAAAACTTGAAAAACTAACATACAACAGATTAAGGACGAACTGAAGCAGCCTATTCAAGATCACACTCACATAAAGACAAACATTCATGATCAACAAGAATAAAAGAGATTATAAACCCTTACAGCTTGGGCAGCTTCATCTATTATAACAACATCAAAACCAGAATTCAGTTTAGTAAGCACTGCTGAATCACTGAAGCTGAGAGTGAAAAAGACCTGCCAATAGTACAAAGATGCAGTTAATTTAACCATATGTTGGACTTCACCAACAAGACAAGTTAGATTTACGTACAATGACAGCCTCATCCAAAATGACATCACGAAAACTGTCAATATCCCTCCCCGTGGACCATTGTTTCTGCTTATCACCAGCCAAGTGATGCTTTTGATTAACCTGTGAAGGAAATTTCTCTTATCATTATTGAATGGTCATCAAGATACCTTTCAGGAATACTTCTTCCTTTGGCAACTAGAATAATTTATAGAATTTTCTATGCTTTGATGGGTTGGATAGTGCTTGCCTTGTGATTATAAAAGTTCCACTCAAAAGACCATCAATCTAACACTAATGCAGAATGATCATGCTCATCATACCAATAATAAATCAAGTTCCGAAGGTTAAATTAAATACATAAAAGGTAATCCATGGAGACTGCCTCTACAGAATGATGTGGTTTAAGACCAATGCGCACAATAAATGAGAAAGCCTAGACATTGATACTTACCTCTTATTTTCTTTCATCAAATGCACCAATTCTATGCATGGATGTATCACTTATAATCAAATCCATCCCATATCACTTATTCAATTTAGTACTTATGAGTAACTGTATTACTTTAAAATGAACGGATTATTATACCAGATTTACAAAATAATAACAAATTAAATGGTTTAAGAAGGAGAAAGAAAG